AGTGTTCACATTTATGCAACCACAATATTTTAGTTTTATTATTTTTATTTTACCCATCTAAAATGATTTCAGCATTGAAGGTGGAAATAAATCTGAAATGATTCATCTTGGTCGGATTTTTTTACATTTAACAGGGGTGTGTAGACTTTTTATATACACTGTAGAGACGTGTACAGCTGTGCATATTATAGCTTTTATTTCATAACTTGTATTAATGTACAAAAACTGGTGTATATTGTGTATAATATGTATATGTGTATATATTTACAATCTAATATATATATATATATATATATATATATATATATATATATATATATATATATATATATATGAGACCAAATACAGGCATATCATCATCAGTGGCATGGGTAAAAATAACTTAAAGGACTTTTGACTTACATACTTCTTGCCATTTAGAATACGCCATTTGACAGACACTGCATGATCTATTCCCTCAGTGCCAATGAAGTCTCTATATTTTTCTTGCAGATAAGTCATATTCTTGACCTCTGACGCTGGTTCTAACTCCTACTTTTTGTTAGAAATAGGTTGGTCTAAAGCGTTAGCATTCTGGTAACACTCATTCATTTGACTGTGACTTACAGACATTTTTAAAGTTAAATTTTGATGCCCATTTTTTTGAAAAACCAATGTGTCGACTCAGACCACATACACGTGTCTGACCATTGGACCTAGCATTTTAATATGGGATGGGATATGAATCAAATAATGGTGCTTTGGAGTGATATTGATCTCAAGAAAAAGTTTTTTCATATGCTTTAAATGCTGCTCAATAGGTTCTTTCAGATTTTATATGGTGTAAAGACTGATAACAGGTGTGAAGATAGTCCAGAACAATTTGTTATTCAGTTCAAGAAGAAAATTAACAAACTGATTTCCTTCAATTGAACAAATTGATTTCCTTCAACCCCTTCCTGGATCAGGGCCTTGCTGTGGAGGAAGGGCTTGTGTGGTCTAGGGATCTTCAGAGCTGTTGTCTGGAGCAGTATGCTCCTGGTTGGGTCTCCCAAGGCGAGCAGGTTTGGAGACCCAGACTAACCCGATCCAAAAATCTTCCATGACAAAAGGACACAGAAAACTGTGTACCCTTCCTCCGACAGGGTTACTGGGACCTACCCCTGTAGCCAGGCCTAGGGGTAATGTTCCTTGGCAAGCACCAGGCAGCCCACGTAACCCGGCCGGGCTCAGCCCAAAAAGGCAATGTGGGGGCTACCGCTACCCTATCTGGACTCGGTGGTTAACGATGATGATGATGATGACGATGATGATGATGATTTTCTTCAACAGCACTAAATAAAAATGGCAAGGTTTTGTTATCATTTGATGCTAGTGTGGCATATGTGACAGAGCATGGTTTATCTCTGACATCAAACAGAGAACTTTAAACTGAGCTATGCTTTGAAGAACGACATGCATTACATCCTCTGTCATTTGCTATAAGATCAAAACCTGGAAAATTAACCAGCTTGCTCTTTCTCTTTATTCCATATGTTGTTCTTAGACTATTTCTTAAGAAATTCAGTGCTGGTCTTTTTCACAAAGACATCCTCATTAAAGCAGTTCTGAAAAAGAGCTCAGAAAGGTTGATGCCTTAGCACTGACTGACAAAGAGAATGACAATGCTGTTGGACGTAGACCTCATCCGCACCATCATAGTCATGGAGAACCTGACCCACCACCTAGTTATAGTGTTGAAACGACACGGCACATACTGATGAGGAGAGTAAAAGTAGTATCGCTTCCGCCCCAGCAGCCGTAGTAACCTGCACGTTCGCCTCACAGCCAAAATTGTACCCAGATGGGAGACAACTGCACTTACGCTGGGTTCATTTTCAAAATGTGGTTAGTCCCATTATGCAATATTAAGGAGAAAAAGAACGCCAAAAAAGCCACTGCATTTGTTCTGCATTCTAACAAGGGTATTTTCAGGCTGAGGGCGGTGGACGTGGAAGGGGCCGCGGAAGAGGGCGCGGCTACAACAGAGGACGAGGAAGGTCCGCCACTCCTGCTCGAAGTGGGGATGCCTGCTGGGAGTGTGGTAGGGTGGTACATTGGGCTCGCAACTGTAGAACCAAAAACACGGGCAACCACGAGCTGGCTCATAAATCCACTAATGATTGGACGGCATGACTAGAGATGAAAACAGGTCAGACTGACTCTCTCACTTCCAATGACGATAGCAAAGTTAGTGAGGGAGTTGAAGATGAGCCTGTTTGCCTAATGCATGTTGACATGCTTTTACTCAGTTCAAAAATAAAGCCCAAAATAACCTTAGAAATCAAAGGTCAGGAAGTAACCTTTTTGTGCGATACCAGGGTATCGCGTGCAGTCATTCACCCTGACGATGATCCGCATGTTCAAACTTTTCATGATTCGATCTGTGTCAAATCTGCCAATGGCAAAGTAAACAAAGCGCAACTATCTGCGCCTTGTTCGCTTATTTGATCCCCGAACTGGTGTACGTAGCCGCAACGCTCAAATTGTGCTCTCGCCTGATGTTCCAGTAAACCTTTTGGGGAGAGATATGTTGGTTGATCTGCATATCGCTGTTGTCCCTGTCTGCGATGGACTACCGGCCCAGCGATGTGCAGACCTCGTGTTGGTATTAGAGGTTGACTCATCTCCCCATTACTGGTACTCTTTAGATCTTGTCAACCTGGACCCAAGCACGGTCACTCAAGCCCTTGTTAACATGCCCGCGAAGTGGGCTACATGGGGGCAGAGTACATGAACCCAAATGATTTGCATTGTACTATGTTTTTCAAACACACCAGCGGCCGAGACCCTAAATACGAAGAAAGATTTTTTAAAACACAATGTACTACTATCACATTGACCATGTTGTACTAGTCTGGCCAAGGAATGTGTGGCGCTGTATGCAAATTACAACACGAAATGCAAAAATTGCATTGCAGGCGCACAGTGCCCCACGTTTCTGTCTCAAAAGAACGAAAGCACAGCTGGAGTGATGTGGGTGCCTTCTCCACTTCCTGGCGGAGAACGGCCACAAAAGTCAGTAAAGACAAATTACAACTCTGCAAAAAGCAGGTGAAATATCTAGGCCACATTCTCTCCCATGAGGGCAGACACATAGATGAGGCTCGTAAAAGCGCCACCCTTCAGGCGCCAAAACCTAACACAAAACGACAAATGATGTCTTTTCTCAGCATGGTAAATTATTGCCGCAGTTGGATTGCTAATTATGCTGAAATTACAGCCCCATTGACAGAGCTGATCTATTCTGGCCCCATGGCAGCACATGATCGCCTCCTCTGGACTCCCGAGGCCGAGGATGCTTTCGTTCACATTAAACAACTTCTGGTTAGTTCATCTGTGTTAGGGCTTCCTGACTACTCTAAAACCTTTTTTCAGACTGTTGATTGTAGGAATGGCTTCATGACATCTGTATTGACTCAAATGCACAGAGAGAAAGCTCGCCCTGTGGCATTTTACTCCTCGAAACTAGACCCCGTTCAAGTTTCCTCCTCGGTGATCTTATTTCAGAATTTGGTTTCAGTTTCTGTCATTCTGTTACAGAACAAAATTTCTTATCTCTCTCCCTCCAGGCATTTATCATGCTTGACCACCCTGCTCTCACAGCCATACCTAACTATTGAAAGTTGCACTGGGCTTAACCCTTCAACACTCATGCCAAACGCCTCTGAGGGTGTGGTTGGCATGGTTACCTCATCAGGCAAGCCTATTACCCACAAACAGCTCATTTTAAACCTTTTAGATTCAATTCATTTGCCCAAATGTCTCACTGTCTGCAAGTGTACTGCACACACCTGTCAGACTGATCCTATTTCTAAGGGAAACCACAGAGCTGATGAGGAAGCGAAACGGGCTGCTCTTGGTGCAACTTATATCCTGTCCCTTAGCCCTGACACACACACACACACACACACACTTAGATGAGGAAGCTCTCGCTGATATGCAACGTGTTTCTTCTGACACCGAAGAACAGCAGTGGATGGAAAACGGAGCAAAGGTCAATGCCTCTAACATCTACTGCTGACCCGGGGACATAGGGGGCCTATCCTCCCTAAGAACTTATTTAGGTATGCTGCTCTTTTGAACCAAGGCCCCTATCATGTCTCAACAGGAGGCATGGCGCATAAGATAAATCAAGTATTCACAGCTTATGGGTTCACAAATTATTTGAAACATTTTTGTCTAGCATGTGAAATATGTGCAAAACACAACGCAAGGGAGCAAACTACATGATGAACAGGATATGTGTCAGTTAAGAACATAACTGAAACTGGGTGTAGTTCCAACGTCTGAGGCTGAGATGAACATCTCTGAAAGTATAAAAACAGAGCACACCCAAAAATGCTCTGAGCATTTGCATCCAGACTCTGTACTGCATGTAGTTTGCTCCCTTGCTGCAAGAATAAAACTTCAAAGACAACCAGTGGGGTGATTTTTTAAGAAGAATTTTCCTCACAGTTTGATTGCTGGCCAGGTGACCAGAGTTCTTTCTGTGTGGAGTCAGGCCAATTGGACACGTTAAATTGCCCCTAGATGTGAGTGTGTGAATGTATATGTCTGTGTGCCTGCCCTGCCCTGTGATGGACTGGCAACCAGTCCAGGGTGTATCCTGCTTTCCGCCCAACGACCTCTGGGATAGGCTCCAGCTCCCTCCACGACCCAGAAGGACAAGTGGCTCAGAAAGTGTGTGTGTTACACTAGTAATCACGCTGATCACTTCATACAGAATCAGAAATTATTACTTCATTTGACAGTTAAAGTTAAACAGCTAAACAGCCTCTCACAGTTAAAGACAAACACCAAGACAGAGAGAGGGCGGAGAGGTGGGGAGGGATCAGATCAGGCCAGTCAACTTAAACAAAAACAGCGCCAGAGACTCACTGTCCAGAGTTTATTTCTTATGACCATTTCAAGACAGGGGTTAATATATATATATATATATATATATATATATATATATATATATATATATATATGACACCGCAAAGAACTGATCATTGGACCAATTTCACAGACATATGAGACATACAATATTCAATTGAAAAACATAATCTTTATCTTCTGAATTTATGGAGTTTTGTTTATGATTATAAGGTTAAAGTTCAGGAATGTACCTGTTTCTGTTAGAATAAACCAACCTGCCAAAACTGTCAGCAGTTGATTTAAAAAAAAAAAAACTTCATTAAAATATTTTTTTTTTTAGAAAAAATAACTAACTGTCAATTCTACAGTGACAAGAATCCTTTACAAGCTTGATTGTTTCTCCAAACTTTCTGTATTTGTTTATGACTGTAAAAATGAAGGCATAGGACAGGTGCATTAAAACACTGACTGCTGTTTAATTGTTCTGAACAAGTGGTTCCTCAGCTTCATCTCCAGCATCAGGTTTTTCCAAATTCCAGCATGCTTTCAGTACATCTTTAGCATCGTCTCTTAAAGCTTGGACCACTTTATTTGCTGTCTGATTTGGATTGTCAGATGTCTTTGACGCTGCATAGCCTGACATTGCACCTTTCCTAGCTCCATACAAAAGACAAACTCCAGCTCCAACTGCTGCTCCTATCCCAGTTCCAACTCCTGCACCCAGCACTGCTGCCTCCGCCATAGTAGCTCCTAAAATCTCAACACCTGCCCCTACTCCAACACCAACACCTGCAGCAGCAATACCCGCTCTTACATTTGCTCTCTCCACTGGTGCAGCTCCAGCTTGTGGTCTTTGACGAGTTGCCTTTCTATATCCTGCCCTTATAAGTCCTGCTACTAACACTACAGGTGCTGCTACTCCAACTCCAGCTCCCAGCAAAGCTCCAAGTAATATTCCTGTAGCTACACCAGCCAACGGTCTCTCTAACTTAGTTCTCACTCTCTCTATTGCTCGCCTCCTGATTACAACCATATCCACCTCTGTCACATCTCTGATCTTCCCCTCATCCTTCATCTCCTGTATTATTTTGTCAATCTCTTCCTTAATGGCCTCTCCGATCGCTTCCAAAGCTTTGTTTCTGTAGGGTTCTTTGTTTATTTTAGTTATGTTATCTATGCTCTTCATTAACTGAGTGAGTTGAAATTGATTGCTTCGATATTCTCTCATTTCTTGCTCCTCACTTTCGTACTGACCTTCTGCTTCTTCACTGTCTGCTTGATCTGATAATATACTGAGCCATGGAGTTTCATCTCTTTCGTTCAACTGCCTATTTTTAATCTCCTGCAGAATCTCTTCAGAAATGTTGAGCTTTTTTAGTTCAGCTATCACAGCTGACACTCTGCTGTCCTTGTCCCAGTGCTCGCTGTCAATGACAAAAACCCGATTTCCACATTTTTCAGCGAAATCTTTCAGGGGTTGCTTTCTGCTCGTGTTGCCTTCAACATCAAGATGCTTTATGAATTTGTGGATTCTCATGTTCTGTCCAAGATCATTACCATGGGTGAAAAGGATCACCATGTGAGGAAACACTTTACTGGTGAAGTATTTTATCAACTTCTCCACTGCTTTCTGGTTTTCCTCTGTGTATCTCCCTACCTCCAACACTACAATAAAGACATGAGGGCCAGGTGCACACTCTATGAGACACGATATTATCTCTTTCTTGAGTTCTTTCTCTGACCTGTCCGTGTCAAAAAGTCCAGGAGTGTCAATAACAACAATTCTTTTGCCGTTGATTTCTTTTTCATATCTCTTGCAAATGTGTGTTTTACTTTGTAAGGAACATTCTGTTTCAAATACTTTCTCTCCAAGAATTGTATTTCCAGCAGAACTTTTGCCAACTCCTGTTCTTCCCAGTAGTACAATCCTCAGCTCATCTTTTCCTGAAAAGCATTGAAACACATTCTTTACTCTAGCATTTCTCATTTCTTTTAGACATCATAAAACATACCGGCTCCCGAGTGGCGCAACCGTCTAAATGTTGGCCCTATCATCAGGAGATCGCGAGTTCGATCCCTGGTGATGCTACAGCCGTCCGTAGCCGGGAGTCCAAGAGAGCACAATTGGCCTCGCTCTCTCTGGGTGGGTAGGATGGCCCCTCCTTCTCCCATCACTCAGCGCGATGCTAGTCAGCGCAGGCGTCTGTTAGCTGACGTAACAGATCTGGCGGTTGGCGCTTTCCTCCGAGCGCGTTCGGCTGTCCAGTGACGTTGCGTGAGCGGCAGTTCGAAAAGAAGCGGTGGTTGGCTTCACAGGTCTCGGAGGAAGCCTGTGTTAGCCTTCACCCTCCTAGCGTTGATAGCATCGTGTGATTGGGGGAGTCCTAACTAGCGGGTGGAATTGGAGACGACTAAATTGGGGAGAAAATCTGGTAAAATTAAAAAAAAAAACAAAAAAAAACATACCATATTCAATTATATTCCAGTTGTTGAAAGGCCTTATTAGCACATAGGCTTCCAGTGGGCCATGATAGAATGTAAGTGACAACACATACTGATATTAAATAATCATTTTTATTTTTATGTTTTAGATTCCTTAAAATTCCTGTAATATTTACAGAAAATGTCTAATTGTGATTTTTCTGATGAATATTGTGATTGCAATTTAAATTGATTTTATTCAATTAAGCTCCAGGACTTTTTTTGGCCAAGAATACCAGCACTCTGACATCTCTGAATGTAGTGTGCCAGACTAGCAGTTTACAATAATATTGGAGAATGTAAGTAATAATTAAATAATAATGGAGGACGTCAGTAAAATTGCACTCTTTCAAACAGAAATTTTGACATAAATACAATTAATCATGCAGTCTCATCAGTTAGAAGATGAAGCACTTGCTGCCTGAGCAAACTGAACCACTGAAATAACAAGTACATTGATAAATGATAAAAATCCATATGATTTACAAAATGCTACTTAAGTGCAGAAAAGAATACCTAATCAAACCATCATAATTTGTGAGTTGAGATTTGCCCATTCTCTCTGGTCAGTAGTTAAAGTTTGAAGTTCTTATTGTAATTGTAGTCCAGTGGAGAAACTTGGATGTTAGTCATTTGATCCTGAACACAGCAAAAATGCAGTAGTGGATCTAAAACTTACCATCCATTTCTGGAGTGAGTCAGTTTTTTGAATTTCCCCTGTGAGTTCTAAGTCTGTAATTAACAATATAAACAATAATGATAATATGATAACACATACTGTACTGTACAAAAGTCAAACATCAAAAGTTATTCATCAGGATAGAATTTTCATGTACAGCCATTTTAAGATCAAATCCATGTGTGTGAATCTTTTATAAATGAGACGCCTGATCTTTGTCCTTAAGGGCACTCCTTTACATTTGAAGATCTTCTCATGTGCCTTCATCCTTGTTCTGCCAAGTGTTAATCTGTGTCATATTTCCTGACTGCTTGATCCCATTGTTATAAACTTTTGTTATAAACTTTGTTTTCTTCATACTGAAATGAAAATGCTTGTCAAAATATCATGAAAGATTAAAAAAGTCTCACGACAAACATATTTACTGTAGTAATGATGTCGACTCACTGCTGATGGAAGGATGGAAGTTAGACTGACGTATTTTCATTTGGTAAACTGCGCATTTCTTCCAGTACTGTACGTCTGTATTGTTGTTGGATCATTTTAAGTTAGTTATTTAAAATCAAGTTGGGATCAACAGCTTACCAAAAAATAGACTAAATCGAGCCATGTGCCCCTCCCCTGTGAGCATTTCTTTCAGTGCTTTCTTATAGAATACTTATAATAATATTTCCATTTCAAATCATGCAAAAGTTGAATAATTAAATAAAACAATACTATTAATTCATTCATTAATTAATTAAATAAGATGTTTTGTAGAAGGAAACATGCTGTGCTAAATCTTAGTAGCACTATAAAGCAATATTTGTCCTCCACAAATATGGACACCCCTGGAAAACATGAGCAAAAAGGACAATAAAAAACCAAACCTCTAACCTTTAATTGGAGTGCAATGACTAAAAATATCTCATCATGGAATAAATATGTAATATTTAAAAATTCAAAATTCATATTTTGAATGAACGAAAAAATAAAGCAATAAAGAATGTTTTTTTACAGCTCATTTTGCTCATATTTACCAGGGGTGCCAATGTTTCTGGAGGGCACTATATAACCTTGCCTGTATAACCTTGAATGAACGTATGTTTTATGCTCCACAGCACCATCTTTAGCCACAGGCTTCTGGCTCAGTACCTGAAAAATTCTAGCAGTGGGACAAAGCTTTTCCAGCTCTGGATTAATCTATTGTTTATTAATTATTATTACACTTTTACTACATCAGTTTACATCAGGACTTTTTAGAACACACTTTAATTAAAGATATGTAAAAATTTTATTAATATTAGTGTAGGTATGAAATTCCATTCTGGTTGTGGAACCAAATCAGTAAAGAACACTGATACCTGGTTTGTTTTCAGTGTTGAGATGAAAAATGATATTTTTGTTTCATATAGGTGTGGTTAAAGTGAGCTGATGAGGACGGTGCGTTGAAGACCACCCACCAGCAGATATTCTAATGATTTCAATTAGCTGTTTATTCCTGTTGGTGGAGTGATGTTCTGCCTGTTCTGTAGCTTGTTTCTAGGGAAAGTCCTGTGAAGAAGGTTTTCATGGCCTTGTGCTTTAATTTCTCAAGTCCAGTTTTATTTCCACTATATTTTCCATGCAGTTTCCTGTAGCTGAATTCTGGCTAATTTAACTGCAGTTACAGACAGTTCAGGAATCACACTTTCGTGTGTCAGTGCATTTCCTTTTTAAAATGCATTGACAGATTCCATTTACTCTTTAATTATAGTGGGCACTGTTTGACCATGATAATACAGTGTCCTTCTGAGTACAAGTCAATAAATATAAGACATTTAATTTAGTGCTTGTCTTGAACATGAATTAAGTGTTTGTTTGCCTAATTGTCATAAGACTGACCTGTTTTTAATGAGATCAGGCTGAATACTTTAAATGCTCTTTTGAGTAAATCTGTATGAATTAGAACATCTGAAAAGGCTTCCTGTACAAACAGTGCTGTGGATCCACCTGATTCACTGAGCAGAATTTAATCTTCTACTATGTACACAATCCAGCATGTTGTAGCTACTGCTGCAATCTTAAAAATGTCCTAATGACAGATTCTTACACCGCATTTTAGATTAACAGTCAAACTGTTGTTGATGTCCTGTTGTAAATGGACATTTACGGCTCTGTGTAACTGTATCTGAAGTAACTTACCTTGGGAAACAACTGTGTCGCTGGTCACTACTAAGGAGGTCTTTAGGTCTGTAGTGGGTCTCAGTAGAGTGATGAGAGTCGTCTCAGCTGAGAAACAGAGCAGGTAATGGAACCGAAAGTGCTCTATTCTCACTTTTATTCAGGCTGGAAGGAGATGAGTTGCTGTACATAACTGGGTGTGGTTTGTCACTGTTTATTCTCTCAAAGCTGTTTCTATTTTCACTTTTTCTGCAAAATTTGATTCAGTTTCTTTGAACTTCCGAAAGGAACATTTGCTATTGTAGTTACTTTTTTATTTTATACATTATGCATTGACATGTTATGACAAATTTTGTTCAGTAATCTAAGTGTCATGTTACCCTTTATCACTTTTAAAATTACTTGTAATTGTCATGACATGTGTGGTGAAGATAGCAACCTGACTTACTTCTAAAGAACTGCTATGTTTGTAAAAAAAAACAAAAAAAAACACATCTTCAGAGCTAATGGCTCTTGGCTGAGGGTCAAGCAGACCAATGCCTGTCCAAAAACACTTTGGGATAAGAAAGTCAAATTTTTAAAACTCATATAAACCCAACTGTTAATCATCCTGGTTTGTCATAAGACCACTGAACAGTCCTGACATGACATTCCTACTATACATCATCATGGAGTTATCATCTCATGTTTAAATTGATATTTTAAACATGAATCTATAGCTCCACCAAGTGGCGGAAATAAGACAGGTTGCACCTTTTCAAAACCGTTTTAATCTCTTTTTTTATGAAATCTTATAATACTAGTGTCACACATCGACCCGTGTCACAAGAGAACTTGGACTTCAGTTCCCAGAACCCTCAGGAGGATCACGTGACAACGTAACTTCCCTCCGACTCGGAAAACTCAACAGACTGCATTACCCATAATACTATGGGGAATCACATGACCTCTGAGGAGATTACGCGCTCCTATCAGAGGTTGCGCTCGCCTGAGTACTAAATGTTTGCACCTGTGTTTGTCCTTTTAATCCGCGAGCGTCTGGTTTTTGACGAATCCTTACAACCAGTGAGTTTCATATATACAGTGGTACAGTGGATTTTATGAACTCTTTAGAATTTTCTATATTTCTGCATAAATGTGACCTAAAACCTCATCGGATTTTCACACAAGTCTTAATAGTAGATAGAGAACTAAATTAATCAAATGAGACACAAATATTAGACTTGGTCATTTATTTATTGAGAGAAATGATCCAATATTACAGATCTGTGACATTATAAACGTATGTGAACCTTTAGGAATAGCAGATAATTTGAAGGTGAAATTAGAATCAGGGGTTTTCAATCAGTGGGACGGCAATCAGGTGTGAGTGACCACCCTGTTTTGTTTAAAGAACAGTGATCTATCACAGTCTGGTCTTCACAGCACGTTAGAGGAAGTGTGTCATGACATGAACAAAGGAGATTTCGAGGACCTCAGAAGAATCGTTGATGCTCATCAGGCTGGAAAAGGTTCCAAAACCATCTATAAACAGTTTGGACTCCACCAATCACAGTCAGACAGGCTGATCACACCAAGAGCAAGGCATGTAATAGTCCACATACAAAGGAACCCAGAGCAACTTATAAGCAGATAGCAACCTTTAATTAATTTAAAGTGTACAAAACCATTTCATCGCAGACGTAATGTTTACGCATGGTATTGCCTAGATGTCTGAGTGTTGTGAGGGGTTTGATAGCATGTATTTTCATGCCTCACATCTTCTCAGAATAACATGTAAAATAGGCAGCTGTAGCTGTGGTCAAACTGAATGGTTTTTCAGATGCTGTTATCACCAATATTGTTGTAATATCAAGTATTTGGTTCAGTGTTTACTTATTTGTAGTAAACCTTTTTGGTTTTCAGAGTAGTAGAGAGCTTGTGCTCCTAAGAAGCATCATGTGATTAATATTGTGGAATCAATGTAGAATAAGGCATGGGAAACATAGCACTTTTGAGGCAAATGCTCTGTTATTACACAAAGCAGCAAGAGAGAACCACTGTCAGCGCTGGTGGAAATGGCCAGGAAGCAGGCAGGTCACTAACCAGACACTTCTACTCCATGGTAGACAATGAAACAACACAGCTAACCCTAGAGCCCAACAAAGGATGGCATAATAATGTTACTGCACATCATCTTGACCCAGCAATAACAACATTTAGGACATAAAATTGCCTCTCCTGCTGGAGCCATGGCACCTCCTGTGAGCCCGTGTGCATGGCTGTGCATGGCCACACCTTCCAAGCATCCACAGCTGTGTAACAATGCCAGCATATTTAGGCTCGTCTTCATTTGAAGTCTGCTACACTGATTCCATACATTGTTGAGAAAGTCATAAAGTCGTAAAATGTGTAAGATAAAAAGTTTTTTGCAATTCATTTGTAAGTCATATTGTTCTCATCATTCATTTGTTCGTCAGGCCTAAAGAATGACTTGATATGTAATGATCAACTCCTACTAATTTGTTGGCCTTTAATCAGTTATAAAGTGCCAATAATACATCATTTTATTTTAGGTGGCAAAGACATTATAAATTCATCATCAATAATCAGTAATCAGCTCTTACTCTATGATGAATTGAGACATATTCTGCACATTTTTGTATTTTCTTTGTATTGTCCTTACTCTGAATGTACAAATGCAGACTGTCAGGTTGTGTTAGACAAGTAAACTGACAGACTTAACCACAGGAACCATTTCTAGCGAACTACAAAGACAAATATGTTAAATATATTAAACAAATACAACAGTCAGTCAAAACGGTAAGGACAGAAGACAGAAATAACTAATATTTGTAAACACTTTGGTCTGCATAAATGACACACAAACTGAAGTGCTGGAACTCCTACGGGATTGCCTTCGTTGAGAAGGTTACACACAATGTTGCCTTCAAATTTGGTCAAACTAAGGTACTTTGGAAGACAACTGACTTATGCTGCCTTCCGAATGGGACTGCTTTTGTCTCAGGAGTGCACAAATGCTGCCTTAAAATGTGGACTACTTAGACAGCTGCCTCCCAAATTGACCGCACCAACAGTGTGAAGACAGTAGTGCCCAAACAAGAAAAAGTGCACAAGACATCTGCTGAAAACTTTATACAGAGGGAGGTGAAAAACACTACTGCACAAAAATCATTCACGTGTGCAATTGACGTTTGTAATTAATACTACCTCACAACTTGATTTTGATTATCACTACACTGATTCCTTCTCCACTGTCCCCATCTCCACTTGCAGTTGATGCTCTGTTGTTTGGCAGTTTTGTAGTAAAACAGTGATAGACGATATTAAGTGAACCCTGTATTACCATTGTTATTGTATGTACTCACATAGCTAAGCTATTCTTGTGTAGCAGGTTGATGATATTACAGCAGATTATTCAAGTATTTATTTTGAAATCTGCAAGTTGTTTTTATGAAGCAAATCGCTGAATCATCCTCTTTGATACATGCCATTGTGAGAGAAGCTGTGTGTCAGCTCAGCTTCACTATTTTCTTACAGTTCATTACATTATGTAAGCATTTTATCACATACTGGTTATATTTTCATTAAAGTAAAATACTGAATTGTCTGTTTTGAATATTCCAACTCACTGCTGAACATGAGTTGTGTAAAGGCAGAATGTTCATGCTAATTATTAAAGCAATGCTAACGAGAGTAAACCAACAGTCAATAATGCATTTGGCTGTTTGCAGATAAGCGCTGGAACCTTCATTCACAATTCAATATTTCTATTTGTATATGACAGCTTGTGTAGTTTCATAGCTCAGTTGTAATGAGGGTCTATGCTATTTCTATGCTAAGTCAGTTTATTTCACTTGTGTTCTCTTTATACAGGTATGTTCAGTTATATTGTTGTCAAACATACATTCTTTTCATACTGTTCAGTGAATGGAGAGTATGTGTGTTTTATTTTTGGATATATTTGCATGCTTAGTTATTTACTTTGTGAATTGTACACAACAAAGAAGGAGTTACATTTATAACATGGCAGCTCCGTCCAAGTGTTACACACTGCTTGACATAACTACATATTTCTTATGGGTGAACTAGCTTTGCTGTATCCATCTATTCTGACACCATTCTACACTAGAAATTTGAAGAGAATAGATACAAGAAGTATAAGAAATCTCTGAAATAAATATGAACTAAAAAGTACAGATATTTAATTATTAATAACCCATAACAAAAAATTACACCTGTGGCACAGCTTCAGACTCTGTTTTCACCAAGTTCCTGCATGCACTCAGTACATCCTGAGCTTTTGTTCTTAAAGCTTGGGTTACATTATTTGCTGGCTTATTTGGATTGTCAATTTTTTTTTTCATAGCCAGTCTTGAGACCATTCACAGCTTCATGCAAACATGTCCCAAATAAACTAAAACTATCTGCTGCTACTGCGACCCCAATACCTGCAGCTATCCCTTCTGCTGCTGTCTCCACTGTTGTTTCTACAGCCTGTGGATTCTAACAAGGTAGCTTTCTTCACCCTACCCTGATAAGTTTTGCTGCAAACACTGGTAGTGCTGCAAATCCAACTCCCACACCCAGCACAGCTCTGTCTAATGTTCCTGTGGTTACACCAGCCTACAGTCTCTGTATTTTTGTTTTCTCTCTGTTGCTTGTCTCCTGACCTCTCCCATGTTTCCTTGCTCCCTCTCATCCTCCATCTTCTCTAGTATTGCTTTCACTTCTTCATTAAACAATGCAGAGACCAAGAATTGCATCCATAGCCATGCCTCAATCTGCTCGCAGATTGGCCACTGAAAAGCTGCCCAGGCTCCCAGGTCCCAAGATGACCCCTCTCGAAGGGCTTGAAATCAGCTCCCTTGACACCAAAGTAAGGCTGGCTATCCTTCATTTTTGCAGTCAAGGTTTGACGCCAATTTATTCAGTAAGAAACCCCTTTTAGATATATCTACTTAGGTTTATTCTCTAGAGGCTCTTTTACGCTTAGATTTTGAGCTGCTTTGCCCAAGGAGCACCCTAAACTACACGTCTCATTCTGCTTTAGCTGGGGATCATGTTACCTGAGCTGTCTGTTTCTTTTGTTTTAGTTTTAATTTTCCTTTTGTTTTTCATTGAAAGTATTTGAAGAATTTGCTTTTCCTGTCCACATCACCTTCATGTAATCTTCCACCACTTGCCGCAAACTGCACTCTATCACCTCTCATCTCTTGATTCAAAACCCCAGTGGTACCTACAAAGCCAAAAAATTGACCTGCCCCTCCTGACCTGATGGCAGTGATCAAAACTTGATCCATATCTAGAGCCCTTTCAAGTTTCAAGCATGGCCAAGCTTGACCTGCCATCCCTCAAGACACGTAGAATACACTTCTCTGTCCTAGAGCCCAGGTCTGAGCAGAAAGCTGTTTGTAGGCCTCAAAGTGTAACAAAGATTATGTGTGTAGTGTTGGAAGTGGGTGAAGTCTGGGCTGGAGGAGAGCCAGTATTTTTGGGACTTTGTAATTAAACATTATACACACTGTGAGGCACAGAAATGGGCCAAATTATCAACATATTCTGCAGAAAGTTGTTGTCTTTTGCAGGTTTTACTTTGGAAATAAAAAAACATTTCCAAAGGATGACCAATCATAAATAATGTTTCAGCAGGATAAAACTCCTGCACACACAGCAACAATTAAATCCACAAAAAAATTATTTTCCACTGCTGTTGAACTGTGAGAAGCCACTGAAATCAAATTTAACAACATTGATTAGTCTATGTGTAAAAAGCTGCCTACAGGTTTACCCCAAACACTATTTGTCACGTCTTTTTCCAAGTGTAATTTTAACTGTATATGGGCATACACTCCAGCCGCAGATGTAATAATTCAAATTTTTACTGCTAAATACCGAAAAAATTCTGGAGCGTTCCATATTGAATGGAACTGTTCAGTGTCAAGGCTGTTCCAAACTCTTGACTCCTGATTGGCTGTCTAAACTACATTCTGTAAGCATATTATTAACATCAGTCCAGAATTCATTATGATCAGTAAATACACCAACTTCCAGCACCAAAAGCTTAATTCTGGTTTGAGCCACACCCACTTTCTGTAATTAAAATGAAGGTATTAGAAAAATTATTGTTCAGCAAGCTGTATTTAAAAACAAAAAAATGTTATGAGCATCGGTATATTGGTATTGGTATCAGTACTGAAACATTTTAAGGAAACCCAGTCCTGTTTGGAACTGACTACAGTCTTTGCTTACCTGATTCAGGAGTGTTAGATGCTGATATAATTAAAATATAAATAAAAATGCAAATTTGTTGACAAAATACATGGAAGAAACAGCTTGTGTGTCCATTATTTGTCTCCATTTCATAGGCTTTGATGCACCTATAAAAATATTGTTTTTCTCATAAACTGTGTGCTCAAAGAACTAACCAAGTAAAAGATGCTACTTAAGACCACTAGAGGGGGCACATGTTACATCTACTAAACAAAAGGCAATCTCAGACAGTCAGTTTTTCTTGTTCTTCGCATAGAAATTTAGACATTCATCTGGATTATGAGATTATGACTATTTCATCTGCAAATACAGTTGAGGTCAAAAGTTTCTGCATCTAGGCTAAAGACATTTAATCTCAAATTTTCACCATTTAGTTTCATTCCATACATTTTCTGAGTTAAGTCACTCAAGGTGTATACTTCCATCAACGAAATTTCAAAATAATAGCTGCTCAGGCTGCTGAATTTGAGAGTGTGAGTAATGAGTAGTTCAGGAGAGCAGAGGAAACAATGACTGAACCCACATCTTAAAAAAACTGAAAACTGAAAAAACTGAACTTTTTTGTCACCTTCTCAGTAGGTGAGGGGGTGAGCATGTTTGTAAGCCATTCATAAAACACTTTATACTTAAGCACATGCTTAAATTTAGCTGTATTAGTCTTGTTGTCTGATGCAATTTTCTTTCTGCTCATTCAGACATCAAGTCTTTAATATTATTAAGTTGAAATTTATCATCATGTTTGGCTGATATTTACAATTGTGTCATCCATGTAGCAGTGGAAATTCATACCATGTTTACTGATAACAGTACCCAGTGGTAGCATATATAATGTGAATAATATAGGTCCTAAAACAGAGCCTTGTGGAACACCGTACTTTACTTTGTCACAAACTGACAACAATCATTCAGGTTAGATCTGAACCAGGAAAGAGCTATTTACACAGCCCTGCTGGTGACATCCCATATAAATAAAAATGTGTGGCTATAAACTTGTAAGGTGTTGGAACGAGATAATTAAGTCATGGCCATGACTTAGCAAGGTGTGAGAACGTGATAATAATTTGTGGCCACGACTTAGTAAGTAATGGAAATTAGATGATTAAGCTTTGACCACAGCTTAATAAGGCACAATCTGATTCCATAACTTAATTATCTCATTCCCATGCCTTACTAAGTTGTGGCCACACATTAGGATCTAGTAGGAGTGGTCTATTGTGTCAAACGCTGCACTCAGATCAAGGAGGACTAGCCGTTTACAATTTTTACTTGTGCTGTCTCTGTACTATGATGTGGCCTAAAACCAGATTGAAATTTTTAATGTATATGAATTCTATGCAAATAGGAACTTAACTGTTTTGCCACAACTTTTTCCAAGACCTTTGATATAAAGGGGAGATTCGATATAGGTCTATAATTTGATAGTTCGCAGGGATCAAAGTTAGCTGTTTTAATCAGCGGTCTAATTACTGCTAGTTTAAGAGTTTTTGGGATATAGCCAAGGCTAAGAGAAGAGTTTATTATTGACAGAATAGGCTTGGTTATTTCTGGCAAAATTTCCTTGAGTAAACCTGTAGGAATCGGATCTAATGTGCAAGTAGAAGAGGGAACAATTTTGTGGAGGAAACAATTTTAACTAGTTCATTTTCTTGAAGTAAGGTAAATGATTCCAGCCTCTCTGCAGTGATTATAATATTCTCAGGATCTAGACTGGCATTATAAGGCAGCAGGTTTGTAGAGTTTAATTGTGTATTCCGAATTTTCTGCCTAATTTTTTCAATTTTATCAATAAAAAAATTCATAAAATCATTGCTGCTATAGGCTAACGGTATCTGGGGTTCAGTAACTGTTTTGTTCTCTGTTATTTTAGAAATTGTGCTAAATAGTAATTAAATAGTAATCTAGGATTATTCTTATTGTTTTCTATGAGAGAGGAGAGATAGGCTGAGCGGGACTATAGAAGAGCAGTAAGTGCTCTTCTATAGTCTATAAGGCTATAATCCCTCCAGACGGACTGGAACACTTCTAGTTTAGTCGGGCGCCATTTTGTGGCAGTCTGTTTTAGAGCTCAAGTTTGATCATTATACAATGGAGCAGACTTTTTCTGCCTTACTATTTAACTTTTTTTTAATGGAGATAAAAATAAAAGAAAACAAATAAATAATATTAATAAAAATAAAAATTGTAACTAACAGTATTTGATTTTTAAATTTAATCTGTGACAACCTTTTACCCATTTTAAGCTTTGATCTTACTCTGTTTTTAATAATGATACATAAAGTAGCATGGTTCACTCTCAGTTCTCCGCATTTAATTTAAGCAGACAAACCACATACTCACCAAACCTTTTGATAAAGTTAATCTCCTACTTAATTGCTGAAACAAATAGTATGCATCATACAGCATGTGCCTTCAACAAGACATATTTATTTAATCGACAGCGTACAGTACAGTACAACAGTTATACTTTTAATACTGCATAAATCAAACATAATTCCTGAAACCGGCACAAAAATAAACATAAATATGTTATGCAACTCATTTTCTCAAAGCAAGACAAGCAGTTGGCTCATGTTACAAGAGAGAAAAAAAACAAATTATTACACCAGTTTTATAAACATTATGAAAAGGATGTCATGAACATGACTTTATGATGACTACAGCATCATAAATATGACTTTCATTACAAAGAACTTTGTCAGCGTGGAAGACTTCAAACCCAGATTAACTCTATAATTGATATACATTCACTTATAAGTCAACATATGAAAATTCTTATATGGTTGTGTGTACGAATTTAAGAAACGACTCGTGTCCAGAATCATGTACATTTTATCAATTACATTTTAAGTTTTGGGGTTTTTTTTTGTTTTTTTTTAGCTTGATTATAATATGGGACTGTGATGAGGATGATGAAGACACAACCAAGAAACAATGATAGTTGATCATTCACGTAGTTGCTCAGTCTCAGTTCCAGTGTCTGTACGTTCAAGCGTTTGTTTCATACATCTTCACTTTTATTTTGTTCATAAAGCTTGGGACACTTACTTCCTGTATGATTTGAGTGGTTGGATGTTTTGAAATGTCATAGCTAGTCCTGAAACACCTTCCACCTTCATACAAAAGGTGAAATCCAGCTCTGTAAAACCCCTGCGCTGCCACTGATGCCTGTGCTTTTGCCTCTGCAAGCAGTAGCTGCTGTAATCTCAGCATCTGAAAATTGCATGGCTAGCATTCACAACAATGCCTGTCCCTTAATTGGCTTACATATTGCTCCTCCGGACTATGGTTTTTGATAAGTTAGCCTTCTCCATCCTGCGCTTATAAGACCTTTCACTAACACTGCTGTTGTCGTGCTTCCGGTTACAATTTCTGTAACTACACCAGCCAACTCTGTCCTGGTTCTGACTCTCTCTGTTGCTCGCCTCCTGATCTCAACCATATCCACTTCTGTCACATCTCTGATCTTCCCCTCATTTTTCGCCGCCTGTATTATTTTCTTCACTTCTTCTTTAATGGCTTCTCCAGTCTGTTCTAAGGCTTTGTTTTTGTAGGGCTCTTTGTTTTTTTCTATCAAGATGTTATTTATGGACTTCATTAGCTGGGTGAGTTGGAATCTGTTGCTTCGGTATTCCCTGCTTTGGTCTCCACTTTCAACTCGATGTTCTGCCTCTACATTGGCATCTGGATCTGACAGTATGTTAAACCATGGAGTTTCATCAGTTTGGTTTGCCTGAATTTCTTCAACAGTTTTGTTCTTAGTCTGCTGAGAAATGTTTAGCCTTTCTAGTTCAGCTAACACAGCTGAAACTCTGCTCTCATTGTTCCAGAACTTGTTGTCAATTACATGAACTCGATTTCCACATTTCTCAGCAAGATCTTTCAGTGTTTTCCCTTCAACATCAAGCTGATTTATGAAGTCATGGATCGTCATGTTCTGTTCAAGATTATGACCATGTGTGAAAAGCAACACCATGTGAGAAAGAACATCACCACTGAAGTATTTTACATCCAACACTACAATAAAGACATGAGGGCCAGGTGCACACTCTACGAGACACGATATTACCTCTTTCTTAAGTTCTTTCTCTGATCTGAAAGTATCAACAATGCCAGGGGTATCAATAACAACAATTCTTTTGCCGTTGATTTCTTTTTCATGTCTTTGACAGATCTGTGTTTGACTCTGTGCTGAACATGCTGCATTGAACACGTTCTCTCCAAGAATTGTGTTTCCAGCAGAACTTTTGCCGACTCCAGTTCTTCCCAGGAGTACAATCCTCACCTCATCCTCTCCTGACAAACAGATGAACACACTTTTAGTGCAATGCAGGGTGAAAGATCACCTATATATATATATATATATTGGCCAACAAATCATCTTTTAACAAATACAAGAGTGTGATGATGCCAGATAGCCCTGACATATCACCAGACTGTTTGGATGCAACTCACCTCAAAAGACTGTTAGACATTGTAACAGGGACATTCATATGAAGAATTGACATTGTAAAGACTGAATGTTTACTTACCTGATGTGCCACTATAGGAATGGGACCCCAGGTGATCCCGTTCCTTTCTAGGACCGGAAGCCCTCATGGTGATACGGGACAGGGAAGAACCTGTGGAGGGAGACACATGGAAAGATAAGAGCATGCTAATTAAGTGAGGAAATGGCACCATGAGATGTATACACACATATAATAACGATGGATATGGCTGTGACATTGTATCAGTGTGATTATGTCTCTTATTCTAAGCTCATGTCACCCACCCAAAGTGTAGGTATGAGATGGCTCAGATTCTACATGGGAGGGGCCACCTACTTAAAAGCAGGAGACGAGGAGAAAGGAGAGGGCCAGCATGATGAAAGAGTTCTGTGTGATTCAGATTACCTTTGATAGGGATATTCCAAGAGCAAAGAATAACGGTTATATGTTGATCTTGAGATGAGATTATTCTTTGACAGCTTAGTTCTCTTATAAGTGTCAACATTTGAGTGTGGAGCTTTATTAAATAGAGAGCACTTTGGAAACTGAAAACCAAGTTATCATGTTTTTTGCTTCTGTTACGATCCTGGGGGTGTATGGTGTTTGTTTTGTGTTCTTTTTTTTTCTTGTAATCACTTTTCCCCTTGGGTTGGTGTCTGGAGGGCTCTGACTGGGTACAGCAGGGGGCGCTCCAGTTACTTATGGGCTGATGAGGCACTGCAGAAGGAGAGGGACTGTTCCAGTGGTCACACCTGTGCCATCAGTCTCCACCTGACCAGACCAAGCACCCAAAGCTTTAGTTTGTGAACTCATGTGTTGTATGAGTTTGCCTAAATACCTGTAAAGCTCTCTTTTTCTAAGTCAGGGGCTGAGTGTCCTGTGTTTTTTGTATATTGTTTTCTCCTGGTTTGGGACAGGGAGGTAGCCTTATAATTGTAATTTTGCTTTAAGTTAGATAAGTTTAGTTATCTGTTGTTTCTAGTTTGTTTTGGCCTTATCTCACCCCCTGAAGTTTATCTCTTCCATAAGCTCACCTGCACTTGACCAGTTTAAAGCTAGACTGACCAGTTTTTACAAGATGGTGCTTTTAACTTGTACAAGTTAAAAGAAATAAATGCTGATAATTGGTCAGTTATTTTTAGTTGGTGGTGTCTTGGTTTGGCAGTTGGATGGCGTTGGCTCTTTTTTATGTATGGCCTTATATTTTCCCCTAGACATTGGAGGTCATAACACTTCTAGGACCTCTGATCCACTCGACCATGGACCAAGACTGATATATTAACAGTGTATTGGACATCTTCTTGAACTTCCATTCTCCCTCCATCAACACCCATACCAGAGTCTTCCAAGTCAGCTAAGTATCACATATTTTTCATTGGTATCTCTTAACTTTACATTATTGCTTCTGTCACTTCCAACATGTTCTTCTAAAATCCCATCTACACCTCTAACAGAAACTGAATACACCAGCACCATCGCAGTAACAACCACACCAGAAATCTCATCTCAATCGGTTTTTCAGAAGTAAATTTTATCTCAGTCTTTGAATCTGTCTATTTAGTCCACGTCTTGTCTCTAACAAAGGCTTGGTACACTTATGTGAACTATGTGACTCCAGGTGCCTCTTTACTTTCTCCCATTCACTGTAGCATATTGGTAGGGGTGTTAGCACAGGTTTGCTTCTATTTTGAATGTGATTGTGTAGATGCCTTTCAAGGAAACTGTTACCAAACTAACTTAGTCCTGCAGGTTTTTCCTCTACAACATCCAGAGAATTCAACTTTTTCACTCTAGGGAGGCCAAATAGTTTCTTGTTCAGCCTCTTTCCATGTCAATGTTTGACTACTACAACTCTTGCAAGCTTTTGGCTGATCTTCAGGCAGCTGATCTAAAACGCAGTGGCACAACTTGTCTTCAATCTTCTCAAGTTCTCCAATGTCACTCCATTTTTGCTCACTTCTCACCAGCTTCCGGTAGCTGATGCATCAGATTTAAAACCCTAATGCCAAAAAGTGGACCAGCCCCTCCCAACCTGATGGCAGTGATCAAAACTCGATCCATACCTAGAGCCCTTTCAAGTATAGCCAAGCTTGACCTGCCATCCCTCAAGACGCATGGAAGACACTTCTCTGTCCTAGAGCCCAGGTCTGAGCATAAAGCTGGAGTTTGTAGGCCTTTAAGTGTAATAAAGATTATGTGTGTAGTACCTCCAGTACAAAGTAGTTCACTTGCTTTATCTTCCTTCTGACCTGTGTAAGTGCTGGATGTGGGTAAAGTCTGAGCTGGAGAGGGGGTGACTGATAAGGCTAGAGGGGCGGCAACACATTCAGACAGTTAGGAGACATTACATACATTTCAGACATTACAACCTATCAAAAAGGAAAGACAAGCTAAGCTTTAGAGGGAAACCGAAAGCAACTGAAAGTTAAAGTGAATCCAACATTTGTACACATCATCTCAATTTTACTATGGAGTGTAATTTATATAAAGCTCAACTATATACAGTGAAATATCTTAAGGAGACAATTTAAAAAATGTGCTCTTGTGCTTGCAGCTTTATTTTTCAATAGTTTCATGTTTGCATGGAACTGAAAATAGCATTTATTTACCTGGTTGAGGTGTGTAACCTGCTGAAATAGAACAAAAATGCATAAGCAGTGAGTGGCACAGAAATCACAGTGATGTGCAGTATTTTCCTAACATAAATTACTAGATAGTAACAAAAAGAATACATTTTACATAAAATGATACATGTTGTGTGAGCAGAAAGCAGAAACTGTTAAGCATTGAATGCAATACCTCCTTTGAGAAATGAAGCTATACCATCTGTCTGATTGGTGGAGGTACTGGAAGATGTGTGGGTAGGAGGGTACACTAACGTTGCTGGAAAGTAGAGGGCTAACAATGAACAAATATGGGGGAAAACAGAACAAGAACATTATTAAAGCTGAATATTACTGAACAGTATATACATTAATAGGGCTTGGGAATCACAGTCACATCACACTGCATTATGGGACCATTTAAACATTTTGGCAGGGTTTGTTCTTTGTTTACATGTCTGCAAATCCTCAAATACACTGAGAGATATTAAAATGAATGTTATTTTATTGTGGTTTTCAAGAATTGTCATGCCTAAAAGGGAATGAAATCAAACAGGAATGTATCTTAATCAACTCTAGAGGATCCAAACAACTATATAATAATAAAAGTAGCCTTATTGACAGTGCATATCCATACATACTACTTGTTCTGAACAACAAGTGGAGTAATGATATGGATATGCTAAGGTTTCTTCCTCTTTTATTCACAGTCTTTTTACTAGTTGATGTGTTTTACTGCCTTTACAAATAGTTATATTGTTAGTGATCTGTAATCTGGTGGTCATTTTGAACCACATGCTAGTGAGCTCTGATACTGAGTGAAACTGTTAGCTACAGATTAGCTAATCTCAAGGAAAGCAGGTGGGAAAGGAAGATTCATTCAACTATTCTGAATCAGCCTAGACAGACTAAACCTGCCAAAATGGCGGATCACCCATAAGACACTATGTCATGACATAACACTCTCAAGTCCTATTATAATCTACCAAGAGGGAAAGACATTCTAAGCTCTAATAAGGCAGGGATCTCAAAGTAAGTGAAAATAAAAGTGAATGGAATGATATTTACAGCTCTGCTAATTTGTGACATTACTGGTTTTCTTTATTCAGTTTACATTTCCAGGAGTAATAACCATTTCTGTAAATGTTACAGTTTAGCCAACTTCATAACTTTAAACTGTAGTGCCTGGACAGTTATGGAGAAGACAAAAGCACTGACAAATAAAACAGGAAGGGTGCATTTAGTAATTCAAGATTATTCGTGCTTGATTTATAAACTGAGTTGAAATACAATGAAGACTAATTTGGTGTGAAAGAACTTTAATTTACTAACACTATTGACTGTTCCACTGGTGACTGTTTTGCTGCACTGATACTGATAATTGATTACAGTCTTTGCCTACCTGGTTCTGGTGTGTTAGATCCTGAAATAGAGGGGGAAAAATGACTTTAAAAATATTGTACCTTGTAATCATAGAATTAAATGTACAAATAGAAACGACATGCTTGATTGTACAGTGATTGACAAAACTTTCACAAGAGTTACCTGCAGCTATAAAAAGATTAAATGTGACTTGTTGCTGAAACACATTTCCCTGAACCACTGGGGAATGGACACTTCCTCCAGTCTGAGCTGAAATTGTGGAACTCAACGGTGGACACGTCTGAGCTGGAGGGGTAGAGGTGCAAGAGAGTACTCAGGACTGTATTAATCACAAGATATCAGTCAAGTATAGATCAGGCATGCAAACTCACAGGGAAAAAAAGGTCAATTTTAATCATTTAATTAAAAAAATCTGTTGTTTGCCATAGACTTGTCAGAAGTTTAGTCTGTGCAAAAATTGGCAGATATTTTTTTAAAAAATATTAAAAGAATTAGAGTTAATTCTGAAGTTTAGACTGCCTATCATTTGTGTTCTATCTGCTTAAAGGCCAATACTGGCCGCTTGCGGCTGCATTACTTTAATATAGTTTACCAAAGGTCCCTTGGCTGTTCATTGGTTTACAACAGTCCATAGAATGCATGAACTGCATGAACTTAAATAAAAGGTTAACAGAAATGAAATACTATATGACAATGACTGAACTGCTGCAGTGCTGTTTGGGAGGAAGAATTGGTAACACGTTCTATGAATGTCACCTTTGTAAGCATCTATAAACACATTCCTAACATGTTATAATGCATTCGTAAGACATTATAAACATAGCTATAAATGTTTGTAAAATACATTATACATTATAGCCATGCTTATTATGCATTATGAATTGTTAAGATAATACATTATAAGAGCTCATAAGTTGTATATGTCCGCTCTAAGTAAAGTGACGCGCACTGTACTAAAGCCTCCTCCAGTGTTCAGAGTGAGGCTTCAAGTTGAAGTATTTACTGAAGGATTTACTGAAACACTAAAACATTCACAGTAAAGCTCATTACAGGCTTCAAATGTCAGAGTTTAAACTAGAGCTGCCATCAGTGTTTTACCCAATGTGGGAAAGGTAATGTTCACCACCGTTAGCTTGGTATTTGTCTTTACTTTACGCTCTCCAAGCTGGGACTGACTTCTTTGGCACTGACATTATAACATGTTATTAACACTATTTATAATGCATTATATTAACAATTCATAATGTATAATAAACATGGCTATAAAATGTAATTCAGTGTAATTCTTTTTTATAAATATTTATAACCATGTTTATAATGCCTTATGAATACATTATAACATGTTATAAATGTGTTTATAGATGCTTACAAAGGTGACATTCATAGAAAGTGTTACTGAAAGATTCTCTCTTACAATGCTCTGTGTGGCCACTGCCCCAAATATTTTAGGCTGTACAGAATTAAGATTTTAGTGGCTTTCATTTCTGTTTTCTTTTCATTTTCATTTCATAGTTTATAAGGTTTTAGCAAATACATAAAATTCTAATAACCCACCTTCACTGTCCATGTTTCCAGCTTCCTCAGTCAGATGGTTGGAGTTCATGTTCCTCAAGATGTTACAACCTCTGCCAGCTCAAGTTGTTCAACATCCAGTTTTTTGTTCATCTGTCATTTCTGTGACAGTAATAGCTGTTAGATTGTTTGACAGAAAGGGATGTAGGGCAAAAAATGAGGGCAGAGAAGATTTTTAAACAATAGTCCAACAAATTTCCTTTTTCAGAGTTGTTAGAAATAACTTTTTTTTTTGTAAAATTTGTACTTTTAAAGTATGATTTGATGCAAACATTACTTCTCATTAGCTTCCACAGTGTTTCTTTAGAAACACTACTGCACTAATACAACAACAACATATTCTCCAACAGTTGTGTTGTTATTTCTGTCTTTAGACCTGCTACGAATAACACATAAAATGACCTAGGGCTATTTTACTGCGCCAAGCTTATGTGATTGTTGTGTTTCTGTACCTCTTTCTTCTTCACTTTCCTCACTTCAGGGGAAGGAACAGATCTGAAGGTAGTACGATCAAAATATTCACTTTCAACCCAAGTTTAAAAACTTATAACTGTGCTGCCCCCATCAGATTTGCAACCTTAAAACCAATAGCAACAACACACAAAAGCCAATACCTCATCTTTACAGATAAATAAATATTGTAGCGCTAGTGTACTCACACGCTGTGATGCAGTTTGCTGCACATCATTTGTTAAATAGGGTAGTTATGGTAAGTTCTATAAGTATTTGGGCAGTGACACAATTTTTGCACAACTCCGTTTCCCAAAAAGAAGCAAAATGTAAACAATAATAGAGTGCAATGATGTGCAAATCATTTCAACCCTTTATGCAATTGAAAATAGTACAAAGACAACAAATCAAATGTTGAAACTGAGAACATGAAACAGGTGTTTGGGGGAAGTCTCAGCACGTATCTATGGGATGCCTTGCATGTTCTGCTCGTTGCCAAAATCCACCTTTACATGAGTTGATGTCGAGATGAGTGGCTGAGAAGTAAAGTCAAGACAGAACAGGCAAAAGTCTCTGCTTTGGCTGAACAGGTTCGTTTAGAAACTGCTGAAAAGAATGACCTTGTATCCAACCGAGGAGCTCAAACAAGCAGAAGCAGCAGTTTCAGAGCATCAGAGAGTAGCATCTAAAATGGCTTATGGTGCTGATGTTGAAAGTGATGCAGACATTTCACATGATGAATCAACTCAAGGTGATTCAGAATAATCTGAGGATGATTCGACTCCTAATGTCCAAATTCACAAAGTTCCAGTTAAAGTGAAACCTGCCAAATCTCATGCTAAGACTAACTGATTAACTCTAATTAAGTGAAAGAGTCACAGTGAATAGGTACCTGCTCAATACCTTTTTTCATATGTGCATGCAGTACTGTGTTGAACTGTTTATATATCCTTACATAATCTGTTATATTTTCATATTGATATAAATTGATGTGTTTTTATTGTTAAATAAAATATTCACATATTTTGTTAACCTTGGTTAAACATGATTTCTTAATGAAGAGATCCTTCTTGGGTTGGTACAGAGATAAAACAGTTTGATATTGATATTACAGACATCATTCTAGGCTTTCTGTAAATTAAATACAAGTGATTATGCTAAAAAGTAATGTAAATGGAAATGGACATTGCATTTATTTGTGTATTTATTTACTTTTCATGGACTATGTTAATGATTTGTTATACTATAAAATGTTGAATTTTTATGTAAAAATAAACAAATCCTTATAATATTGTTCATGACTGGGGAACAAATTGGCAGCTAGACAGCAGCTAAAGGCCATACCTGGACCAGTTCTGAGTCATTTATTAAACAGAGTGGCAAACCTACAGCCACCAATGAGCCAACAGCCTCTTTTAGGCCACTGTAGCCAAATGGTTCCCACAGCATGCTAACTAGCTGTCTGGAGCAAACTAATCTGAACTACACCTGGCGTTAAAGACCAGTACCACTGAGTTAAATGTGAGCTCCAGTAAAAACACAATAGAAACACCCATCAACATGTGAATCACTTCAAAGCTTCATGCGCATACAAATACATGTGCATATACAGATATTTGTAAAAGCCACAAAGCACAGTAAGATGGTAACTGTGGTTAGGATAACAGTCAAATGCATTTTTTCACTGCCTCCTGCTCATCATATAGCAAAAACATACTTGTCCCTAGCATGTTTAAATAAAAGTTACTCAAGTGTGTCCAGGTGTATATGTGATGTTTAGCAGACTGTGTGACGCAGTTGTTTTTGGCCAACCATGTAACTTCTTAAAAATGGTGATTTAGGAAATATCCCATCTACAGTTTTACTGCTGGTAGCATTTTCAGATGCAGTGATTAAGGCTATCAAAATTTACCTTCAGTTTTATGTAGAGAGCTAAATATGCATGTTATTGTAGAACATTTGGCAAGGTAGCACAATTCAAAAATCTATAAATCACTTTGATTCTGTTTTTTCATTTTCAGAAGGAATTAAGCAACTTTAAGCACCTCTATGAAAAAGCAATCAGACAAGGCATATTAGGCTATGTTTATGATATTTATGAACTCACCATGCAAAAATATGCTTCGATTTCTTTCACTTGCCGTCCAAAACAAAAATCATTTCTTGCTTGCCTTGAGAGGCTGCTAGCTGTTCATTTTATGATTCAAATTGCTAAAGCATTCATTCTCATTTGGATTAGGGGATTCTTAATAAAGTTGTGTGTTATGCTCCTGGTTTAAGTCTGGTTATTGTAGTTCATTGCATTGTGGCAGTGGAAAGGCGGAACTGCTGTCCAAGCCCCAGAACATGCATAGTCAGCGTGCATCAGCCCCTCCCAGGCTAAGGATCTGGTCTCACTTCCTCTTCTTCTGTTTTTTGGTGGTTGGCAAGCCAGTTATGTGGTGCATTACCACCACTTATTGGACTGGAGCATAGGGCACCGATATTAGGATTTAACACTGAACTTCTAAATGAGAATATATGGTGACTAATATGGGATTGTGTTGGAATGGGAGAACTGTCCATTAATAACAATAATAATAATAATAATAATAATAATAAATGTTTAAATCATATCAAATAATTCTGTTATATCTTATAACAATATTATAACCTCCTAATGTTTCTTGTTCTCCATAGTCATGGAACCTCTTTCCTTTCATTTTCATATGTTTTCCAATGTACTAGGACACGCTCTATTGTCTTGAGCTGCTCACAGTATGTCCAGTGACCAGGAAAATGTGAGCCTACAGTATCTTCCTTCCTTCTGCTCACAGTTGTCACTCTTGGCCCTGCCTGTTTTTGAATATTATAAGATGTCTCCCTCTCGTTTCTTAATCCCACAGTTCCTGCCATATGAAAACATCATAACTTTAATATGCTTCCTTTTGAGGGCCCGTTTTGCTAGCATGCCTGCACACTCGTTTCCTTCCACCCCTACATCTGCTGCCACCCTTGGAAACTAATGGACAATCCTAAATGCTGTATTCTCAGAAGGACCTGAGGATGACCCACACTGTATCCAGCCTGGCCAATAACCATTTGTCTGGCTTTGTAATGCTGCTTGTGAGTCTGAGCAAACCACTTTTATTGACTGCATTGCCCACAGCAGAGCCAACGTTACTGCTGCCAATTCAGCTGAGAATTGTGATGTTGTCTGATGTTGAATGTACACAGCCAATCCTGACCGCACTGGTCTTTAGATGCATTTGTAAATACCTGGAGCTCATATTGATACCTTTTTTTAAACATGGTCGCATCATCTGTTTTTTGATAAAAACATTCCTTTTGTCACTGTGCAATTGTAAATCTACAGGAATTACAGACAGAACCATTGTGCCACACTGATTGACACTTGACAGCCCTATGAGTCATGTAGTTTTATCTCCCACCCAGCCCAAGCTTTTAACTTTGTCATTACCATGTTCGCAACAGTCCTGTAGTATATTCTTTGTAGCATGGTGTTCTCTGTGCCCTTCTAAATCCATCCAGTATGACACTGCTAGTGTAAGTCTTCTGATTACTAGCAGTATTTCACCCCTTTCTACTTGTGTTGCTGGAATTGAAGAGGGCCTGAAAACACCACAGCACATCCTTGACAAATGCATCTGAACTACATTCACCTTCTCAGTATCACATTCTAGTATCTTACTGCCTTATTTCCCCACTTACCTGTTACCTCACTTACCTGCCTTATTACCCCACTTATCTGACTGTTACCTCACTTACCTGCCTTATTATCCCACTTATCTGACTGTTACCCCACTTACCTGCCTTATTATCCCACTGATCAGACTGTTACCTCACTTACCTGCCTTATTACCCCACTGATCAGACTGTTACCTCACTTACCTGCCTTATTATCCCACTTACCTGACTGTTACCTCACTTACCTGCCTTATTATCCCACTTACCTGACTGTTACCTCACTTACCTGCCTTATTACCCCACTTACCTGACTGTTACCTCACTTACCTGCCTTATTATCCCACTTACCTGTTACCTCACTTACCTGGTACCCCACTTACCTGCTTTATTACCCCACTTATCTGACTGTTACCTCACTTATCTGACTGTTACCTCACTTACCTGCCTTATTATCCTACTTATCTGTTACCCCACTTACCTGCCTTATTACCCCACTTATCTGACTGTTACCCCACTTACCTGCCTTATTATCCCACTTATCTGACTGTTACCCCACTTACCTGCCTTATTATCCCACTTACCTGTTACCCCACTTACCTGCCTTATTATCCTACTTATCTGTTACCCCACTTACCTGCCTTATTACCCCACTTATCTGACTGTTACCCCACTTACCTGCCTTATTATCCCACTTATCTGACTGTTACCCCACTTACCTGCTTTATTACCCCACTTATCTGACTGTTACCTCACTTATCTGACTGTTACCTCACTTACCTGCCTTATTATCCTACTTATCTGTTACCCCACTTACCTGCCTTATTATCCCACTTACATGACTGTTACCTCACTTACCTGCCTTATTATCCCACTTACCTGTTACCCCACTTACCTGCCTTATTACCCCACTTATCTGTCTGTTACCTCACTTACCTGCCTTATTACCCCACTTACCTGTTACCCCACTTACCTGCCTTATTACCCCACTTATCTGTCTGTTACCTCACTTACCCGCCTTATTATCCCACTTATCTGACTGTTACCTCACTTACCTGCCTTACTACCCCACTTATCTGTCTGTTACCTCACTTACCTGCCTTATTACCCCACTTATCTGTCTGTTACCTCATTACCTGCCTTATTACCCCACTTATCTGTCTGTTACCTCACTTACCTGCCATATTACCCCACTTATCTGTCTGTTACCTCATTACCTGCCATATTACCCCACTTATCTGACTGTTACCCCACTGATCCTATTCTCTGCCACTATACGCCCTTTACCTGCTGCTGCACTCAGCACTTTAACTTTAGACTCATACTTTGCACATTGTAAGGTTTACAGGTATGACTGTGTGTGTGTGTGGTTGTAATGAGTGAGTGATGGTAAGAATGCATGTTTTATTTTATCTTTATTTTATTTTTTTGTATTTTATCTTATTGTATTTTATTTTATTTTATATTTATTTTATTTTATTTCATTCACTACATGTAAATGTTTGATGCTGTGCACTGTGAGCTCCTGTAACTAAAACCAAAGTCCTTGTATGTGTAAGCAAACCTGGCCAATAAAGCTTGATTCTGATTCTGATTCTTACATTCATGTTTCTGACCCTGAGCCATACACTATACAGCCAGGGCTGATCATATTAATTAGAAGTATATTAGCCCCAAAGCCTGCCAGCTCACACCCCGATCTAATCCAGCTAGACATCTTAACACATTTATTACTCTTTTGCATTCGGACACTAACTTATTAATGTGTGTCTTGAATGTTGATCCACAAGTCAGCTAGTTTCTCCTGTGTTATTCTGTCACTTAAATGCGATGGAGACTAAAGGGCAAGTTCAGCGCTACCCTGTGCTTCTCTCAGAATGAGGATGAAATTAGCTACTTATTTGCAGCTTCTGATACGTTTGGCTCCTAATTTGCAGTGTCTTATTTAACAGCTGAAGTTGCTCCTTATTTGTGGCTTCTGAATTAGCGAATCATGGTAAACTACAGGGAGTGTTCATGTTTGCATGTTTACTGTGCATTTTCCATTTTGACAAACTTAGATGAACTAAAATGAATAATAAAGATAAAATAATGAAGAAATTAAGAATTTGTACTATGTTTGTCCTACCATTGTGAATATAAAGAATATGACTATATAATAATAAAATAAGGACAAGCACAGCTTGTATATTTAATTTTGCAATTTTTCAGACATACACACAGGCACACAGGAAAATAGACAGGAAGCTGAAATTCTGTATAGACTCTGATGGCTTTAATGGCCATGGGCAAGAAATATGCAAAAATCTATAAAAGGGAGCATGCATCCCTCTCTAAGGGAATACTGCATGTAGATAAAAAAAAATCAATATATGTTGAAGGCATTAGTGAGGATGAACTAGAACTAACTAGCAATATGGCACATTGAGTAATTGTGCATGCAGGTAAATGGAATAAAAGTTGATGATTTAATTACCAAGGGTCAGTCAAATGAGAAATCATCAAAGAAGGACAAAGCTATAATCTGGCTTTCTTTTATTGCATATAATTTGTATATTTGTATAATTTTATATTTGTATATAATTTATTTTCAGTGGTTATTACTTCTTTTGATTTTCTATATACACCCATGTTTGATGAATCATTTAATTCCACATGATTGTTTTCAACCTATTTGATGATAGTTTCACTTTATCTATTTGTAGTGGTACCAAGCCATGGGGAGCCAATCTGACCAGCGTTTGCTACTGCGCCATAATGAATGCAAAGGGGGAAAGATTTAAAGCAGTGTAAAAATTGGAGGCTTTTAATAATTCTAATTTTAATGCTTTTAGTAAGACAATATTTTTTCTCATACTTCTAGTATACTTAGAAAATTAATTTATTTGGTGCCCATGGGTTTTTTCAGTTTTATTTTTTATTCACTTGTACCTTTCATTCTCTTTATTAAGTTCTTTATTTTAGAGTCATAAACTACAAATTATTCATGTTTACAGTTAAACATTTGGCAGACACTTTTATACAAAGCAACTTACACCAGAAGAAAAACAATCAGTACAAGCATGGCATACAAGCTTAAGGTGAGACAGTGGTCGATTTACCTGCAAGTGCCCTTAGAAAGGTAAAAGGTGAACTGGTCAAGATGCTGCAATGCTGCTATAGTTGTAAATGAAGCAGTGATAGAAATTTGCAATTTTCTCAGTGTAGTGACTTTCTTAGAGTTTGAAATGTGATTTTACTGCAATAGAGTTTCGCTATTTTGAGAGTGAAATCTTTGATCCTTAACATCTCAAAACTGCACTGAACACAGATAGAACCTTACACTTCTAAGCCAAAGATTTAACAATTTAACAAAAGTATTACTACAATACTGCAGAGTTGAAATGCAACATGCATAATGATTCTGTGAAATAAAAATTAGTATAAAGTATAAAAAGTATAAAATGCAAGCATACAAGCAAAAATGCTACAGGGGGTGCTACAGAAAAGGGGTGCATTGTAAAAAATGGTATAGTATATCTCAAATTTTTCATTATGAGAATATTGTAAGGTGTGAGTTAAATTATCTCACTATATTGGCAGATAATTTTGCTTGTTGTAAGAAATATGCTTGAAACTAGCAAAATCATTTGCCAATATAGTGAGATAATCTGACTCACTGAAATCACTTACAATAAATGTCTAGAAATAAGTTAAATAATCTTATGATTATCTTACAAATAATCTCAACATGAAAAAAATAAGATAGCATCACTTGCCAAGATGCTATTTTTTCAGATGAATCACACTGTATACTTTATCCAGTTACTTGTTCAACCCAGCCCTGTGACAGGAGGCTATTCTATCTGACACAGAGACACAGAGGAGCCAAAACCAACTACAAACCCAGCATATATAGGCTCTGTGAATGTGGACTGGAATGTGTGAATGTGCGTAAGTGTGGGTGAATCAGAGGAGACACTGTAGAATGTCAGAGTTCCAGCTGGCCAATCCAGATATACTCCTACTCTGTTGCACTGTGGGTCAGGAATGGCTGTTCTCTTCTTATTGTGAGAGGCATAGCATTGGCCACGGGAAAAGTACAGACTCCAGGACTTCGCATTGTATCCAAACCTACAGTCATTACCTCTCCCTTTCCTGGTTATTGCTTTGTACGTTGCAGCTATATCAGCTCTCCACCCATCCCATTCAACCTCCCAGTAACACCGCCTGGTTAGACTCTCCATGCACATCACTTGATGACTAGGATCAAACCTCTCTGGATGATCAGAGTATGGCAAATTCTTTTTCACCCATGTCACTTTCCTGTTATCTTCAGACAGGGAGAGAAGTGTGTGGGCTGTGTTTGGGTCGAGAGTGAGCTCACATGCATCTGCACAAAAAAAAGAAAAAATGTCCACTCAGCTGAGTCAAGGGGCATTCTTATTTCACCTTAGACAGCAAAAGTGTCCAGCCCAACTGTGCGTCATCATTACCGGGATCTGCTTTTATGAGGACCACATGGTAAGTACAGCTGTTTGGAAACAGTTTCGATACCCCGGCCAAATTATATGTATTTTTATTTATTTTTTCTGAAGTGAAAAGAAGTAAACACAACCTCTGAAGCAAACTGCTTTTAACATTGTTCTGCAATTGTAAATGCAGTTGCTCAGCACGTTTAAATTCTAAATTGCTTGACTTAAGAATCATGTGTAAGGTATATTTTTAATAATTCTTTTTATTATTGTTATTTAATTACATTTTTATTCAATGGCAATGGCCAACATGCTTCATCTATTAGGAAATGAAAGGACACTTTCTGATTTTTAGTGCTCAAACTCAGGTGACCCCAGCTTCTTAGACATTTAATGTCACTTTATCTTTGTCTTTCACTCATTTTTGGTTGTGCACTTGTACCTGACTTGGCTAGCTAGGACATCCTAGTCACGCCAAGGGTGTTCCTGCTTTCTTTCTCATTCCCATTCCCTTTGGTGAACTAGTCTAACATGAGGAGCAGTAGCCCTGCCCCCTCCGTGGTGTGTTAGTGTGTGTTGTGCTGGTGTGAGTGGATCAGACACAGCAGTGCTGCTGGAGTTTTTAAAAATTGTGTCCACTCACTGTCCACTCTATTAGACACTCTACAAGAGAGGACAACATTTCTTGTTGCTAACAATGTTGTTGTGGTTATGTCACGTTATGTACTTTATTGGTCCTACAAGGGAAATTTGTTATTTTGCTGCCTAACTATGCCCAATCTCGAAGCAGCCTAGCGTCGCCAGCAGAGCAGTGTCGACTGGGGCAAGTGCCTTGCTCAAGGGCACAAACAGGTATACCTAGTCAGTTGTGGGATTTGAACCCTCAACCTTCCAGTTGATGGCTCACTTCTCCTACCACTAGGGTATTTATGTGTTACTCTTATTCTATGTCAATGCCACAATACCTTTGTTGATTGTAACCAAAGCGTTCCATTTACTTCATTCATTGACAGTGTACTTAGCTCACAGTTTAGGTTTCTTTGTAATGACTCTTTATGCAACAACACTGCACAGCAGAATGGTGTACCTCCATCTCTGTATGAGCTAGACCTTCCTGCAAGTGCTTTGTTGTCATATGGGAGTTCTGCTTTGCCTTTCTGGGCAGCATGCGAGTTTTATCTGAGACTTTGCTTTGTCTTTCAGATCGTATCTTGACTTTCTTTGTGTGATATCACAGTAGATATCAGTTTATATCCTTCCCCTGCTTTGTAGGCATCAATTAGCTTCATTTTCAGATCCTCAGCCAGCTGCTTAGAGGAGCCCATGTTTTTTGAGTCTTATCAGAAAGTTTAGAGAGAAATTTAAACTCTGTAAAATTGTTGACAGCCACCCTAAAGTCAATTTTTGACCTTCCAAACCAGTCCTAATGAATCAGTTAAGCCCTATGGAGTTTTTACAACTGAAAGGGTATCCAAAGATTTGCACATGCCATAATTAGTATTTTATATTTTTCTGTTTTAATTAAATTTAAAGCTATATATAACTGCTCACTGTTACAAATTAACATTTTTTTTTTACTTCTATTCACTTAAAAACCATAAGTAATGTGCACCAGAGGTGCATACATACAACTACACAATTGCCATGCCTTTTTCAGCAATAGAAACTAAAACATTCCTTTTTTTCTGTGTCAGTGGTTAACACTTCACAATGTATAAGCTGGGTTACAGATAGGCCTAGGGTTTGTAAAAGATTAATATTTGCTATTATTTTTACCATGAGGTATTAATTAACATCTTTAATTATTTTGCAATACAGTCATGTTTGTATTTGTTTAAACTCACATTTTCTAAGTCCTGGTTTGATCCCAAACTTCCCACCATTGTCCAAACTAAAAAAAAAGCACAAAACAGACTTTCAGTTGTGGAATATTGCAGCAAAAATAAAGCACACTCTGATCACACTTACCTGATCTTTTCCAGTTTGCAGTGTGGGTCCTCCAGTCTAGCAGAGAGCCGTTTCTTTCCTGACTCTCCTGGGTGATTGTAGCTCAGATCCAGCTCTCTCAGGTGGGAGGAGTTTGAACTCAGAGCTGAGGCCAGAAAAAAACAGCCTTCCTCTGTGATCATGCAGCCAGATAATCTGCTCAGAGAGAAAGGGAAAAAAGAGAGCAAAAATATTTGTATGCTGCAACAATAAAACATAGAACTATTTGTTTTTGTCATGTTGGCTTAAAAATGTTCATGTTGTGTGTTAAGCTGCTGAACATTTCTTATCCAATTTCTGTGTATGATTCAAAACAAATTTTCAAAAAGCTCACCTCAGTGTTTCTAGCTTACAATGTAACATCTTCAGTGCGTCAGACAGGAGTTTAATTCCTGAATCATGGATGTCATTGTTGCTCAGGTCCAGCTCCTTCAGAAATGAGTTTGCTGATTGTAGAACCAATGCCAAACTTTCACAAGATGTCTCAGTGAGGTTACAGATGTTTAACCTGCAATAGACAAGTAAATGAGGAATAGTGCCATGAAAAACTGTTTTTCTCCAGTTAAGATTTGTATATTTGTCACACTAAATGGTTTCTCAACCAAAATAATGTCAGACAGGGAGAATATTAAGAACACAAAATACCATTCAAAGGTGTTTTGGGGCAAATGTGAGGCAAGTGTTTATGTTTCTCTTGATTAGCACTGGCTTCTATCATTGATCTCTCCCATTGTACAATTTTTGCTCAGTCTCTTTCTAATGATGGAGTCATGAATGCTGACCTTTTCTGAGGCTAGCAAGTTGTGCAGTTTTTTAGAAGCTTATAGGTTCTTTTCTGACTTCCTGGATGAGTTGTCTCTGTGTTCTGATGCATTTGAAGCAATTTTGATAGAGCAGAATTATTATTTTTTTGATTACAGAAGAGTGTGCTGGTTATTGCGACCTTTGAGTCTGCTTGACATTGGTGGAAATGTTCTATTAAGTGATATTTGGATTCAACAGGGCTAGAAGTAATCAAGCTAAACAAAGTTTGGTTAATTGGTTGATTAAGTAACTAAGTGGGTAATTACTTTTACTAACTTATTACTAACAATAGTGAAGTGCTGCACCACATTTTACATTACATTATGTTTTACATTAATATTAATCTAATCCATTTAGTAAATTCATAAACACTGACCTCAGTATCTCTAGTTTACATCTTGCACTCTTCAGTCCAGTAGAGAGCAGCTCCACTCCAGAATCTTGCAAATTATTGTTACTTAGGTTCAGCTCTTTCAGTGTTGAGCTTGGTGATTGTAGAGCTGAGCACATTGTTTCCATTGACATTACTGTCAGATTACAGCCAGTAAGTCTATAACGAGTGGATAAAAGCATGCATAGTGTATTACAGCTTGCATGGCATAAAACAAAATATATTATTGTATGCTAGTGATAAGGGATAACAGTAATAACTAAATAACAAGTGTCACCTCAGTATCTCCAGGCTGCAATGTGAACTGCTGAGCCCAGCTGAGAGCAACTTCACATGTGAGCTGTCCAGGTAATTGTTGCCCAGGTTCAGTTCTCTCAGCAGACTGTTGGGGGATTGTAGAGCCAAGGAGACAGTTTTACAGCATTGTTCTGTTAGATTGCAGGCATCAAGTCTGTAATGGTATACAGAAAACAATAAAAATCAATCAGGCCAAAAATCATGATTAATTCCAATATTTATACATGCTTTCATATATCTGGATCTGGAGCATTTCAGAAGCATTATTTTACTCTTAATTTGAAAAATTAACATAATCTACAGATGGGTGAAAAATCAAAGGACAAAACAACATAAATTATCTTAGTAAGCCACCATGAGCCTCCAGAACAGCTTCAGTGCACCTTGGCATAGATAGATATAGGTCTCTGGAACTGTACTGGAGGAATGGAAAAATGTTCTTCCAAATGAAATTCCCTTATTAGGTGTTTTGATGATGGTGGAGAACACATTGCTCCAAAATTTCTCATAGATGTTTAGTGAATTAGTTTGAGGCCATAGCATATTATTTACATATTGGTTTCATGATTTATAACTGTGGGTCATGACCCTCATGACTGGTGGGTTGCAATGTGTGTGTGTGTGTATGTGTATATATATATATATATATATATACACACACATATATATATACACACATATATATATATATATATATATATATATATATATATATATATATATATGATGTATATATATATATATATACACATCACTTATCAGTTCTTTAGTGTCATGCGAATGAAAATGGTAGGGATGAGCGGTTGGCGCACTCTAAGCTTCCAGTGTATTTTTTTCATTATCAGTTATTTACCTGCCACTAGAAACATTTGCTACCGTGTTGAGCCAACCCTGACTAATTTGCTGAGTTTAATATATCATATTTCATGTTTTATTTTTTTAATCAGAAAATAAACAGTAATTATGAATTAAAATGTATGTACTCTGTAGAGAATATGTTAACTCATCACAACTTGACTGGGGTTGCACAAACTTTTGCGTACAACTGTATATTTCAGTTTTCATTGCATTGTGAAATGAGGCTGACAAACTTTTTTACAATAAGGTAAAACTCACAGAGCTTTTCTGCAGTTCTTCACAGCTGGGATTAACCTCCTACGACCCTCTGCTGATGTGAAGTATATATTGAGATTAAACTCGTCCATCACGTCCTCTGATATAAGAAGCATGTATGCTAGAGCAGAACACTGGATGGGAGACAGTTCTGTGTCTGAATGGTTGTCAGAGCTTAGGAATTCCTGAATTTCTCTGTAAAGAGATTCTTCTTTTATTTCAAGCAGACATAGGAAGAGACTGATGAACCTATCAGTAGGGAGATGCTCTGTTTGTATTTTCTCTTTGATGTGCTCACTTGTGTTTCTTATTGTCTCTGTGCTGCTTTCTGTATGTGTCAGTAGTCCTTGCAAGAGTCTCTGATTGGACTCCAGTGAGATGCCCAGCAGGAAACGGATGAAAAGGTCCAGATGTCCATTCTGACTCTTTACGGCTTCATCTACTGCTCCTTTCAGCAGCTCCTCCAGCTGCAGACTTTTCTGTTGTCTCACTTTCTCTCTTGGTAGAAAATGTTGAAGTACCTCCATGTTCATGGTCAAAAAGCAGTGAAACACATAGAGAGCAGCCAGAAACTCCTGAAAGCTCAGATGCACAAAGCAGTAGATCTTCCTCTGGTAAAGGATAGATTCTTCCCTAAAGATCTCAGTACAAATCCCAGAGTACACCGAGGCCTCAGTGACGCTAATGCTGCACTCTCTGAGGTCCTCTTCATAGAACATCACGTTGCCCTTCATCAGCTGTTTGAAAGCCAGTTCGGCCAGTTTCATAATCATCTTACTGTTTGTTTCCAACAGTTTCTTTGTATTTCTCACTGCACTCTCTTCATACTTTAGATTCTTTGTGTTTGTCTGAAAGAGCAGGAAGTGAATGTACATATCGGTCAAGGTTTTAGGGATTTCTTCAGCATCTTCTTGAGCCTTTATTTGCTGAAGCACTGTTGCTGAGATCCAACAGAAAACAGGTATATGGCACATAATGTGTAGTGTCCTTATTGTCTTAACATGCAAGATGATTTTCCTGGCTTGATCTTGATCACTGATTTTCTTTCTGAAGTATTCCTCCTTCTGGGGGTCACTGAATCCCTGAATTTCTGTAACACGATTGATGTACTGAGAAGGGATCTCATTGGCTGCTGCTGGTCGGGAGGTTATCCAGATATGAGAAGAAGGAAGCAACTCTCCTTTGACTAGGCTTGTTATCAGCATGCTCAATGATGACACCATGGTCACGTCACAAACCCCCTCACTTTCATGAAAAGTTAGTTCAAATTTGCTTTCATCTAATCCATCGAAAATGAATATGACTTTGCATACATTGTATATGCTTGTATCCAGATCCTTGAGCTCAGGATGGAAGACAGACAAAAGTCCATGAAGACTCATATGGTCATCTTTGACCAAATTGAGCTCCCGGAATGGAAGCACAAACATGAAGTCTATATCCTGGTTTGCTTTTCCTTGCACCCAGTCAATAATGAACTTTTGCACAGACACTGTTTTTCCAATGCCAGCAATGCCTTTGGTCAAAACAGTTCTACATTTACTTTCTTCTGGTTCTGTAACACTGTCGTGATGTTCACTACTTTTACGAATTGTTATTTCTTTTACTTCTCTCTTGTGGCTAATTTGGTGTAATGGTTTGAAAATGTCATTGCAATTGATTGGGGTATCCTGTAAATACTCTCTCCTGGGTGTTTTCTCAATTTTTAAAACCTCATGTTCTTCATTTACCCCTTCACTGTCTCCCTCCGTGATATAGAGTGGGGTGTATATCTTGTTCAGAAGGGTTTTATTCTCTTGAGTTTTAATTCCTTCAAATAAGCTCTCATACTTTTTGTTCATTCTAGTCTTGTGAGTATCTAAGACTCTCTGCATGAAACTCTCTGATTCTTGATGAAGGTCTTGTGTGACCTCTACACAGGCTACATTGGTGGTTGCACTGTGGCGAGGAGCAGTAGTATCAGGACAGTGCGGTTCCATGGATTTGTGTGGGTGTAGAACAGGACGTGTTCTAGATCTCTTTCGGCACTGTGGACAGGCAAAGTTTCCTAATTGACTAGACTGGTCCCAATAGCTTCTGATGCACTGTCTGCAGAAACTGTGTCCACAAGTAATAGAGACAGGATCTGACAGACGCTGATCACATAGTCCACACCTAGAGTGGTCCTGGAGCAGATCTTCCCTCTGTCCACTGCAAAGACCAGCACGGGGAACGAGACAAATGAGCAAAAGAACGAATAGGAAACTAACAAAAATATGTTACTTATTCCAAAGGAGTTTCAATATCATATTCTCAAATATACAAAAATCTCTTTAACATCAGCCAAATGTGCATCCGGAACTGTCACATTATAAATACTTAAAAAACATGGTTCTTCAAGGGTTCTTAAGTAAAGAAAATGGTTCTATATAGAACTATGAACATTCAAAGAACCCTTTTCAAAAATCTTCTATACAGAACCATCTACAGCACATTCTCCATCAATCTGAAGAACAATTTATGATGCAAAGAACCTTTAATCATGCAAAGGATTCTTTGGGTGTTCATGGTTCTATTTAGAACCACTTTCTTTACTAATGAACCCTTGAAGGACCATCTTCTTTAAGAGAGTACAGGATTTAAAAGAGAGAAAGTAGACATTAGAATGATGCATAATAATCAGCGTTGCTGGACTTGTGTATGTGCTGGACACCACATACAGATGGATTTTATTCTCAATGTAATATCTAGATTTAGTTGTGCTAAAATAATCTGTAGACCTATTAACCAATTAGCCTGTGCTGGACACCGACCATCCAGTACAGTAATTGGACACTTGGACACAGGCATGGATAGATAGATAGATAGATAGATAGATAGATAGATAGATAGTATCAGTCACAAAACACGGGACATTTATAATAATAATGGTGAAACAATATAAAAAGAAAAATATATACAGAAAACCTATCTACAGGCTTATATACAACTAGAAATATACAGAAATATGCAATAAGATCTATTCTGAGATAAAAAAAAAGTCATACAGGGGAACTTCTAGGTGAAAGAGCTGCAGATATTAGCAGTTACCGTCCTGTACCACTCTGAATTCAGCTCATGAAGGCCATGCAAATGAGCTGATGAATCACGCGTGTTTAATGAGGCCGTGTGCTGAAGTCTGCTGTGCTTTGGCCCACAAGGACTGGAGCCTAAGTGGTCTCCAGCCCTGGTCCTGGAGAGCTACCTTCTTGCAGTGTGTAGTTCCAACCACAATCTGCCACACCCAGCTCATTAACTTCTTCAGAAGTTCTTTATCAGGATCAACTGCATTAGTGTTAGGTAAGTGGAAGAGGCAGCATGTTCAATGCAGGGTGAAACTAAGCTCTGCAGGAAAGTACCTCTCCAGGATGAGGGTTTGAGACAACTATCCTGGCACAAAAAATACATCTAATGTTTCATTAAGGAATAAAATAAAATATTGAACCCTCAATATCTCAAAACTGCACTAAACACAGACAGAGCCTTATAATTCTAAGGCGATATCATGTCTTATTATACTGACATGTCTTATGATAAAAAGAAAAATGCATCCCTCCATTGTATGCTCTCAGCTTTTAGGCATCAGTCTTCCTGTTGAAGATTTGCCTGTGGCAAACTAAGGCCTTCATTTTGGTCCCTAAACATCAAAATTCAGTCAAAAACAAGAAGAAAAAGTATCTCTATGATAACACTTATTCTGCTAGCACCCTTTTTAGTTGAATGTTAGTGTTATGTTAATGGCAATACACATTAACATATCTGAATTTCGTTTTGCTTTTTTTTTAAAACAAAGTAGTTAATAATTTGTAAACACTGTTAGAGTGTCAAATGAACTTTTCACTCCCCTACTACATACAGCTTTTGCATTCATTATTTTGTTTTTTTTTTAAGATATCATGAAAATCATGCTTTTAAATGTATCTCCCTATTCAGTCTACAGTTTTCCAGCCTGGGCTGCTTTTTAAATGAGGCACAATACATGGCAGCCAATCAGAGCAGAGCTGATTGAAAGGAACAGTAACAAAACAACCTGTTAAATAGTAATAGGCAAGGAAAGGTTGGAAAATCAAATTGAAATAAACCACACAAACATCATAAATGGAACAAAGGGAAAAAGACAATTGAACAATAATGTAGATTGGGTCTTTAAGGGCTGTGATTGTGTTGGATAGTTTACCTCTGATCACATGGAACAGCTTCACTACTTAAGTCTGGATGATGGCGCATGGAGTGGTCACTCTTCATGGACACAACGCTGGGTTGTGGAGTAGATCTCTGAATTTGGTAAGGATCAGCACTCTCTCCTTTCAGTTCATTCATGACAGGCTCCCCATGTTGACTTTCAAACACAGCTTGCGCCTCCCTTTCACTGTCCATACTGAAAACAGTGTCACTCCTAAAGAGAGAAAGGCGACACATCAACATCTAAAACCTTACAGCAGCAAAACATTCACTTTAATTTCACATTATTTTTCATCTGCAAAACTGTTTAACAGATGTTTCCACAGAACATCAGCTTCCTGTGTGGGCAGATTTGCCCACATAGGACAGAGGATCCAGCAAGGAAATAGATATAAAATTTGCAAAGGAAATGGAAATTACATTTTCCATGTGCACTATGTTGCCATTTGTCATGTAATTGAAAAAAACATATTTACGGCAGCCAAAAATGCCTTACTTGATTTTTTGCAGTATGAGCAATGCTACTTGAGCAATGCTTCACTGCAGCTATGAGGCAGTCCAGACCGGCCATTAGAGTGATGCTACACCACAGCTCTGATACTGCCTGGACTGGCTGCTTGATCGACTATATAGTAGCTAAGTGTCTGCCTGAGCAAAACTGCCTGTAATGCTAAATGTAAGGGACAAAGAGAGGTTGGAAAATGGTCATGTAAAAATTATGTGTGACTGTTTTTGGAACATAAAACCACACAAATGGGGAAACAGGGGAAATAAGGAAAATTGTAGAGGACTGTCTCTTTTAAGACTAAGATTATGTTGGTTGGTTTACCTTTGATCACATGGAACAGCTTCACTACTTAAGTCTGGATGATGGCGCATGGAGTGGTCACTCTTCATGGACACAACGCTGGGTTGTGGAGTTGATCTCTGGGTTTGGTAGAAAGAAGCACTCTCTCCTTTCATTTGGTTCACGACAGAGTCTCCGTGTTGACTTTCACTCGCAGCATGCTCCTCCTTTTCACTATCCATAGTGAAACTGTCACTTCTGAAGAGAGAAAGGCGACACATCAACATCTAATAAACCTCTCAGAAGCAGAATATCAGATTCATATTTGTACAAATTTGCCCAATTAAGACAAAAAAATAGTACATAGATATTGTATGTGCAGGCTGATGAATCAAAGCAATACTAGTTACTCAGCTGGGATTTTCCAAGAGCACTAAGTTGCTATTTATTTTTTACTTTATCTTATGGTAGCCAAAAATGTCTTATTTTATATATTACTAAATATTATTGTAATGTACTTTGGTTCACAGACTTCTTGGGCTGCCCACTCGAGCGACACTACACTGCAACTATGAGGCTGCTGGGACCAGTCGTTTGAGTACTGCTACACCCCAGCTGCAAGACAGCCTGGATTGGCTGCTTGAACCACACTACACTGCAGCTACAAGACAGCCTGGACCAGCCACTTGAGCGGTACTACACTGCAGCCATGTACCAGCCAACTAAATGATGTGACGAGACCGCTTGTAACAAGTGTTTGTGGGACACTGCACCACAGCTACCGTCTGCCACTAGAAACTAACCCCAAGTCATGGGGAACCAATGGTGAGGGACCACAGTTTAAATGCATGATCACTACCCAGCTGGCCTTGCTCCTGGACCAGCGATGGTATGACTTGCTGATCAAATGTAGTGTACTGAAGCCTGGTGCACCATGAATTTGCATCAGGACCAACTGGCCCCATATATGAAAGACCAGGAGGGGCAACCTAGCCATTGGTGCTTGACGAGCGATGCCCTTGAGCCATGCCAGAACCTCACCTATGCTCCCTGGCCACACAGAGAATGTCAAAATGGTCCCCAGAACTCCATCAATGCCGCTTGATGACCCAGGACGGTCAAGGCCCCTCAGCAGCGTCAGTCCTCGAAGACTGTTCCTTTCAAGTAAATGAAAGCAAAAGGTTGGATTTCTGTATTGAAATATGTTTCCTGATGCAAACTGGGGAAAGTATTGCTGAAGAAGCTTTATTATGTGTTCACGTTTACAGCAAGGTGGTTTATATGTATGTTCCTGTTGACACCGTCAAACCCTTCCACTCTGAGTTTTACCTCCGGGGACCCTTGTAACACTCATCAGTGCACACTGTATGCAACAGTTGGTTGATCCTCTCCGGCACTACAACAGGAAACACATTTGATTCTGTTTATCTCTCTTCATACATGATTACTATTCTGTTTTTCAAGGTGATGTGAGACGTTTGATTGGCCACTTTGTTTAGTAGCTCATGGTGTTCGCCTGATAAGCTTAATGACCTAATAAAATTTCACAGAAAATGTGTAGAGATTGAGAATGCCAACAACTGCCATTTCATTCACAAAAAAAAAAAGATTGATATAATTGCAAATTTCACTAGTTGATCATTTAGATTTGAAAGTTTAATTATTTAGGTTGCTTAAACTTTATTTTAGTTGCTTTATAGTCGATTGTCTTGTATTTTTATTTCTTCTTAATACCTCAGTTGATTTTCTTATTTAATTTATTATTGTACTTTAGAATTTTGGTTAATCATTTGTTTTGATCATTTTACTTGTTTTAGTTGCTTAAACCTCATTTTGCTAATGTTTTAAGCCTTCTATATTGTTATTATTGCTCAGCTGCATTGCAAATGACCCTTACAGAAAAGACAAGTATATTTTCACATGTGAAGAGTGAATGTGTTTCACATTCTCACAAGTAAAAATACAGTAATAATAAATGTATGTAATGTCAAGTAATAAATGTGATTTAATTTTTTTTCCATATGATCACATATATTTTCACCTGTTAAGTGTACTATAACCACATGTGCTTATTTACATATGAAATTCATGTGAGTTCTCTCTAAGAGGAGGGGCACCCTGAATGTATTCTGGGTTTAAATAAGTTTGGTTGATTATGCAAGAAAGTCTTTTTGGGGTACTCTTACCCTTTAGAATTATCTTTTTTAATTCAAAATCTGAAATTTAAAAAATAAAAACAAGAGCCACCAAAGTATTCATATTGTAAAAGATGAGACAGGTACCTACTGTATTTCATAATTAATAATATAATAATAAAAATACATTTCTGCATAATTAAGTGGTTAAGATGTAAACAGAGTCATTCAGAGTGGTTTGGTGTGAAACGCTCTGTTCTAGAGAAACTTAGTCAGAACTGTTCACAGTGGTGGTGACAGGAACCAGACGTCCACCTCTAAAAGCTCCCTCACAGAAAGTTACTACAGTAAATGGTTATGAATTCACTGCCTGATGACTGAGACACTGTTTTAGGATAGTTTTGAGAACTTAAACTCCATTCATGGTGGAGGGATACATGCAGGGCGCTGTGAGGCAAAATAGTCCCCAAAGTAAACTTATTATTTCAGATTTTCCACTATTGTCCATCATCATCATTCCATATAAACTCAGAAGACTCGTGTAGGTTCACTGGTGGTTCTGGATAGTAAATAAAATGTCTATATTTGTGTTGTAGTCATGGCGACCCCTGGTTCCTATCACCACCACTGTGAAGACGTCTGAACCATTTCACACCAAACCACTCTGAATCTCTCTGATTACACCTCACACACTGAATCATGGAGACATTTTGATAGAGAAGTGGTCATGTGCCTAGGTGTCAACCCTGAGAAGATAATATTACACAATATCTTGGACTTTGGATTCTGTGGACCCTGTACTCTCCTTTAAGCTCCATATTCATGTTATTATAAAAATAACGGTCTGAGTTCACTTTTTTCACTCAGTGAAGTGTTTTACATTTTAAGTGAGAAAAAGAATAATTTCTCAGTGAGGATTACTTTTTATTGATTATGCTGACATTGTCTATCAGAACTTATCTAAGGCCTCTTACTGTTTATGTATGTATATATATATATATATATATATATATATATATATATATATATATATATATATATATAGACTTGTTTCGAGGTGTCCATATAGAACTCACCATTGCTTCATGTACAAATCACCTGACTGGTTGCAGTCCAGATCTAGATGACAATTTCACTGGGTTCAGTTCATCTTTAAATGTGTTTATTTTAATTTTCCTTCCTATTTTTGTTCCATGTGGATCCCCATATCCACTCAGACATCTCATTATCTTTGTTCTTTGTGTATTTGTAGTGGAATCTTGTTTTTGTCTGTATGTGTTTTATAATTTTGCTTTTGTGTTTGTAGGAACCCCTTTAAAATAAGATGCTACATCTCCAGGGACTGTCCTTACAATAAATTCTAAATACATTATAAAATAAGATGGTGGATATTCTTAATAATGCAAAACAATGAATAAATAATGGATATATAATGGGTTTAATGGATTACTAAGCTTCATTTAGGGTCTGTTGTCATATTATGAAAAAGCATGAAATTTTTTTTGCATGTTTGCAAACGGAATATATGCACAACAGTTAGAATGTTTACAACTTTGTGTGACTGACAGTACTGTCAGCCAATAGGAATAGCTCCTATAGCCCTGCCCATTACCACATCCTGCAGCTTTACCTTCTGCTTTGTCTTTGCATTTCTTTAAAAATGTTTTTTTTTTTTCTAATTTGGACATTCCTTACAGCCTGCTGTTCTCCATGTTCAGAGCATATCTGTTTACAAAGATAATTCCTTTAATACGAATAGTTGATTACTAAGAGATGAAATTGAATTCAGGGTTGTTGTTTTTTTTGTGAGCTCAGCACCAGCAGTCAAACTGCTCCTCCAGTAATAAATAACAATAATTTTTATTCTTTAATAGTCTTTAGTAGTCTTTAATAGTAGTAATTGTTGTGCAGAGCATCTCTAAGTGTTTTTGTCAGCAGTAGCAAGCTGTATGATGCAGCTGTTTTTGTGGTCACCATGTAACTACCTTATGAAACTTTCTTAGCAGTTCTCAAGTTGACTGTGTGACATACTTATAAATAACTTATCTTCTGTTTGTAGAAGGAAATACGCTTCTCTCAGCTTGATATTGGACAAGCAAGCATGCAAGCATACATTGAGATAATGAGATTTGGTAACTTACCGTGCAGTGAAAAAACAAGTTCGAACGGAGAAGATGGCGCAGGCACTTTCACTTTCTCTGTGATCACTAAAGTCCTCTCAACAGTCTCCTAATAAAGGTGTGATTTCCTCGCTGCTCTGAGGGGGCGCTGCTGTCTTCTTTTTGTATGTGATGTGTTTCAAAAAAAAACATAAATTCAGGATAACTCAATTGGATTAGGGTCTTTCTAATGAAGCAACATTATACAACTGATTTAAGACTGGTTATTAAATCCCATTTCACTTAAAGAAAATATTGATCTCTTTTCTGTGTTATCCTTAAATACAGGGATTTTCAGGGCTGCCCTGCTCTTCTAGTTATTCAACTAAAGAAGTCAAGAGCACATCAAAACTAAAGAGAAGTTGGTTGGAACTAAGCCAGTACCAGGCTCCCGGCTACTGGACTAGTAGTGTTCATCTTTAGTGGAGCAAAATACTACGCCCTTCCTCCTAAAGTTGTTATAAAGTTTATTATGTTATGACTTCTACAGGTACTGACCAGCCTCACCCAGAGATAACTCATAGCACAGATTAAACATTATAAAGTAGACATGCAAAGGTATTTTTACATGTTTAATTCAACATTTCAACTTTATTGGGAATAGCAAGAAGTTTTTAACAATAAATGATGTAAATAATATAGAAAAGTATATAGAAAAATTATAAAACATAATGAATGATTAATTCAAGTTCTAATAAAGTTAATACCCAGAATGAATACAAGAACATTTATTTAGCAGAAGAAAACTTTATTTTTATATTTAAAATTTTAATATATACTTGTATCAGATAAACTGCCATCCCAAAGGTGTGGATTGCTGTCCTTCTCTTTATCAATCTGAGGTGTATGCTCTGCTATATTTTGCTAGGGAGTGCTGTGCAGCTCTCCTGTACTTTCAAAGAAGAAGTAGAAGAAGAGCTGTTGCTGCTGGAGTCAAACCTGGATGGTCATGTGTTTGGTTCAGGTAATACGAGCAATATTTTAAAATAAAAATAGATTTCTGCATTTCTGTGTGGGCAATCTTGTAACAATATTCGTGCTTTATTGGGGCTTTTAGAATCAGAAGTTAGGCTAGCTGTGTAATATGGGTTCATGGGAGCTGCTGAGCTAACCTGGTGCCAATCTGTTTCAGTATTTATTTTGATTCTAATTTGAATGGTTTATGGAAGAAGGACTTAATGCTTAAAAAGGAGAACACTCACCATTAACTTTACGAACTTTTCTATATTTTGCTTCACAGATGCTTCTTATAACATACAGACTTAAAAAAAGATGGTTCTTCAAGGGCTTTTTACTAAAGAAAATGGTTCTATATAGCACCAAATAGGGCTCTTCTATTGTTACAAGCTTGCCATTGTTACAATAGAAGAAGGCTTTTTGGTGCTATATAGAACCATTTTCAAAAAGGGTTCAATACAACAGATTCTTCATCAATTTGAAGAACTATTTCACAATGCAAAGAACCATTTAATCATGTAGAGGGTTCTTTGAGTGTTAATGGTTCTATATAGAACCATTTTCTTTAGTAAAAAAAGCCCTTGAAGGACCATCTTTTTTTGAGAGTGTACAACAGTCAAGAAACAGTGGGTGTAATTACATAAAACAAATGATAACACTTTACTGTAGGGTATAGCTCATAAGGCTACATGACACCTACATAAGATTGTCATGACAACCAACATAGACCTACATAAATGTTTAGAAATGCTTATTCCAATAGGCATAATTCGCTATAAAGGTTACATTTGCCAGTTTTGATCAAAGTTAGTGAAAGTAGCCTTTATGACAGATGACGCCTATCTAGCTTTCTTGTATTTTATTTATATATATGTTATATATTTTTTATATGTTTCTCAATCTCACAAAGGAAATGTGTAAAGTTTGGCACATATTCAGACCATCTCTTCTTATGTAAATGATATTTACCCTATGCTGTACAAAAAGAAACCTCTCCCTCAACACAATCAAAAACAAGGAACTCATTGTAGGCTACTGGGAAAACAGAAGCTGACACACTCTCCTGTCTGAATCAACGGTTCTGAGGTAGAGTGTGTCTCCAGCTTCAAGTTCCTGGAAGCGCACATCTCCAAAGATCTTTCATGGACACTCAACACCCCACACCTGGTTAAGAAGGCACAGCAGTGCCTCTACTTTCTGAGGAGACTAAAGAAGGAACATCTGTCACCTCAGATTCTCACAAACTTCTACTGCTGCACCATCGAAAGCGTACTGACCAACCGTGTGACAGTGTGGTACAGCAGCTCTGCTGTGGCCAGCAGGAAGGGCCTCCAAAAAGTGGTGAGGACCGCTGAGCGCATCACTGGCACACGGCTCCCTGCCATCAGAGACATCCACCACCAGCGCTGTGAGCATCATCAAGGACTCCTCCCACCCCAGCCACACCCTGTTTAACCTCCTCCCATCCGGGAGGAAATACAGAAGCATTGGGACCAGAACCAGTCGGCTCAGGTCCAGCTTCTTTCCCCCCACCATCACCCTGCTGAACTCCACACCACTCCACTAAGACTCATACCTTTATGTTGCACAGATTTATTGATTATTTATTATCCCTTGCAGTTCCATACAACAGACTGTTCTCTGTATATAGAATACAACACATAACTGCTTACTCTAAGAGTACGTAACATACCATATATATTGTATTTATAGTATTATGTGTATATATATATACATGTAGATATCATGCATAGATATATTTCTAATTTTGTACATATTGTTCATATTGTTATATATTTCATAGATATGGCATCTGGTAGATTCTAATTGCATTTCGTTGCCTTGTAAAAGTTGAATCTATTTATCTATTTATCTGTCTATTTTGAGAACTGAAGTTATTAATATAGCTGTAAAGTTCTTGCTTTAAAGTCATGTTCAAAGCACTTATCGTATTACTTACATTTATTTATTTTGGATGTATCTTGAGTCAGTTACTAGTATAGAGAATAGTTAAGCATAGATTATGTCTGCAACTAAAATCTAACAGAGCTAATACAAAAAAGAAAATTTTGCGATACAAATAAAGATACAGTGCTGAGTGCTGGAGCCCTTTTGTTTTTATGTTTATTTTTAGTGGGTCTTGTATATTTTTAACCTGAATAAAATGATTGATTTAGAATTGTAAACTGTTTAATCAATGAAATCACCAAGTATAAATTATAAGGTTTCACACCTGTTTCAAATATTAATGTTTGTTTTTAAAGATTTGTTTGTTAAAAAGTGTTAATCTACCTGTGACCACCAGAGGGGGCTCAAGTTACATCAACTAAACAAAAAAAGCACCATCAATCTCAAATAATCTTTTTTCATTTCACACAGAAATTTAGAAATTCATGTGGATTAGAAGATTATTACTATTTTATCTGCTTATACTGTTCAGCAAAAGAAAATTGAATTGCACACTGTTTTATACTTACAACACTTACAGTCACAATATCCAGTTTGTTGTACAGGAATCTAAAAGATCTCCAGGTTAGACACACGATGATAAATTTATTGTAAACCACTTATATTAGTGAATACATGAGATACATGAGCTCCGATTATATTTGATATTCCCTTTTTTATTGCCTTTTTAGAAGAGGAAGCTATAGTCTTATAATACACTATGCTTGGGCAGTGTCACAGTGCTCTCCAAGATTTTTAAAAATGGGTAGATCTCCCACTAAAGACCTATGACTTCTCCAGTTTAGAGGACATGGGTAAAGACTTTGATATGCATCTAAAACTAGGAGCCATGTTATAAACAAGGCTGATTAGTTTTATATTTCATGAAGGATAAAACATTCAGATCATAACATGTATATAATATAGACATCACAATAATATATATTGACTTTTTGTAGGAAGCACATGCAAGAATATTAATTTTATATGTTTGTAAACAAAAAGACTGCAGGGGAAATACAGCAAAATAAAGATTTCATTTACCACTACACTCACTAAAGACCTCTGGGTCATTAGGTAGTCGCGATAGGTGCTGAAAAGCCTTCAATAACATGGAATGAGCCTATAAATCCTGTAATGAATGTGATTTGGGGGAAACTATTAAATTGATTCAGGTAAGAATGAGCAAAAATACATACCAACTGTAGTCTGGACTATTTAGGTAGAGTATCTCTTTGGTCTTCCTCGCATTGATCAGGAGGTGTTTCCTCAGACACCAGTCCACGAAGTCCTCATCTGTAATGAGTCTGATGATTGCTGAGTCATCAGAGAACTTCTGTAGATGGCAGCTTGGTGAGCTGTACATGAAGTCTGCAGTGTACAGGGTGAAGAGGAACAGTGCCAGGACTGTTCCCTGTGGGGTCCCTGTGCTACTGACCACCATGTCAGACACACAGTCCCATGCCCTCACATACAGTGTCAAAAATTCATTATTTATCTTTATATATTTATCTGTGCAAAACAAAGCTGTCTAGTTTTACTGTTCAGTATTTCTGTTGAACTGACCTAGACGATAAGAAATTACCCAAATATCCATATTTTTCTTGAATAAGTCACTGTGGCATGCACCCATCCCCCGAGCCCTGATGACCACTGCGAGAGCTGGCTGGAAGGCGGGGCCCAAACCCCAAACAAGGACGAAGCCCTGCAAGGACGGCGGGGACAGAGTGAAGAGCTGGAAAGCTCGAGTGAGAAAAGGGCTGAAAAGTCTTGTTTAGAGCCACTGAAAATGGCCAGCTTAGCTTCGGTTTGTTTGCTTTGTGTTGTTTGTTTGGAGTGAAAATTAGAGTCAAATGCTGCTGCAACGCTGAACCCTGCCTCCAGCATCCTTCTTGGGCCCAGGTTGTGCTACAGTCACATACATTTCACAAGTATACAAAAACCATGTGTTCACAAGTAATTGCATTTTCACATGTGAGCATTTTCAGATTTGAAAACATTTTTTCAAATGTGATTATACATTATTAACATGAGATGTGTGTAAAAAAACATTTTAATCATGATGCTATCTACTGTTGGTCAGGATATTCACACTCAGTTATTAAATTAACCACGATTTCCCTTTGGAATTATGTTTTTGCAGATATGAATTTCTTATTCATTTTTCTTTTGATTCTTTCTTAGGGCTGTGGTGTGATACTAGAAGTGTAGCCACTTTACTTTCAGCTGTACAGGGGAAAGTCTAATATAAAGGACAGTGATGCACTGAACTGAAAATTCCTGACTGAAACCAAAATTCAAACTAAAAGAAAGGGTTCTTTGGTATATAATTTGCCATTTCATGCCGTTAATAATACTGATGATGCTTTTAAGGCAATAATTGCCATGTTCGAAAGGATACCTGAGAGAACTTAATGAATAATTTAATTTTAAATAGCTGGCTAAATAACATTAAATATTCAAAGTTGAAAAATTGTAAGAGTATAATAAAACCCCATTTCCAAAAATGTTGGGACGCTGTACAAAATTCAATGATTTCCAAATCATTTAAACTCTATATTTCATTGAAAATAGTACAAAGACAACAAATATTGAAACTGAGAAATTTTATTGTTTTTTGAAAAATATTTGCCCATTTTGAATTTGATGCCAACAACACATTACAAAAAAAGTTGGGACGGGGGCCTGTTTACCACTGTGTTTCATCACCTCTTCTTTTAACAACAGTCTGTAAGCATTTAGGAACTGAGGAGACACTGCTGTAGTTTTTTCCCATTTTTACCTAACATAGAATTTCAGCTGCTCAACAGTTCAAGATCTCCTTTGTCGTATTTTTCATTTCATTGATGTACCAAAGATTTTCGGTGGTGACAGGTCTGGACTGCAGGTCAGTTTAATACCTAGACTCTTTTAATACGGAGCAATGCTGTTGTAATACATGCAGAGTGTGGTTTGACATTGTCTTGCTAAAATAATAAAGGCCTATCCTGAAAAACGTGCCACGCCATGTGCACTAATGCACCCCTATACTGGCTTTTTTCACTGATATCAAGCTGAGGGGTCTTTAGCCTGGAGGACACAGCGTCCATGATTTCCAAAAAGAATTTCAAATGTTGATTCATCGGACCACAAGACACTTTTCCATTTCACTGCAGTCCATTTTAAATGAGCTCGGGCCCAGAGAAGGTGGCAGCATTTCTGGATCCTGTTTATATTTGGTTTCATCTTTGCATTTAAGAGTTTTAATTAGCATTTGTGGATGCAATGATGAACAATGTTCACAGACAGTGGTTTTCTGAAGTGTTCCTGAGCCCATATAGTGATTTCCACTACAGAATCAAGTCTGTTTTAATGCAGTGCCGTCTGAGGGCCCAAAGATCACGGCCAGCAAATACTGGTTTTCAGCCTTTTAATGATTTTATGTACCGTAGATGATGAGAAGCAAAAGTTCTTTGCTATTTTATGTTGAGAAACGTTATTCTTGAATTGTTCCACTATTGTATTGTGCAGTCTTTCATAGAATACTGAACCCCCCCCATCTTTACTTCTGAAAGACTTCGCCTCTCTGAGATGCTCTTTTTATACCCAATCATGTTATTGACCTGTTACCAATTAACTACCAGGTGTTTTTTAAGCATTACACAACTTTACTAGCCTTTTGTTGCCCCCGTCCCACTTTTTGGAACGTGTTGTTGGCATCAAATTAAAAATGGGTGAACATTTTTCGAAAAACAACATTTCTGTTTCAACATCTGATATGTTTAAATGATTTGCACATCATTGCATTTTGTGTTTATTTACAACTTTTTTGGAAATGTGGTTGTACTTCATGGTTTCCCAAAAGTTTGGTTTTTACTATGCATGTGGCTATAGCTTTAGGTACTCTCATCTCGCAGTCTGAATTTTCTCCAGTAGGGGGCTTCACAAGGTGCTTTAGTGTTTGGCATTTAGAGAAGAAATAGATGTGAACCCACAGCAGCAGAATCTAACAAACGGATGAGTTTACAGTAACAACCAGTTTATTACCAAAAGGAATTTAGTTAGTATTATTTTTGTGATTTCCATTAAAAAATGTCATTAAATCAGTTACTGTTAAAAAGTGTCTAAGTTAAAGTTTAGCACAGCTGCAGGACAGTGTTTCTGTTTCACTGCTGATCTGTTGCTCAGACTGTTTGAATGTGCGGGTGAGTGAAGAAAACAAAAACAAAATTTTTAATCACTATTTCCCATTTTATTATCTTTTTTGACACTGCATTCTAGACCAGTTTAATCTTTTGCTTTTTTGGCCTTTTTCTCTGATGCTCTGGTGCTGTTTTTAGAATAGATTTTTCACTTACAAATTCTGATTCTGATTCAATTAACTCCCCGTTGATCCTCTGCACTTTATCAAAACCATACAATCATCAAAAACCTTTAATTTTCAGAAATAGTATGTAACATATAATCTGTGCCCTCATGCTCCAATTAGACATACATTTCCTCTTATTTCTCATTATATAATATACACTATGTGGCCCAAATATGTGGACACCTGATCACACCTATATGAGCTTGTTGGACTTCCCTTTCCAAAACCATGGGCAGTAATATGGAGTTGCCCCTCTTTGCAGTTCTTCCTCATCCTCCAAACTTTACTGTCTACTGCCAGAGTTTGTCTATGGGAATTGCAAGGGTATGCACTTGATTTTATATACCTGTTAACAATGGGTGTGGCTGAAACATCTGAACTTGAACTCAAACATCAGGAAAGGTGTCCACACACTTTTGGCCATATAGTTTATGAAACAGCCATAGTTATACTTCAAAGATAAATTATAGCATATCTATGAACATAATTCCTAAACCCAGTAAAAGCAAAAGCATATCAGCTCATTTCCCCAGAACCAAATAAAATAAGAACAGTTTTCTTACTGAGATTATAATACTGGATATATGGATGTGAAATACATATGAAACCACAAAATCTGCATTTTGTTAATGTATAAGACCATAAGTTGAACTGACATCAGTATATAAAAGAGCAGCTAATATGTGTTCATTTAACAAATTTAACAAATTATATTTTTCTCTTGTGTTTACGTTTTTAAGGTAAAAGCCAAAGAACAGACATACTCTTGAAAATCTAAAACCAAAATGCACATAAACTATTAACAAAGTACTAAAAAATAACAGATCTTCATATTGATTTATGAATTTGTAAAAAAATGGTGTTTCCAATGTTACGGTGCCCATATATTTTTGCAAACATTTAATTATATATGCAAAACTTAAAGCTTGGTTTAAACATTAAACTTTCTACACTTGTTGTTGGTTATAATGTAGGCTATGATGATGATAAATGTACAGGCTAAAAGCGTTAAAAAAAAAAAATCAGTGACTGTTGATTAATTGCTCTAATGAAGCAATCTCTCAGCTTCATCTCCTGTTTCAGTTTTATTCCCCAGATTCCAGCATGCTTTCATTACATCTTCAGCTTTGTCTGCTAAAGCTTGGGCCACTTTACTTGCTGCCTGATTTGGGTTGTCAGACGTCTTTGACATTTCATAGCCTGACGTCGCACCCTTCCCAGCCCCATACAAAAACAGTAACCCAGCTCCAACTCCTGCTCCTATCCCAGTAGCAGCTCCTGCTCCAAGTGCTGCTGCCTCCGCCCCTGCAGCTGCCACAGAAGCTGCTGTAATCTCAGCACTGACTCCTGCTGCAACACCAACCCCAGCTAAAGCTCCTACACCTACAGCCTCTGGCTCCACTGGTGCACCTCCAGCTTGTGGTCTTTGATGAGTTAGTTTTCTCCATCCTGCCCGTACAAGTCCTGCTACTAACACTACTGGTGCTGCCAATCCAACTCCGACTCCCAGTAAAGCTCCAAGTAACAGTCCTACGGCTACACCAGCCAACTCTCTCTCTAACTTGGTTCTGACTCTCTCTATTGCTCGCCTCCTGGTTACAACCATATCCACTTCCGTCATGTCTCTGATCTTCCCCTCATCTTTCATCTCCTGTATTATGTTATTCACTTCATCCTTGATGGCTTCTCCAGTCTCTTCTAAAGCTTCGTTTTTGTATGGCTCTTTGTCGGTTTCTATCAAGATGTTATTTATGGACTTCATTAACTGGGTGAGTTGGAATATGTTACTTCGGTATTCCCTGCTTTGGTTTCCACTTCCAACTTGCCATTCTGCCTCTACGTTGTCATCTGGATCTGACAGTATGTTAAACCATGGAGTTTCATCAGTTTGGTTTGACTGAATTTCTTTAACAATTTGGATCATAGACTGCCGAGAAATGTTTAGCCTTTCTAGTTCAGCTAACACAGCTGAAACTCTGCTATTGTCATCCTTGTTCCAGTGCGTGTTGTCAATTACATGAACTCGATTTCCACATTTCTCAACAAGTTCTTTCAGTGTTTTCCCTTCAACATGACATTGATTTATGAAGTCATGGATTGTCATGTTCTGTCCAAGATCATCACCATGTGTGAAAAGCAACACCATGTGAGAAAGAACATCACCACTGAAGTATTTTAGCAACTTCTTCACTGCCTCCTGGTTTTCCCTGGTGTATCTCGCTACCTCCAACACTAAAATAAAAGCATGAGGGCCAGGTGCACACTCTACGAGACTGGAGATTATCTCTGCTTTAAGTTGTTGCTCTTTCTGGTCAGTGTCAAAAATTCCAGGGGTATCAATAACAACAATTCTTCTGCCGTTGATTTCTTTTTCATGTCTTTTACAAATGTTTGTTTGACTTTGTGGTGAACAAGCTGCTTCAAACACGTTCTCTCCAAGAATTGTGTTTCCAACAGAACTCTTGCCAGATCCAGTTTTTCCCAGGAGTACAATCCTCACCTCATCCTCTCCTGAAAAACAGTTAAGCACATTCTTTACTCTTACATACATGTAATTCTATTTGAGTTTAATATGTTCCACTTTTAGCTGTGTATTCCAGTGGACAAACAGTTTCAATCCTTGACGGAATGTAACAGAAAACAAAAACTGAATAATAATTTTTAACTACAATAACCCAGAGACTCATCACCAAACCAAAACCAAGCTGAACTAATGCTATAATAATAAGAATAATGTTATTATTATTGTTATTATTATTATTATTATTATTATATCATTAAACCTTTAAATGGCCAGGGCCCAGCAGGCCCAAAGTGGGCCTTGCCATGGTGGAAGGGCTTGTGTGGTCCAAGGTTCTTCAGAGCTAAGTCGTCTGGAGCTATTATGCTGCTGGTAGGGTCTCCCAAGGCGAACAGGTCTGGAGTGAAGACCCAGGCTAACTTAATCCAGAAATCCTCCATGACTAAGGGAGAGGGGAGAGGGACCTACCACTGGAGCCAGGCCTGGGGGTAGTGTTCCTCGGCGAGTGCGTGTTGGCTGGGCAACCTATGTAACCCAGCCAGGCTCAGCCCAAAAGGGCAAGGTGGGGGATTGCTGCAGTGCCATATAGGCGGTGTGAGATGGCGGGGAGGTCCTTGGTGGCATGGACCTTTGCAGCAGAAACTGGCTCTTGGTACGTGGAATATAACCTCACTGGGGGGAAGGAGCCAGAGCTTGTGCAGAAGGTTGATAGGCACCAACTAGATATAGTTGGGCTCAACTCCACCCACAGTGTCAGCTCTGGAACCAAACTCCTTGATAGGGGTTGGTCCCTCTCCTACTCAGGAGTTGCACAGAGTGAGAGGCACCAGGCGGGTGAGTGGATACTCATGAGTCCCCGGCTGGCTGCTGTGCAGTTGGAGTTTGTCCCAGAGGACGAGAGGGTCGCCTCAATGCGAATTAAAATCGCAGGGAGGAAAACTCTGACTGTTGTGTGTGCTTATGCACCAAACAACATTTGGAGTATTTGGTGTTCTTGGAGCAGACTTCATAGTCTTGCTGGGAGACTTCAATGCTCATGTTGGCAATGACTGGGAGACCTGGAGGACAGTGATTGGGAAGAATGGCCTGCCCGATCTAAAATCAAATGGTGAATTGTTATTGGACTTCTGCGCTAGGCATGGATTGTCCATAACGAACACAAAGTTTGTAAACAAGGATGTTCATAAGTTTACATGGTACCAGAGCTCCTTGGGTCAAAGGTCAATGATCGACTTTGTTGTCCTTTCATCTGACTTGGGACTATATGTTCTGGACACAGATGAAGAGAGGTGCTGAGCTGTCAACGGATCACCATCTGGTGGTGAGTTGGATCAGATGGCAGGGAAGACTAATGGTCAGACCCGGTAGACCCAAGCAAATAATGAGGGTTTGTCAGAAACGACTGGCAGAGACCCCTGTTCAGAATGATTTTAACTCCCACCTCCAGGAGAGCTTTACTCATGTTCTAGAGGAGGTAGGGGACATGAAGTCTGAATGGACCCTGTTCAAAACCTCTATTGTGGAAGCAGCCAGGTGTAGCTGTGACCAAAAGCTTGTTGATGCCTATCAGTGCAATAGCCCAAGAACCCCCTGGTGGACACCGGTGGTGGGGGAGGCTTTCAAGCTGAAGAAAGAGGCCTGGATAGCCCGGAGGACTCCCAAATCAGCAAACAGGTACTTGACGGGTGCAGCAACAGAAGCGGTAGCTGAAGCAAAATCAAGGGCATGGGAGGAGTTTGGCAAGGTCATGGAAAAAGACTTTTGGTTGGCTTAAAGGAGTCTCTGGATAACTATCCAGCAACTCAGGAGCAGTCGGGGTGCCTTTGCCCAAGCTGTACTCGGCAGGGGTGGAGAAACTCTGACTTATAAGAATATTGTCGGTTGGTGGAAGGAGCACTTTGAGGAACTCCTTAATCCAAGAGACATGCCTCCCTCACAGGAGTTCTGGCATGTCAGACTCCCTGGTGGAGGTCACTGAGGTAGTTGGCAAGCTCCTTAGTGGCAAGGCACCAGGGGTGGATGAGATATGCCCAGAAATGCTTTAGGCTCTGGATGTTGTGGGGCTGTCATGGTTGACACATCTCTGCAATTATGCATGGACCTTGGGAACAGTATTCTTGGACTGGCAGACCAGGGTGGTGGTCCCTATTTTTAAGAAAGGGGACCGGAGGGTGTGTGCCAACTACCGGGGTATCACACTGTTCAGACTCCCTGGGAAAGTTTATGCTGGAAAGGAAGTCAGGAGGGCATTATGTGTGGAGGCCGGAGGATGGTGTTTCTGCTATTTGTGGATGGTGTTGTCCTTTTGGCAGGATCGCATGGATGCCTCCAGCGCTCACTGGAGTGGCTTGCAGCTGAGTGTGAAGTGGATGGTATGCGGATCAGCACCTCCGAGTCCATGGTCCTAGCCCAAAAAAGGATAGCATGTCCACTCCAGGTAAGGGGAAAGGACCTGCCCCAGGGGGAGGAGTTTAAGAATCTCGGGGTCTTGTTCATGAGTGATAGGAAGAGGGATTGTGAGATCAGCCACAGGCTGAGACAGGCGGCAGCAGTGATCCGGTCCCAGTACCGGACTGTAGTGGTGAAGAGGGAGCTGAGCCATAAGGCAAAGCTCTCTGTTTACCAGTCGCTCTACATCCCCACCCTCACCAATGACGATGATGATGAATATGATAATGATGTAATAAGCATGGGATTTTAAGGGGTGAATTAAGTTCTATTTATATCCAAAAGTGACCCATGACCCTTAAAAAAGCTATAATGGTGGAAACAAAGCTGAAAAAGTCCAGTGCAGGCTTTATTTCTTTAAAAGCAGCATGGGCCTAGTTACTTCATGACAAAAAGCCTGAATAAAATGTATATAACAGAAACGTGAAGCATGAAGAAAGAGCTAGACACTCTGAGACATTAGATACACTGACTTTACTCAATTTTTAAATACATACCATAAATGTCTGTGATTTCTGTGAAGTTAGACATTGTGTTGTAGTTTCCCTGAGAGTCCTTCACCTGTAATGAATAATAATACAATTTTTAGTGCAAAACATGCTAAACTAAAAAATGCACTGGCCCTTATTCAAGTTGTCTACTGTAAAATCTGATCGTAAAATGAGTGCCCACCATTTTCACCAATGTAACAAATTATAAGAATAAAAATAGAAAATAACAATAATACTGTGGTGTCCACCATAGGTTCTAGATTTAAATTGGAACTCTAAGGGTGTGGCATGCAAAGTTATTGTTCACATGCCACCCCTCTCCCTGTAATGCTGACACTACAATACTACTAATTTGTGCACATGGTAATGCACACTGGTATAAACAAATGCTTCAAGTATTCTATGTTCCATTTAAAGACATATTACACTGTCCTTTTGTTTTATACTACTGATTCCACCCATCAAAATAGACAGTACAAAGCACAGCTAGAGTAGAGGCTTCCCATACACTCCAAAAATACAGTATTTAGATATGTTATTCTACACAACACAATCACATCATTCTACTATTTTGAAAACTAAGCCTTTTTTATTTCACATTTAATTCTTTCCAGTGATTTTAACATTGTAAAGTTTTGTCAGTTGGGGGTTCTGTGCACTCACTGATCCATCTCAGACTCTGCCTATGAGCACAGTCATTGACTAATGAGCTACTGAACACAAAATAGGGTGTGCTTCATGTAAATGCTACCTCAGTGAGGTGCTGGTAGGCCTACTTGGTTTCACTGAAGCTGATTGAGCTTTAATCTCCACTTGTTCACATGATGTACAAAAGTTTCATGAATCAAACACAGATTTCTTAATAAATCATTCATGGCAGTCAAATTTGCATTTTTAAATGCAACGTTGATGAATAAGAGCCAGTCTAACTGATATGCTGATTTGATATTAATTTTGACAACTTTTCAGATTTAGGTTCTGCTGGGTTTTAATCAAATTTTAGAGTCCTGAAGTCACCCCTTACTTTTTTATTGTCATTTCAGTATCAATATATAAAGTGTATCTAATTTTAGAAAACAAAAATAAAATTTGCTTTTGTACTTTTTTATTATTTGAATAAGCCGAATTTCTGTTTACTTCTATGGAAAAAGTAAATATACCCATACATTCATCATCACCACCAAATGTCATGGGTGCATCTATAACATAATCAGATGGGCCAGGTTATCTGTTCACCACAGCTGGCCTTCTACAGCACTCCACTCCACCGAAACAGTTTACTAATTGTTATTATTGAAAGTAAAAAGTAATAATTCAATTAGAAATACATTATTTATAACTCTCCCCAAAGAAAATGGCAGCAGCCGGTAAACATTCATAAATGAAAAATGAATCAAAGAAGAGAGTAAATAAATAAATATAATATTAATGGTTTGTTCAGGTTGGTGTAAAGGTGACAGATCCACTGGCTTATAGGTATTGGGCAGCTCCCTGATCTCTAGTGTGCTCTAGCATGATGTCTGTCAGGTTATTTCCAGTGAGATTTCTATGTGGCCTAGCTAAGGTACCCTCATTGTCTTCATGGTCTTTGGAGGGGGTATCGTCTTGTGGTTGCCGTTATGTTAGAGCCATTGGATGGGTTCCCCTATGCAACGGGCCCTTCCATACCTTGTAGTTGAGTAATATAGACTAACTTGTAGCTCGTCTTACTGTTTCTGCAGTTGTGACTGTGAGGCATTGGCAGGCTATATGTGCTAAGTAGCTTTATTAAGGGGCTTTTAACACTTTTAAAACAGGAACCATACACTGCAGGAAAGACTCAGAAATGTGGGAGCAAACCTACACAAGACCTGACACAGAACAATCACAGTCCAGGGGGCAAAACTACACAAGACCTGACAAAGGACAATCACAGTCCAGGGGCAAACCTACACAAGACCTGACACAGAACAATCACAATCCAGGAGGCAAACCTACACAAGAACTGACAAAGAACAAATCACAATCCAGGAGGCAAACCTACACAAGACCTGACAAAGAACAAATCACAATCCAGGGGCAAACCTACACAAGACCTGACAAAGAACAATCACAGTCCAGGGGCAAACCTACACAAGACCTGACACAGAACAATCACAATCCAGGAGGCAAACCTACACAAAACCTGACACAGAACAATCACAATCCAGGAGGCAAACCTACACAAGACCTGACAAAGAACAATCACAGTCCAGGGGGCAAAACTACACAAGACCTGACAAAGGACAACCACAATCCAGGGGCAAGCCTACACATGACCTGACACAGAACAATCACAGTCCAGGAGGCAAACCTACACAAGAACTGACAAAGGACAATCACAGTCCAGGGGGCAAACCTACACAAGACCTGACAAAGGACAGTCACAATCCAGGGGCAAACCTACACAAGACCTGACACAGAACAATCACAGTCCAGGAGGCAAGCCTACACAAGAACTGACAAAGAACAAATCACAATCCAGGGACAATTAACAATGAACAATCACAGTCCAGGAGGCAAACCTACACAAGACCTGACACAGAACAATCACAGTCCAGGGGGCAAAACTACACAAGACCTGACAAAGGACAATCACAATCCAGGGGATAAATCTTTACAAGACCTGACAATTAACAATCACAACCCAGGGGCAAACCTACACAAGACCTGACACAGAACAATCACAGTCCAGGGGCAAACCTACACAAGACCTGATAGTTAATCATATTGTTGGGTGTGAATCAACAATAGGCCTCACAACGAACCTGCATAAAGCCTTGTTAAGAACAATCACAATCCTGGTGGGAAACCAATGGGCTAGTAACCTGGTGTGTATGTCCAAATGTGTGTATCAGGATTATCAGGAGAAATAACAATACTGTCATAGTTAACAAAAATCTTGGACAGCAGCTTACATAGTTTATCCCATTTCTGAATATTGGGTGTTACAGTGTAATTACGAGTAGAGGATACTGATGTAATGTTTTTTTAGCACCATCTTATGACAGTGACGGCACAGGCAGACTGGAGGGATCCATAAGCAGGCTTTAATGAAACAAATCCCAGCCAGGCAAGGTCTAAAAGGCAGAGTCATGGGTGGAGAGGTCAATATCAAAAAGGCAGTCATAAAAACTGTAAAAGTATTAGTTACAGTATAAAGACTGACACATCTTAACAGAGTTCTTGTACTAAAATCAATAGCAAAGTGGACAACGATATGGGATCCAAACCTATTTGAGTGTAGAGCATCTCTTCTAAACACTGCAGGGCACACCCAGAAGAGATTCAAGTTGTCGGTTAACCTGGATTTCTGGGACAAACATCAGAACTGAAGCCTTACTTCTTTTTTTCTGTATTTCTCGAAGGGCATTTTCACACTAGAGCTTATTTCCGAATCCAGGACTGCTTGCTATGTGAGTTCGGTATGTTTTGTTAAGTGTGAAAGCTGTTTTTGAGCCCAGCAGTGGAACTGATCTCTGGTACTCCTGAAATCAGTCGTCTGGGCCTCACTTCCAGCAAACTCTGGTGAGGGCTGCTGCGCATCTGGAAGCCATCCGCTCACAGTACTGTGTGTGGGGTTGCGTGATTGGTCCATTTTGTAATGTGACTGCTTAAACTCACCCAGTGAATGGATTGTTTGGACAAGAAGCATTGTTCTTCACTGCTTAAGCGTTTATATCCAAGGAAAATAATCAAAAGCAGCAAATGGATCAAGCTAGTTCCTACCATTTTGCAAACCTGCACACAGAAAAATGATATATGGAATTGTGTAATTCATCCACGGTTCAGATGGTATTCTTGTGTGTGAAAGCAAAACAGTGATACTGAGCTCCTCCCCCAACCTAGCCCAAAATTGGTCTTAGGGTGTGGACTAAAAAAACACCCTAAAAGTTCATATAAATTAAAAAAGTAAAAAAAAAATCATGTTTAAGCAATTCACATTGTTGCTGTGGGACGTTGTTTGTGCCAAAGTGAATGATAACATTTTTGAAAGTGGTGTTGAGTGAGTAAACTGGGAAGTTTGGAGACAGTGTACACCCAAGATCAAAAAAATGTGACAGAACTCATGGTAATAAGAGAGCCTATGAAAATCTCATCTTCCCTGATGTATCAGAGTATGGATAATGTATCCTCCCAATTGCTGGTGTTTACTTTGTCAGCTACTTTGTTGTCACTCCACTACTGCACTCCCTTCGCTGGCTTCCTGTAGCTGCATGCATCAGATTTAAAACCCTGATGCCTACAAAGCCAAAAATGGACCAGCCCCTCCCTACCTAATAGCAGCCACTTCCTACCTAACCGCAGTGGTCAAAACTCAATGTTTTGGTTCTAGCAGTATCTGAGCTCAGGACCGGCTTTCTCTCTAACCTATTTGTAACTAGCAAAGATACTTTCTCTAGGTAGACAAAACACTTTTTGTAAGTCACTCTGGATAAGAGCGTCTGCTAAATACTGTAAATGTAAATGTAAATGTTCTAGACTCGTTATCTCTAGCATTCATACGCTCTCAGTTTGGCTTTGCATTTGCAAAGTTTCACAATTTCCACAGTACATTTCTGAGCCTTTTCTGTGATTTGCATTTTCTAGGCTTTGGTCCTAGACTTTAATCTTTATTTTTTTATTTTTCTTTAGATTTGTTTGTACTTATTTGTGAATGCTTATGTTTTGACCCTTACCTGTGATGACTACAAGAGTTAGATGGGCCCTGAACATGTATCTCGCCTCAAAGACCCTTTCATTACAGAAGACTTTGTCAAACAATGCAGTGAGTAACAAATGCCTCACAGCTACCAGCAAGCCTATTTCCTCATAATCAGTGCTCAATAGGACATGTAATGGTTTTTGAGGATCTTTTGGGGCTTTGTGGAAGAATGCCTTCTCTACTTAGCCCAACAACAAGAACTTTTTTTATTCAGAGTAGGCCTGGGAAGCATTTATTGTCTGCCAGTTAAGAGGACCTACCTTGGATTGGGCTTGGTGTGGGTTTTCAAGAGTAAGGTAACTCATTCACTGTGAAAATTCTGGTATCTGTTCCATTTCATCCATACCAGGAGTTCCCAATCCCAGTCCTGGTGACCCTTTGCTCTGCACATATGTGTGGTTTCATTACTCTACACACTTCACCTAGCCAATGAGGAGCTTGTTAATTAGTTAACGAGTGGAATCAGATTGATGAAAAAAAAACAGAAAAATGTGCATAGTGAGTCCTGAGTGCCTCCAGGACTGGGATTAGAAATCTCAAGTCTGTGTGACTCTTGTTCCAGCCCCTGTGCTGCTGTGGCATGGCATTGAGTTCATTTTTTAGCAGAGGAAGACACCACTGAGGCGGTCATGTGCCGGAAGGTCGTCAGTTTGATCCCCTGAGCCAACTGTAAATGACTGAAGTGCCCTTGAGCAAGACACCTAACCCCCAGCTACTCCCTGGGCACCATGGTTAGGGCTGACCACCGCTCCGGGCAAATGTGCTCACTGCCCCCTAGCGTGTGTGCATTCAATTGTGTGTATGTGGGTGTTTCACTGCATGGATGGGTAAAAATGCAAAGGTGAAATTTCCCCATTGTGGGAATAATAAGGGTAACTTAACTGAAGCTCTGCCATTCACAGTGCTGCCGGAGAGCACTATCAAGCCAACACCTGGTCTCACACTGCCGATCAATGCTAAGGAAGGCACTCCTTAACCAGACCCAGCGCTCTATGCTAAGCTGTGGAGCAGGGGACCTGCGATCTCTGCAGTGTAGGAACTCCAGAAAATGCAGTTCCACTGCCCCACGGCCCACCGTTGAGGGGTTTTATACCCCTCTGGCCCACGCTTGGTGACTTGCAGCTACTCCAAAACATGCCATTCTGTTAGTCAATGATTTTTATGAACATAAAACAACGTGTGTGCGTACAACTGAACCCCTGTGTCAGCAATAGTACCCCAATTTTTCTGGAATGACCCTGAGCACATTATGTATGCTCTGTCTAAAACACATCTAATATAATTTTCCTCCAGATCTTCAGCACTGTTCCCCTCGTATTTACAATAGAAGAATCTAAACGTTTGCACAGCTCTTTCACCAGCTTATTCTCTTACCTTTGCAAATAGTTCCATCACTGGTCGCTCCAAAAAATAGGGTTTAGGACAGTTTTCTCACCTGAAAAGAGGGAAAAGTCCTTTAATTTATTCAAACAGGCATACATTACATGACAAATATTACATTTAGCACCTTTCAATGTGTATGGTAAAAAATGTGATTGTGAAACCAAGTCAGAAAAGCATCTTGATCTGTTGTTGAGCGGAGGTTTTTTCTTTGACTGGGAGTGATTTCACAGAAATACTGTTTTTTTTCTTTTTGAAGCAGAATCTCTGAAGACCAAGCAACTAGCCTTCAGCAAGGGGACTTTATTTCTATTGGTAGAGACAGGGCTCAGTCAGTTCTGCAGTTTGTTTATGAAAAATACTGTAACTGTATTTTTTTAGCTTTGTTTCCTCTTTTTCACAGCTCTGTTCACTTTTACACACTAGTAGGGGCTCAACGTTGTATTTGTCTGTATTTCCTTCAATAAGAAGTGTGTAACCAGGCCACATTTTGTATGTTTCACAATGTGTTAAGTTCAGCAAATAAACGTAATCGTATATTAAAGTGTGCAGAAGTGAGTTCCCTGTAGAGAATGTGTTCAATTACTTTCACTTAGAAAATCAACAAATACATGAATCTTGACCATTGGAGCCCAAACGTTTGCATACAACAGTTGCATGTTTGTACCATGTTAACACATACTCTTGCACATCTCTGTACATAATACATAAAATCTAGCCTGTGCATTATGGCACATTCTATATTTGATGTTTTATCCAATGTGTTACAAATGAATAGATATTGTGCACTAAAATTTGCAGAAAAATCCCAACAACAACAACAACATCAATCAACACTAACACTGAATTTGACCAGCCCTGTTCAAACTTGTTAAATTGCAGTTATGTATGTGAAACTGGTTTGTTTTTGATGAGGAGAGCCTGAAACTGTAACACTTTCCTTTCCATGTGAATCAATGATTTGCTATGCATAATGTGATTTTCCTAGATGTGCAGAAATGGGCATGTCATAAAGATTCATTGCTGATAAGTACTTCTTTTTTATCATTATTTAGAAATGCATTAAATATGTCTACAACAGGACAACCTATACATTTAAGATGATACATTTTAAAAAGTATACATCATTCTCTTATTAGCATGTCCGAAAGGTAACTGTCTTACCTCCGAAAATGACAGTCACTGGTCTCTCATATGTTGGTGTTGAGGTCTGCAGTCTGACACAGCAGAGCGATGAGTCTTCTGAAATGAAACAGAAAGAGTTCCTTCCTGTCAAGTAGACATTTATAAATGTGGGTTATATTAATCCCTGACACAGGAAACAGCATGCAGCATGTTGTGTGGTGTCACAAAGCTCAGCATATTTCAAAAATAACAGTGTCAAGAAAAAGTATGAGAACCCTTTGGAATAACCTAGTTTTCTGCATTAATTGGCCATAAAATGTGACCTGTTCTTCATCTAAATCACAAGTTTGGACAAAAAGAGTGTTCTAAAATTAATCACATACAAATGACTATAATCTTTCATAGTTTTATTGTACAGAACAGTTAACCCTTCACAGTGCTGATGGAAAAATGAAGTGAATCCTTGGATTTAATAACTGGTCGAACCTCCGTTGGTAGCAATAATCACAAGCAAGCACTTCCAGTAGCTGTGGATCAGATCTGCTCAATATTCATGAGGAATATTTGAGCCTTCCTTAGAGAACTGCTTCAGCTCAGCCATATTCTTCAGATGTCTGGTGTGACTGGCACTCTTTAGGTTATGTCACAGCATCTATATTGGGTTAAGGTCTGGGCTCTGACTGGTCCATTCCAAAAGGTAGATTTTATTTTTTGAAGCCATTCTGTAGTACAGTTACGTAGATGTTTAGGGTCATTATCCTGCGGCATCACACAGCTTCTACTGAGCTTCAGCTGACAGTCAGCCACCCTGACATGGTCCTGTATGGTACCTCAATTAACATGGGAACTAATTTTTCCCTTGATGATGGCAATCAGTCCAGGCCCAGAGGCAGCAAAGCAGCCCAAATCATGATGCTCCCTCCACCATAAATCACCACTGGGATGACGTTTTCAGGTTGTTGCCCTATTTACACCATGCATAGAGCTATTTAACCTTAGTTTTATCAGTCCACAAAACATTTTCCCTGTAGTGTTTGAGTGTCAAGGTGCTCTTTGGTAAACTTCTGTGGTGCCCTGCTGTGGACATCATAGCTGTTCACTGTTTTTCATGGAGTAGACTAAGGAACAGAGATGTTAACCAGGTCCAATGATTCCTTTGAGCCTTTATCTCTTACTCTAGAGTTAATTTTTACTTCAGTAACCCCTTCAAATCCCAGGCTTATTACATACAAAGGCTTATTATTCAGTAACCACAGGGACTTCATTGTAAACTGACTGACCTATTCTTAGGTTTACTTTGGGCCTGCTGGTGGGCCCTGGCCATTTAAGGGGTTGAGCATCCAGCATTGTGCCTTTGAAGTGGTCTTTGCTGGACACCCACATCTAGAAAGAGTAGACACAGTACTAAATCATTATCTACTAAATCAACAACTGCTGATGATAGGTCTTCTGAAATCTGTTTCGAGAGGCATGGTTTACATCAGCAGAGGCTTCTTGTGTATAGCAAACTCAAAATGAGTGGTTTGTATAAGGCAAGGTAGCTGTAACCAGTCTCTCTTCACTAATTGGACTCCAGGTTTGCTAACTCCCAACTCCAATTTGCTTTTGTTGAAGTCATGTTCCATAGTTTTTCCAGCCCACACTGTGAATGTTTGAATGATGCATTCAATAAAATATTCAATAGTAAGTTATTAGGATTCACATACTTTTTCTTTGCCACTGTATTTGCTCCCTTTTGATTAGCATTGAGCTTTTATGAAAGCATTATCTGAAGATAAATCTATTGCTCTTTATCACACAGGCAGAGAAACGAAAGCAACTGTGGGTTTTTATATAAGCAAACAAACAGGTGGCAGCTGATGCTTTTCTCAGAACACAAACCACGTTCACTCACCACCGCCACATACACATACACAGCAGCAATGTTTATTACATTAACAGAGACAAATGAAAACAAAATATGCCAGTTTCTAGCAATGTAAAGTCAGTAATACAACTCAGTAATGCAGTTGTAGTTTCAGCTCCTGAATATGTAAATGCAAAATCTGTTCAATGTCAGGTTTGGGTTTCAAAAGTGACCAGATTAAAGTTCAGTTTAGCTTAGATTTAGAGTTGTTGGCTAAAAAGGACCACAGACACCTGAACAGTGAAACAAATGGAGCTTTTGCACCTCCTCTTTAAAGCGAACAGATTTTTCTGAATTCTTCAATACTTCAGTGGTTAAGATGTAAACAGAGAGATTCAGAGTGGTTTGGTGTGAAATGGTTCAGATGTCTTCACTGTGGTGGTGATAGGAACCAGGGGTCGCCATGACTACAACACAGATATAGACATTTTATTTACTATCCAAAACCACCAGTGAACCTACACGAGTCTTCTGAGTTTATCTGGAATCTTGATGATAGTAAAATAATGGAAAATCTCAAATAATACGTTTTCTATGGGAACTATTTTGCCTCACAAGGTCCTGCATGTATCCCTCCACCATGAATGGCCAGTTTCCATTCTATTACTTTCCTAGCACAAGTGAAGTTTGTTAGATGAGCCCTCGATGGGACGAGTGAATAGAAGATTCAACTATAGCAGTAATCTTTGAGATCTGAAGCAAAACTGAAATAATGGTAGACAAAGCTGTTTATATCCCATAGCAACGAACTACTTTAAAATGCTTAACATTTGCTTGTTTTTGTTTATAAATGTTTTTACTTTTGATTAGCTGTACAGCACTTTGGTCAGCTGTGGCTGTTTTCAATTGTGCTCTAGAAATAAACTTGACTTTTCAAAACCATTACATCTGATTTGCTGGGCTTTATGTCACAAGCTACTCCGTCTGTTGTACATGAGTACAACAGTAGTTGTTAACATGCTAAAGGCCACAAGGCTGACAACAACAAAAAGAAAGACACAACCATGCAAGAAAATCCAGCATACAGCAAGCCTGGTCACCGACAAAACCAGCAAGCCTGGTCACCGACAAAACCAGCAAGCCTGGTCACCGACAAAACCAGCAAGCCTGGTCACCGACAAAACCAGCAAGCCTGGTCACCGACAAAACCAGCAAGCCTGGTCACCGACAAAACCAGCAAGCCTGGTCACTGACAAAACCAGCAAGCCTGGTCATCAACAAAACCGGCAAGCCTGGTCACCGACAAAACCAGCAAGCCTGGTCACCGACAAAACCAGCAAGCCTGGTCAACGACAACACCAGCAAGCCTGGTCATCAACAAAACCAGGCTGCCAACTCTCACACATTGGCCTTGAGACTCACAAATTAAGATCTAGTCTCACGCCCTCATGATGCCACACTTGACATTTCAGACACAGCAGTGCTGCTGGAGTTCCACTCTGCTGGACTGAGAATAGTCCACCAACCAAAAATATCCAGCCAACAGCGTCCTGTGGGCAGCGTCCTGTGACCACTGATGAAGGACTAGAGGATGACCAACACAAACTGTGCAGCAGCAGATGAGCTATCATCTCTGACTTTACATCTACAGGGTGGACCGACAAGATAGGAGTGTCTAATAGAGTGGACAGTGACTCGTACCAGCACAACACACACTAACACACCACCACCACGTCAGTGTTACTGCACTGCTGAGAATGACCCCCCACCCAAATAGTACCTGCTCTGTGAGGGTCCAAGGGGGTCCTGACCACTGAAGAACAGGGTAACAAAGTATCAGAGAAACAGATGGACTACAGTCTGTAACTGTAGAACTACAAAGTGCACCTATATAGTAAGTGGAGCTGATAAAATGGACAGTGAGCGTAGAAACAAGGAGGTGGTCCTTGTTGTGGTCCAAGGAGGGTGTGGGGAGGGTAGTCGTTCCTCCCACCGGTAGGGGTCGCTGTAAGACTCCCCGGTATTATCACAGAAGAGCAGAAGAGGATGTTCAGCCGCTGCTGCTGCTGTGGCTGAACATGGACGGTCGCGCTTTCGGTTCAGGTGATAATTTTACTAAAAGTCGTTTCTGCAGCTCCGTGTTGAGGTCATTACAGCAGCTGCGGCTGTTTGAGCTCAATTCAGCCTAAAACCCTGAGCTGAACTGGTCTGTAAGCCAATGTGAGCTGCTAAGCTAAGCTAAGCTAAGCTAAGCTAACCAGCTGCGCTAAAGTTGTATCTCCTGTAAAGTTTATTTTAAAACGGTTATTTTAACACAGTTTTTAAACGGTTCTGCGGATGAAGGGCTTATTGATCGGTAATGAGACACGCTGGTGCCGGTTTGGCTCAGCTTTCTCTCATTTGCTGCACAGAAGCGCGTTTGTTTTTAGCGTTTAGCCTCATTCCGTGCTCAGTGATACAGGAAGTGGTCAGTGATGTTAATGACGGACTGTCTTTGTTTGTAACGTTTAGTTTCATTTTAATGTAGTGAGAGAAATGATAGAAACCCAAACTCGTTTGAACGAGCAGCTTTAACCGTCCTTTGAGCTGATGGCGTTAAAAACTCAGGCTTTTTGCTTTTTAATCTTATTTTAGTGTCTTTGCTTGTTTGCTGTCAGATCCGTCTGCTCTGAATTTGATCAGATTTTAGTGAGTAACTCAGTTTCAACCCATGTTTTCGTGATATCTTTGCATTAAAAGTGTTTTCCTGGTGCATTTTTGTTAGTAAAGGTGCGTGAAAATAAATATAAGAGCCAAGTGTGACTACCTGCTGCAGACTGTAGGCGTTTTATACTGCAGCTGAATGTCTGGAAAACTTGCTGCATGTTGGTACCGGGATTTGCAGAGGAATTTAAAGACCAGTGTGAATCTCACCTGGTTAGGACACATTAAGGACATGTTATTGTTCTAACTAGGAACGCACCAATTATTATGTCTGATTCTGATTCTGATTTCTTTACAGCCAAATCAGCCAATGGCAGATTTGTTGGCTGATTTTTATTACCCAGTTTTTAATCCAAAGCCGCTCTATGATGTAGGTGAAAGAGAGCATAAAACGCTCTTCGTGCGATTCCAGAACTTTAGATCAGTCGAAGTTGCCATAGAAACAAGGACACAGTGTCATTGATGTGATCCAGCATGTAGTACCTTATAACTGTTTTTGTTTTGTTGTGATTGGTTTGTTTGTTTAACGCTACCATAACCCAGCTGACTTATGTAGGCTGGGGTAGAATAATGCGAGAAATTGAATCTCTTTCCTAAGTTAAATTTTTTGTTGTAATATCTGAAGATATTTATTGCATTTCTAAAAAAAAATACAATTAAATGGTCAACATAGAAATATATTTATTCAGTGATTTAAAAAATACGGTCAGCATTCTCAGCTGTTGAAGAAAAGACATTTCTGGATATCTAAAAGTCATACAGACAACATGATGGTCAGAGAAAATGCCTGAGAATGATTCCCACCCAATTAATACCTGCTCTATGGGGGTCCTGAGCGAAGAACAGGGTAACAAAGTATGCAGAGAAACAGATGGACTACAGTCTGTAACTGTAGAATTAAAAAGTGCTCGGTGATATAATTGATCTGCTGCTTGTATTGAGTTGCTGTGGTGCTCCTGGCGTCATGATAAGTGCCTGTATTATTCTCTTAGATATAAACCGCCGTCTGATTCTACATTCATTTGTAATGTCTGATATTGAGGGCACTGTGTGGATCGGTGGTCTTTCATTGAAAAGCTGAAGTTCAGATTTAGTGTTGGTTATTGTGACTGATCTAATTCAGCTGTTTCTTCCTTTAACAGGGTTCTCCAGCTGGAGAGGAGGATCTTCCATGAGAGGTGAGAGACTTTAAAGCTTATCTATACATAAATAGCATCATTGACTGATCGATAGCTTTAAAATGTGGTCAGTAAAATAATATTGCCTCGTTTTTGTGATAAGTTGTGGTGGTGTGATTAAGGATGAGTTTTTCTGAGCATATCGTGGATATGCTTTTTAAAGAACACTGAACTGCTGTTTCACTACAAAGAGATCATGATTGGCTGTGAAACGCTGAATAAAAATAAATGTGTTTAGAGTTTTTAATGCCAGGTTTTTAAGGCAGCAGTTTCAAACCACTGTAATCTATCTAACATATCTTGAATGTGTTTAGATATTGTAATATTATATTTTTGCTGTATCGCCCTCACTTGGCTGGGTGGTTGTACTGCAGTTCAGTGGAGTATATGTTAGAGTCTTTGTTTATGGACCATATCCTGAAATAGTTCAAACTGCAGTTGCATAGAATTAAAAAAACGAAGCATTCAGTCTTTAGATATTTTACAAGGATTATAACTCAAGGCAATAACAGAGATAGTAATGAGCTAAAGATATACCGAATCATCATTTATGGGGTACTTTCTATTGGGAAGTGTTTGTCCCAAATCTAATCCCTACATTTACAACTGTGATAGTAATACCTGCCGTTTTTTTCAGTAGTTTTTTTTTTTTTCTTTCAGATGTTTGATTTCTCTTAAAGTGAAGTTGAAAGGTTTTGATTTATCAGTTTTATTTTGAAAAATACTGTCCCATGGTTTCATGTCACTCCTGAGACAATGTTTTAGTCTGTAGGTGGAGCCTTATTTTAGAGCAAGAAGTGAGAGTGCATCCCTCTCCCTCTGTGGTTTGATCCCATTGTTTTGAAGTGAATGTGTCCCAAAGTGTCTTAATGCAAAAATATGATGATTTTATGTGTGACTAGCTGTTCAAAGCTGTGTTTTTTAGTCATGTACTGGCTGCATTTTTGAGTTCTGCTCAAAATTAGCTAAAATTATCACTACCAAAACATTCCATTTTATCACTAACAAAACACTCATTGCACTACCGAAACTTTACTAAATGTTTCAGTAGTGTTATGATTGTTTGTTAGTGACAAAATAGTGTTCAAATTTTTGTTTTAATAAAATAACCATAATTAAGATATAGGGTCATTCAAAGCAATAGGATTTTAGTGTACAGTTCAAGTGAGTTAAAAGTCCTTAATGTGATTTCACCTCTGACTTTTGAACTAATAAGGTAGAGTGATCCATATATGAAATTACAAGTGATGCACAATGATATTGGCGTCAGCAAAAAATCAGTTCAAAAATTAGATGTTTGGATTTGACCAATATTTCAAATTTCAGAAGAGCAGAATGTTTAGGTGACACTGGGCTACTCTGCAAAAAATATGCACATTTAATTATTTTATTTTTGTTGCATTTGTAACTCCACAGAAATATTCTGTACCTCTGTACTAGCAATCCAGGTAGATTTAGTCCCAAATTCAGCGTTGTGTAAATCGGAAGGTATGAACGGAAAAAATATCAGATACCAGCTTCTGCCCACAGTGCACCCAAAGAAATTATGTTAGTGTGTGTGCATGATGTTGGCTACTAGGTTAAGCTCTGTAAACTGTTTCTGAAACTAATTTCAGGTGCTTAACTGCAGCATTGTTGTCTCCCAATGACTCGAGCATGATAAACCTGCTCCTCTACTCCCAGGTTCAGGTGACTTTGACCTCTATGGCAGTAAGGACTCTATGTCCAGGAGAGGCAGTTTTGGAGATGAAGGTTATGATGGCGGTGGGGGGCCGATGAACAGACGTCTGTCCGGGAGTCCTTTTATCTCCCCTTCAAGGACAAGGGCAGATGACCTCATCAGCAAAATCAACCAGCAGCTCGACGTGCTCACACAGCTGGAGGGAAGCATGAACCGAAGGGGTCGCATGGACAGGTAGAGCTCTTTCGGAAGGCTTGTTGGTTTAGCATTCACTTCTGCAAGGCAGTGTGTTCTACAGTTTCACCCACAACATCTCATGCTAATTTCAGATGCTTGTCAGATGATCCTGTTTCTTACCTGAGAAGTCATAATTACAAAGTTTTTACATTCAGATCTTTGTAGTGGAAAGTAGGTAAAATCATAAAGTTGTTGTGCTTTTTTGGGAAAATTTAATTGATCTTTAACATTAGCTAGTTTGCCTTGCATAATCCAGTGGTTCTCAACCCTGCTCTGTACATTCCCTGCTCTAACACGCCTGATCCATCTTATCATCTAATTAACCCTCTGGGGACTGAGGGCAGTTTCGTTTTTGCATATATTCTTAAATTCACTTTAAACGCACTTGCATCCAACATGATATGCACGTATTATATATTGAAATGTTCAGAACAGTCTCCGCTCTCTCTATAAAGAGGCCCTCCTGGAGCACCGTGTAGAGAGATAACCAAATTTAGAAATTCTCGATATCTCTTGTTAAAACATATCTTTACTCATGTGGATGAATTGTTGTAGTGCTTGAAATTGGTTTACCAAAGTCTTAGGATCACAAAAGTAGTGGAAGGTATGAATAAAATCATAGATAAATGTTCTCCTCATCGCTTTTTTCCAAAAGTACTGCAGCAACTTCAGCGGTTGGAAACTTTTTACACACGATTTGCGTCTGTGTCCAAGTCGACTGAACGAAAAATTAAGTGTTCTTGACGTGATGGTTTAGTCTTTAGTGATTTTACGAGTGTCCATCGGTCAGTTTCACACAAAATTTAGATGGACACACTAATCCACCAGTTACACACAGTGAGAGGCAGATGGCTTGTCTCAACTTGTCTTCATTGGCTCGTAACTCCGAATGCAAGTCACATACAAACTTGCGATAAGAAGGAATGGAAAGGGCGACTCTACAGATTCAGGAACTGTCTAAACCATATTTCTGAGAAGTATTGTTGCAAAGATATTAATAGAAACACCAAGAAACATCTAATTTGACGCACCAGTGCATTCATCGACCCTAGAGGGTTAGCAAGCCCTTCCAGGGTTGAGGTGGATGTGTTGAAGCAAGGAAGACACTAAAAGGCTGTTTACATCTTGCGTGAGTGAAGTAGATGATTTGTTGCTTCCTTTAAACAGTTTCTTCTGATATTTGACAGCTTATAAAACAAAGGTAATAACAGGGAGGAAGCCTTGTTTAAGGTAGGTTACTGGAAGAAAAACAGAATGGATACATGTGTTGATGTGCTTTTTACAGAGCAAAGTGAAATCTGCTCATCTGCTCATGCTGAAGACGTATTTTAGTGAAAAATGTAAAAGGAATCCATCCGAGGTATATTTGTAAGACGTGCAGGGCAGGGAGTACTCCAATTATTTGTGGTCAAATCTGTGATTACTTCAAGTTGCATTTAGAAATCCACAGAAATCATTTCAGCTATGATGAAAGAGCAGAGGTCAGTGTCAAGTTGGAAACTATGCAGTTAACAAAGTTGCTTCTAAAGCCCTTGAGCCCTCAAGTTCTTGAACCCTTCCAATTGGACATGATGTCAGGGGAAGCAGCATGAAAATGTTTGCAGCCACATTAATCAGAATGCTCGTTGGACTTCCACAGCTAACCTTGTTCCATATACAAGTAAATGTAGCAAACCTTTGGCGGCTATGTGATGGTCTTCTCCTTCGCAGTTGATGCTTACAAATCTACCAACTAATTGCCGCTTCTCTTGAAAGGGACTTCTGAAAATTTCATTGCAAAGGTGAAAGAGGGTCCCATGACAACCCAAATTATTTCTATTAGATCACTTACAAATCATATCTGAACAACAAACTGGCTCATTGAAGCCTCCCTCCTTCTGCAGGTTTGACCAGTATGAGTCTGTCGACTCACGTTCCTCTGCCCTTGGTCCCCGCGATCTCTACAGATCCAGTAACTATGGTTACGATGACTCCTGGGGCGAGATGACGGCCCAGCGTGAAGGTGTGGGCTTTGGTCCAATGGGTGGACCTGGAGATGGAGGTGACTTCGACAGTTCCGCCTCCTTCAGATCCGCCAAAATGTGGCAGGCTCGAGATGCCTTCTCGGGCTCCGGCTGGGGGGCGGGACAGAGGTCCCCACACAGGGGTGGAGCACCAGGGGGGTACGGCTTTGGCGGTAGGCAAGATTCCTTCTCTGTGGGGGGTGGAGGTGGGCGGAAGGGAGGGCAGGACAAGCTGCCATCACTCCTGGCCCACCGCGTATACCCCACGAGTGGGGCCTTCCAGCCTCAGCGTGGCTCCCAGGACTATCCTGACCGGCACTTTGGAGGGGGCCGAAGGGCCAACCGACAACGCAGCCGCAAGAAACCCCTGAAAGTAAGTACCTCCAGCAAAGTGCTGGACTTGAACCATCAAACCCCGACCCACCCCACTCTCCACTCTGGCATCCTGAGCCTGAGGAGTGGAGAATTGTATGAAAGGTGTACACCATCTGCTGCAGTCTACATGTACTCCTCCACCTTCTTTTCAAAACTTCCCCCTGAGTGCCTGACCTTCTAATGTCTAATACACACTTAAAGGTTCTTGTAGAGCAGTGTGGGGCTTTGTTTACCACCAGACCACCAAACAACATTATTTTTTTTTTTTTTCAACCTGCTGTTTCTGAATTGATGAGTATGGGAGGTTCTGTTTGTTGCACTTTTAAAGGAGCATTCTGGCCTAAAACTAGAGTTACCTGTCGTATTATACATCTGTAGGGCAGCGTTATATACCCCATGTCCCTCAATTTGACAGAATTCATGATTTAATATGTTGTTTTCATGTTTTAATTCATCAGAGTTGTCTCACTAAAATACCCAGCATGATTTCTTGTAAATACATCATACAACTGTGGTGAATCCCTGTGGTGTCACCCAATTTTGATTGCATGTTTAGGCTAAATAATACAATCAAGCTAGCATTCGCATATCTCTGTCTTTGAACAAAAAAAGTAAATTGTGATTCTATTTTTATTCAGCACTAAATAAACCAGAAAGGTTTTTTTTTTTTAAATACTTTCAGCCAGAGAAAAGTAGCCAAATTGAGACGATATCTCTGTATCCAGTTAGCTAAATTGCTAACTTTAGCTTTTAGCTTGTTTTTATCATCTGATGAGTAATTTGTGTTGTTTGAATACCCCCATTTATATGGCAGTAATATAAGCTATCCGACTTCCTTCTGAACTCACCAGCTGTTACCTTCCCCAAAAATCCACCCCAAAATTTCCTCCCACCTGCAAGATACATCATGAGAAGGGGGTATTTTTTAACCGGAAAATCTTATTTTAGAGCAGTGCTGGTGCTGGAGATCCACCAACCTGCACAGTTTAGGTCCAGCTCTAATCAAACATACCTTGAAGGCCATCTGAATATCAGAGCCAGGTGTGTCGGATCTGAACTCCCCTGGGTGGTTGATCTGCAGGACCAGGATTGGGCCCCCCTGCTCTAGAGATTACTACTGCATGAAGGGAGTTGGCATGTTTACAACAGGTGTAGTAATGTTTACATGTTTTATTTTGGCCGGAGTGTTCCTTTAAGGTTGTTTATATATAGAGCTCAGAGTAGTTAGTGCAGACTATTCAGACATAAGAATGTAGGGTTGCATTGTTTTGTTTAATTGTTTTGAGGTGTTGGTGTACAATCATGTTGTCAGTTTGTCTTGACTTAAGTTGTCCAAGACTTGAAAGTGAGTGGTAAAGACCATGAAAGGTTCAAATGGTAGCCTGCCTGATTTAACCAATACGAAGCTTGAGAAAATATGGGATAGTAATTGTAAGTTGCAAGGTGATAACTGGAAAAGAGCGTTATTCAGGGTATACCTACTGTAGCCGGTGTCTTAAGCCCAGACATATGCATTAGACACGTTTTGGGAGCACGAGTGTTGGCTGTTGAGGGTTTGAAAGTTGACATTTGGATCTGCTAATATAGCAACAGGTGAAATCCCAGCAGGATGGACAGAAGAAGAGGAAGCACTCTGAGACTGCAACTGATGAGCCAGACTCTAAAATGGCCAAGACTGAAACTGCAGGAGACAAGACCAGCGATGGTACTGCAGTCTAATTTATCCTTTCACTCTTAATCTGTCTTTCTCTTTATCCTCAATTGTTTCCTTAAAAATTGCTATGTCTTGTTGTGCAGCAGGTCCAGCAAATCAGGATGAGGACACTAAGGAGACTGAAGCTGCAAACACTGTAAGCTTAGTTTTTATAGTAAAAGCTTTGAGCAACTGTCGCTGTTTATCACTGGTTAATACCAAGTTGAATTAAGTGAGAAAGGTGAATTGGCTCAATTCTAATAGCTAGCTGTGTTGTAGCACAGGGAACAGCACATTGTTACCACCATGTACCATAAATGGCCTTGAAATAGAAGAACTAGTAGATGCATGCAAGTACAGATAATCGGATACAAATTAGGAGCGATGGCACAAGAGTTGCCAGTGATTTGTAACTGAAGTACTGAAACATTGGTTTAATGATAGTTATATCATACGTGAGACACGACACACTGTTGTGGCATGGCAGAATTGACCTACTATGACAGCTAGAGCTTCTTAGTCTATCTAAACGACAACATCTTTGTTTTGCGCTCTATATGTACACATTTGATCCCCACCAAAAACAGCTTAAACAGTCACACATGGCAATTATTTTTCCACAGGCCTCCGAAACAGCAGCTGAAGGAAAAAGTAGTGGTGAGCATCCAACGAATCCTCTCCCTCAGTTTTACTCTAATACTCTTTCAATGCCTTTTCATTACTTAAAACTTAAAACTCTAAACTTTCGTTCACTCTCTTTTCTTCAGCTTTGTCTGCTGAAGAGGAACTTTCTCAGCTGAAAGAGAAGCTGCACAAAAAAACGGTTCCAACCTCTGCCAAGTCTGACAATGGTAATGCTCTCTCTGGCTCCCTCTTCTGTTCTTGCATGAAACCTTCAGCTGTATGTATCAAACGACAGACACAGTTATATGCCAGTTCCCAGGCCAACACTAAGTCTAAACTAAACTGGTGTTTTAACAGTGAAATACAATGGCATTGAAGTTTTAGTCCAAATGTAGGGTTAATCCATGGTTGAGAGGCTGACCTTATATACCACTTAGTATGTTCATAGACAAAATGTCCTAATGTTTTCTGGGGTGATGAAACTCAGCTGAACACCTTTCTGAGGGGCTGACGAAATGAAGCTCTGCAATGTTCAGCTCTGCTGAACACTTTTAGGATGCATTTGAGAGATGAAGCTCAATTGAATATCTTTAGGATGAGTTGGAGTGACAAAGCTCAGTTAAACACCTTTGGGATGGGTTGAGGTGAGCAAACGCCTTTGAATTCAATGCGTAATGGGATGATTTGGAGTGATAAAGCTCCACTAAACTTCATTGGGATGAGATGGACTGACTAAGCTATATTGAACACCTCATCTGAGATGAGTTAATGATGGAGCTCAATTGTGCACGTTTGGGAGAGTAAGGACACTTCAGTGAACACCTTATGGAGATGAAGTTTTTGAAACGAGTTGGACTGATGAAGATTTATTGAATGCTTGAATAAGCTCCACTGATCATCTTTGGGGTGAGTTGATGTAGAGAGCTTCAGTGAACGCCTATGGGATTGAGGTGGCGCTTCATCCATTACATTTGGGAAGAGTTGAAATGACGTTTGTGATCCAGAACAGATCGTCCAACATTAGTACCTGACCTCACTGATGCTCCTCTGGCTGAACGTAATCAAATCCTCACTGCAGCGTTTCATCAACATCTTGTGTAAAACCTTCCCAGAAGAGTAGAGGCTGTTACTGCAGCAAAGGGGGACAAACTCACTATTAATACCTTTCATTTCAGAGGAAACGCTGGATGAGAAAGTGTCTGGAGGCATTTGGACATATGGTGTATATCATGGGTCAAAAAAGTGTGAACAAGGTAGTTTTAATGAAGGCAGTTGCTTTCAAAGAAATAAAACCTTTTTTCAGATTCTTTTTTTTTTCTCATTTTCTCATGCAGCAGATCAGACAGATGAGTCTAAGCAGGCTGGAGCTTCTGCCACGGTGAGTTGAAAGTGTGTATGGAAGTGATCCTTCCCATAATGTGTGTGCGAGCTGACTCGTATTTGTGTCTCTGTGCAGCAGGACACCAATCCAGAAGCTGAAGGACAGAGCAGTGGTGAGCACCCAGCCCTTTTCTTTTAACCCTTAAAGTGTCATCTTGTTAAATATTTACTCAGTTTGTATTAGTAGAAATGAGCCTGATGGTGTCTTTGGAACTCTTGTGTTCAGTGCAGAGGTTTTGAAATGCACGTTTTCTACATCACATACTGGATTCAACTCCGTCCAACCAGAATTATTTTCCCCTGCTGCTTCTACATTCTATAATAGCGATTACACGTTATTCTTGTGTATTATTGACAAAGTGCTGAAATTAAGTGCCAGAAATTAAAGCCTTAAAGCTGAGAAGTCTTGTGATTTTGTCAATATCATTACATGTCAGGTCACATGTAAAACTGGCTTTTTGAAACTTCTAATCAGATTTGAGCCATTGGTTCATTTTGCTTGAATGTTTCAAATGATGAAAAGGACATGTTTGGTGTTTCTCTAGTTTTGCACTGAAGCTGTGAGGGGTACTGTAGATAACAAGTAAAGGACTTGAGCATACAGCAGCAGCCACCCTGAGGCACTGCTCAAGAGGCTGCCCCAAGCAACTTTATAGCTGCGGTTTGAGGTTGCTCATGCAGCTGAACTTGACCAATCCCGGCAGCCTCATAGCAGCAGTGCAGCGTCGCCCAAGCGGCTGGACCAGGCTATGTGGCTACCATACCTTGCTCTTTTAACGCTCTTTCCCCCTTCTCTCTTTCTCTCTCTGGAGCTCTGTCCATTGAGGAGGAGTTGTCTCAGCTGAAGGCGAAGCTGCAGGGCAAACAGATTTCCGATGAAATCAAACCAAAGAAGAGGCGAGGCTTCTTTGAAATGTCGGGCGTAAAGATCACTGCTCGGAGGTCAGATTCTCTCTGCCTTTAATTCACCTTTTTGTGTTTAAAATGTGTTACTCTAGAACACTGGTCCTCAGCTTCATACAAAGGGGCAATTTGGTCAAACGCTTGCCATGCCTGCAGAATACTATAATTAATTTATTATTTTTAATTTGTAATTGTTTTGTAAATTACGTTATTAGACATGTTATGGCGGAAAATGGTGGAATCCAAGAAGCCTGTATTACACTGAATGTGTTCTTGTGTGTCCTGTCCTTCTTGTTGTCTCCAGAATATCTTTTGTATGTTCGGTATGCAAGTTCCGCTCATTCTACAGCGAGGACATGGCAGCCCATCTGGAGAGTCAGTTCCACAAGGATGTCTTTAAGTTCCTGGCCAGCCGCCTCAGCAAACGCACCATGGACTTCCTGCAGGTATCTGAGATTTTACTGTATTAGCTGTGCCCACCAGTACCATCGCTGTAACCTTAATCAAAGAAGACTGGTCTCACACCAGTGGTAGGAGATAGTAGCCATATCAATAACTGTTACCCTGAAATCCAGCCATTTGGTAACCTGGACCGGTTATATTTGGTCACTGATATCATTGATCTGGAAATGTTTGTACTGTCCCATCCTCAGCACTGATGCTGCTACATTATCATTTAAACCAGGACTGCAAGACGAAATATGTAATAATTATAGGAAAACTACCTGATTTCTTTACAATGGCTTTGATAGGAACCAGGAGTCGTGTTCATAACCATTTCATGTAGTAACTTTCTGTGAGGGAGCTTTTAGAGGTGGACGTCTGGTTCCTATCACCACCACTGTGAACAATTCTGACTGCAAGTTTCTCTAGAAAAGAGCGTTTTACACCAAACGAATGACTCTGTTTACACCCTTAACCATTTACTTATTCAGAAATTGTGAAACAATAATGGAATTTATTGATTTGATTATCTCCATTTTTGTCACTGACTTTGTTTGTGTAGGAGTATTTGAATGTTAAGCATAAGAACATGGAGAAAACTGTCAGTAGGATAATGAATCACAGTGCTGCCATCTGCCAGCTCTACAAAGAGCAGGATCTGACCCGAGGTGGGTGTGTCTATTTTTTTCTTGTTGTTCTTCGTCATTTTTTAAATGTGTGTGTATGTATTTCTGACTAACTTTCCCTTCTACAGACATTGAAATGGAGCATTTCATGAAGAAAGTAGAGGCGGCTCACTGTGCAGCGTGTGATCTCTACTTTCCCATGCAGTATTCACTCATCCAGAAACACCTCAAATCTCCTGATCACAACTACAACCGCAAGGTAATTGCACACAATGTGTAGCATAGATGGCTATTTTAAAAATAGGGTTAATGTAGTATGTAAGCATTGTTATATGGTGTATATGTTCTCTTGATTCTTGGTTCTCCTCAGTGGTTCTTCCTCATGGTCTCGGTTTCTTCTCAGTGGTTCTTGCTCCTGGCCTTTGTAACAGTTTATGAATTTGTCATTATTGATAATCGGAGTGTTTAGTGACAAATGTATATTTTTGTCATTATCTTGTAGCGCATGATGGAGGAGTGCAAGAAGTCTGGTTTGACTGTGGCTCGAAGCATCCTGAACCACAAACCCATTCAGCAGAAACTGGAGCACTACCTGAAGGTGCGTAATATAAAAATAAACACAGTGATACAGACGAATCTTCACTATACTTCAGCCATTCTGTCAAAACACAGGCAGATTATCGGTCTGGCATTTGTTTTCTCAATATTTAGAAAAAAACATGTTGGATTTTACATTAAATAACTAATAATAAGCTAATATGCACACTGTTGTATAACAAAGGAGACTTAAAAAAATTGTTAATAAATGATTCCAGGATCACTAGAATTTTATTAGAACTTCATTCTGGATGTTAATTTTATTTGATTTTCACTCTGGACGTTAATTTTATTAGAACTTCACACTGGACGTTAATTTTATTAGAACTTCATTTTGGATGTTAATTTTATCAGAACTTCATTCTGGACGTTAATGTTATTTGAACTTCACACTGGATGTTAATTTTATTAGAACTTCCTTCTGGATAGCCCCTTATTCTAGATATAAATTTTATTAGAACCTCATTCTTTTTAATTTTATTTTAACTCCATTCTGGGTGTTAATTTTAGTAAAACTTCATTCTGGATGTTAATTTTAGTAAAACTTTGTTCTGGATGTTAATTTTAGTAGAACCTCCTTCTTGATTTTTCACAATTTTTACACAGACATTGATTCTGATTCTTCTCTCTCTGATTTCAGGGTGAAAACCCTTTTGCTGATGAACCAGACGACCAGGACCTCGAGGACTCCATGGTGATTGAGGCTCCAGAAGCTAATCCGACCAGTGAGAAACCAGAAGTGAAACAGGAAGAGGAGGAATCAGCAGGTTCATTTCCAGCTGAAGAGGCTTTAGGGAAGCCAGTGGAGCAAGAAAAGCAAGAGGAACATGAACAAGAGGAACATGAAGAGCCAAAGATAAAGCTGAAGGAAGGTGAAGGAGCAGAAGAGATAGAAGGAAATCAAATAAAAGAAGAGAAAGTGGAGGAGGGTGATGTATAGGGGGGACATAGGGCTCTCTAGTGAGCTTTTGGAGCTTTTTTCAGGGAGGGGGTCACAGTTACTCTCGTTTATGAAGATAGAACCGGCTGAACTTACGGACTGATAGTTTTAACCGTCCACAAAAATATAAGTTGAATGTTTATATTAATTTGTTCTTTTGTTATTGCTCTATTTCAGTTAATTTCAAGCTTCCGCTGGACTAGTCTTTTAGTTCAGTTCCAGGAATAATCTGACACTGTTTCCAGGACAGGGATTGAGCATAGTGCTGGACTAGATAATATTTTGAATTCAGATTTTCTATTTGAACAAAAAAAGTATAGTCCATGACAGGTTTAATCCCTGTTTAAGAAAGTCTGAAGTTAGAATTGGGCTGGGTTCAGAATAAGGCTCAGTGTCAAAGTTCAATAGTTTTATGGCACTGACTGAATTACTTTAATACTGCTGCATATCAAAATATTTAATATAATTAAAAAGCAGATTTCAACACATACGTAGTTGGTCTTATCAGGATCTGTTAGCCAATTTGCTAGACTGCTAATTGGCTGTCTAAACTGCATTTAATCGTCAGCATGTTGTTAACATCAGCACTATGTAATTACTCTGCAGTTTGTTGCGAAATATACTCACTGCCAGCACCTCATGCTCATTTTTAGTTTAAGCCACACCCACTTTGAGTTTTATTGTTTAGGAATTGGTATCAAAGTCAAGCCATCAGTGTCGAAAACTTTTTCAGTAAAACTTTAACTGAAGGGTAGAATCCTTAAGACTACATGACACATAAGCCTTTCATGATAACTGGCAAACCTGCATAAACATGTAGGAAGGCTTATTCCAACAAAGGTCAGTTTATATAAAGGATGCTTTTGTCACTTTTTGTCAGTTCACCTGAGCAAGGGTTGTGATAACTGACAGTTGTCAGTATGTCAGTTGTCACGGAAGGCTTACGTAGGTGTTCTGTAGCCTTATGAATGCTGCCCTGTAGTGCAGTGACCAAAATTTTAACAATACCTAGCCCAAGCAGTTCCAGAGCAGCCTGCACCAAATTAGTATGGATCCTCAGGAGCAGGGTGGGAGATACCTGCTGTTTCCTTTGAATATACCCCTGTGTCTCTTTCACAGTGAAATGGTCATTTAACGTAGAAACTGAAGATATTCGTGATGTTTCATTTCTTCTGTGATGTGACATCAATATTCTAAATGGCGCCTCAATATTTTTTTTTTTAGATCTGAGGGAGTTTGTTTTCTTTGTGTTTCCATACAAGGGCTTGTACTTGTTACATTTGTGGATGGAAAAAAGTTTGTATGTTCAGAACATTCTTCATTAAAGACAGTTATTTGGATATTTTTATGGATTGGAATTCAACATTTGTGAATAGGATCCTCTGAACTGATACCGCTTTTTCACTTAATCACACATACATACACACTTTACACCTATCTTTTATGAATCCCATTCTAAATCCATAGGTATTAATATGGAGTTGGTCCCCCTTTGCAGCTGTAACAGCTTCCACACTTCCACACTTCGGGGAATCTTTCTACAAGATTTTGGAGACTGGGAATTTGTGTCCATTCATCCAGAAGAGTATCTGTGAGGTCAGACACTTATGTTGGACGAGAGGGCCCGGCTCACAGTCTCCATTCTAGTTCATCCCAAAGGTGTTGGATGGGGTTGAGGTCAGGGCTCTGTGAGGGCCAGTCAAGTTCTTCCACACCAAACTCACCCAGCCAGGCCTTTATGGAGCTTTGTGCACTGGGGCTCAGTCATGCTAGAACAGAAAAGGTTCTTCCCCAAACTGTTCCCACAAATTTGGAAGCCCAAAATTGTCCAAAATGTCTTGTTCTGCTGAAGCATTAAGATTCCCCTTCACTGGAACTAAGGGTTCTAGGCCAACCCCTGAAAAACAGCCCCATATCATTATACGTCCTCCACCAAACTCTACAGCTGGCACAGTGCAGTCAGGCAGGTAACGTTCTCCTGGCATTCGCCAAACCCAGACTCGTCCATCAGACTGACAGATAGAGAAGCTGATTCATCACTCCACAGAATACGTTTCCGCTGCTCCAGAGTCCAGTGATGGCGCTTTACACCACTGGATTCTATCATGGCAACATACAGCATGCTGCAGCTGCATGCAGCTAATAATGCATTAACTATCAGGCCTAGTAAAAATATGAATTATTCAGTAACTACTATGAATCTGTCAGTTTTGCAGTTATGAGAGTGAACCCACATAAACAGAGTTTAAGGAGTTAATAAGTGATTTTACAGACTAGTTTCTCAAATATATCTTCATCAACAAATGCACGAAAGAGAAAATCATATACTTGTTCATCATTCTACACCAATAATAAAACAACACTTCTCATACCACCTGACTTATTTTGTGAGAAACTCATGTGTGCTCATCAGGCTTAAGCAATTAACTGAAGTACTGGGGATTTTAGCCTTGACTCAGACACAAAGTGAGCATGAGGAACAAGTTTGAGTGCTTATTTAAGAAAAACGCAAAAAATCTGCTTAGCAACATTTACATTGGGCTCATTGTCATAGACATAGAAGGTCTGGATAGACAACACTGAAGTCTATGAAGTAACAGTAATAATATTTATGTAGTACATAATTGAACAATTGATGTATACGCTTAATATCTTAAATGAAGAGAAAAAATTAAAATCAACATATAATAACATTTAGCCTCTGACCTTATTATCTGCAGTTTGCAAAGTGAACTCCAGCAGAGAGTAGCTCCACTCCTGAATCCTGCACGTCATTATTACTGACATCCAGCTCGCTTGGTGGAGAGTCTTAGCTGAGAACTGATGCTAAAGATTCTCAGCACTCCGGAGTAAAATTACAGTGAGCAAATCTGAAATTGTGAAGTTAATACAGAACATACAATATATAAGAGAATATATAGTTCCATGTCAAGCTCTAACATATAAGAAGAAATGTATTATATTTTCCTCTGTACATTCTTTTATCTTAAGAAAATAAGTCAGCCTATTTATCCTGAGATGTATAGATACTGTAGCATAAACTACAGTGTCTGCAGTTTGCAGAGGGAACTCTTCAGTCCAGCAAAGAGTAGCTGCACTCCTGAATCCTGCTGGTCATTATTACTGACATCCAGCTCACTCAGTGGAGAGTCTGAGCTGAGAACTGATGCTAAATATTCACAGCACTCTGAAGTAAGATTACAATGTAACTGTAGTACCTCCATGTTATTGCTCAGATAGCAGTGAAACACAGAACTCCTGAAGAGTGGTTGGTCCTGATCATTGATCCTTTTCTGAAAGTACTCTTCTTTCTGAGGGTCAGTGAATCCCTGAATTTCTGTGACTGAGTTGATGCAATCAAAGGGCATCTTTTTGGCTGCAAACTTCTGCACAGTGACTTGTCCCAGTGCCAGCAATACCTATGGGCAAAATTGTCCTCGGCTCTCTCTTTACAGTATTATTCTTCCTTGTTGATCATTTGTCTTTCTTTTCATAAACACTTTGAACATTGCAGTTTCTCCATGTATCTTGTAACTGATGTTTCCTGGATATTCTCTCAATCTGCAAGACTTCATGATCCTCATTCCATACTTCAGTCTTTCCCTCTACGATGCCGAGCTGTGTGTAAATTCTATTCAGGTTTTATTTTCCTCTGCTTTAATTACTTCAAATATGCACTCAAACCTTCTCTTCTATGTTAGTTTTGTGACTCTCCAATACGTTGTGATGAACTTCAGCTAATAGTAGGTAAGAATCCTGCTGCAGGTCTCTAGCCTTCTAATGCTGCTTTTGTATGCTGCCTGAAATGCACATTATCATTACTGTGTTTTCATCCTGTTATCAATCCATTTTTAAATATCTTCTTACTGTACGTTTAGTTAAAACACACAGTCAGCCCAATAATTATTGGCACCCTTAATAAGGGTGGGTAAAAAGGTCATAAAATGTTTTTGTGGTCAGAAAATCTAATGTTTAAAGTCAGTTTTGTTTAAAAAAAAACAAAAAGGGTCATCCTCTAAGAGAAAACAAGGTAACATTTTATTTGGATTATCCACTGTAGAGGCTTTTTAGATGCTTAGTTTAGCTTTAACTAACATTAAACTCAACTCAATCTATTAAATGCAACTGAATGTGACATTGCATGTGAAAGATCCTATTAAATCTGTCCCTAATCTTAAACCTAACCCTAGCCATAATGTTGTTGATAATCAAATGAGTATCAGTAGAAAGTTTTTTTAAAAACTACTTGTAGATCATCTATAGGAGACCATCAAAATAAAGTGTGACCAAAAAAGGGTGATGCTCCAGGTTCCTGGGTCCTCTCCATGCACTTATGTTTGTGTTCAGCTGAAGGCTTTCTCATGCTTTTCAGACAGTCTGTGGCATGGGGTTAGGGTACACTTGTAGTTATTGTAGTTTTGCAGACTTGATGACCTCAAAATGCTATCTTCTGCTAATCTCCAGCTGTGATCTGTGAAGGAATTTTTGCCTCTCTAACTTTTTTCTTGACTGTGTGTAGGGGTGAACTATACGTGCTTCCTCTTTCAGGCAGTTTCACTCTAGCTCTGCTTGATTTAACCCTCTTAATTATTGCTCTAACAGCAGACATTGGCATTTAAAAGATATATTTTTCATAAGGGCTTCTGTTTTCTTCATTTAAAGGCAAATTGCTCTCATATTTTCAATGTGGAATTGAAATTGACATTTTCATTACATTTTATACTCAGCTTCACCAAGGGTGCCAAAAATTATAGAACTGACTGTATATGGCATATTTGTTCAAAAGTAACCCACTTATCATTACCACATTTCTATGTTGTCCAGTAAATAAACATGTCCTATATCAACATTAAGAAAATGCCTTTGTATTTACTTTATTAGTAAAACATCATGTATTCACCTTATTATCATATGGATAAAGAGCAAACGGTCTCTATGATTTATGTAGTTTTTGTAGTCTTATGTACTATTTCTTAAAGTTTTCCTTCCCTGGTCAGTGATTGAATTTTGAAGCCTTACTTTAGTTGAATGGGCAAAGCTCCATCTCCAACATTAGACCACACCAACAGCCACTAGGAAGACTACAGTAAATAAACCTTTTATTTAGGAGATGAAAATCTTGTTTTACTCAATTACCACTGTAAAACATTAATCTAGGCTTATTATTCAATAGCTGCAATGAATTATTCAGTATCTGCTATGAATTATTCAATACTTACTATGGATTATTCAGTATCTACTATGGATTAATCACTATCTACTATGAATCATTTATTATCTAGTATAAATTATTCAGTACCTATTGTGAATGGTTCTGTACCTATTATGAATTATTCAGTAACTGCAATAAATTATTCAGCAAGTAATTCAGTAATTCAGAAATTACTGTGAATTTTTCAGCATGTACTATGAATTATTCAGTATTTTCTATGAATTATTCAGTATCTGCGATGAATTGTTCAGTATCTACTATGAATTATTCGGTATCTACTATGAATTATTCAGTATCTGCGATGAATTGTTCAGTATCTACTATGAATTATTCGGTATCTACTATGAATTATTCAGAATCTGCTATGAATTGTTCGGTATCTACCATGAATTATTCTGTATCTACTATGAATTATTCAGTATCTGCTATGAATTGTTCAGTATCTACTATGAATTATTCGGTGTCTGCTATGAATTATTCAGTATCTGCTATGAATTGTTCAGTATCTACTATACATTATTCAGTATCTGCTATGAATTATTCAGCATCTACTTATCAGTATCTAATTATTTAGTGACTTCTTCAAAATTAATGTGCAAGTCTTTAGTTATGAGAGAGGAATGAAAGTTTTAGAGTTTAAGGTTAAACCGGGAGATTAAAAAAGAACTATGGGGCTATGGGGAAGTTCGTCTAAGCTTTTTTTCATCTCATAAAATATTTCAGCAGAGTAGCCTTTCAATGTGATGCTTTATTTTGCCACAAGATGTCAGTATCAGTGCAGCATGAATGAAGCTTCGTCATTCCTTCTCATCATGGTCATGAAATACAGTTCTCTCAGAAACATGGTGATATGTCCAGTAGCAGCAGATGAAAAGACAAGATGACAGCAGAACAACAGTCAATAAATAAAGACAATAAACTACTTAGTACAATAAACCATTAGCTGTGCAATTGATAAGCAACAAGTCAGACCAGTTGTGCAGTTGATAGCAGCAATGACTGTTTATATGTGTACAGTTGAACAATTAAACTCAGTCCTTAGAATCAGATAACAGTAAGAGAGTAGACAATGTGTGCAATGAAAAAAATGTATCTGATGTAGATTAAAAGTTTTTCAGCCTTGCCATGATGATGTAAGACACTGTAAATCAGAGGCGGTCCTAACCTATTCGGCACCTTAAGCAAAATTTTACTTAGTGCCTCCTAAGCAATTGTGATATGGGCAGTTACTCCTAAGCTGTGAGCCATTGCCTACATTCCCTATGCTGGATGAATAATAATTCTTAATTCACAGTTTAACGCAAGTGGATTGTCTGCCTCATTTGTATGCTGGTCTAACTGAGAGGTATTTCTCAAAAACTGATCAGCAAATTTAGGATTGTCCTTTAGAAATGTCCATGATCTTTTCCTCTATTGGATGCGCTCCATGCTTGGCCTGACTGATAGTTTGGTGAAAAAAAGTACATCTTCACAGAGTTAATCCTTACTCAAAATGTAACCAATCCAAAATTAGCTTCTTTATTTTTACACTGGAGCTACAAGGCTAATGTAGTTTACAAGTAATGGAAGCTTATACCCCACCGATTAGCATCATTCTTACTGCATGTCTAAATCATTACACATTCGCACATTTTTGTGGAAGTATGTTAGCATACCTGAAAACAGCAGCAGCAGTCATCTAGAAGCCTGAATTTTGTCAGTGCTTTGATCCATGTTTATAAATAACTTTGTCACACGGTGTCAGAAACCACATAATCAAATTGTAGTTTCACTGTTAAATTAAATTAAAGTTAAATTAAAGAAGTACATTTAAGACATCAAGCATGACTTGGCTGATAGACTTGATCCAGGCATCTGCACAGATAGATCCCTGGGGGGATCTGTTGCTCATAGACTGTACAAGTGCCCTCGTGGTTGGTGCGTATAATAACTGTATTTTATATCGTCTGGATTACAAGGTGTGGCTCAGCCTCGCCCTGGGAATAGAGCTTGTGGGTCAGCTTGGGTTCTATGAGCTTCAGTGCTTTTGGATGTCCCTCTGGTATAGTACCAAACGCTTGTGGTTCTCCTCAGTAACTCCGATGTGATCATTCGTCACCACTGAAAATCCCATCAATAAAGTGCTGAAAATCTCTCTATGAAATTATGACATACTGTAGTGTTGCTATTTTGAACATAATGTCAGAAATAAGTGGTGTTAATAACTTGCTAAAAGTTTTCGTTGCTGTAAAAAAAAGAGATTTATGCAAAACTCTTCACACTATGTTTAGTTTGTCTGAAACATGGTTACACCATGTACTTTGGTAAGAATGATTGCAATATACTGTAAATCAAAATAAAATTTATTCACATTCTTGTTGCCATTATTTTATATTTTAGTAATTGTATGAATTTCAGCCATGAAAAAGTGGAAAAATTCCAACTTGATAAGTATGTTGCAGTGGTTCCTTTAAGACACACACACACACACACACACACACACCAGAGGACACACCTTCTCAAAGTGTCAAAAACAGAAAACAGAAACTGAAGAGCACTAAAATCCAAAGCAGTAAAGTCCAAAGGACTAAAGGACTGAAGGCCTGAAGGACTTTAAGACCGAGAAGGATCGACAGACTATAAAAGCCTGTTATAGACTCCATAAACTAATTTGTAGGATTTTTCTTTGTGGGACAAAGTTTTCTAGATAAGCAGGTTTTTCTTGAGCGTTCTTGAAGACATGGATTGGGGCACAGCTCTGTGGGTACGTTTCTTCACTGTTCCTTGATTCCGTTTGAGTTTTGCATTTTTCTTCAATGATTTGAACCCAAAGCTGCTCACTTGGCTGGTGACCTCAAGTTTGACGCCAGTCAGGAGTGAATGGAGTGTGACATTGTGCTGTTCAGGTTTAATGCTGGTGGATTCTTAAACAGGTGCAGTCATGAAGCTCTTTTTTAGGTTGGCTGTTTTTGTTTGTTTTTGTTTTCTTTCCTACAATGCATGCACTAAAGCAGAGGTTTGCCTCAATAGTCTTCGCTAACGTATTCCAACTTTACAAGAAAATAAATCCAGTAATTTGATGTTGAAAGAAGGCAAAATTTACAAAATGCAATTTAAAAAATTCTAAGTTCACAAATTTAAAGAAAATTCACTTATTGAATGTTCATTGAAAGCAAAATTCACAAAAAATCACCAAAAAAAAATCACGAAAAGAAAATTCACAAATGTAACTTTCCAAGAAAATGAATTTTTTGACCTTTTCAAAAAAATTAAATCCACAGCATTATTTTCTGCAGCTAGATTTACATTGTTGGTGTAATGGTGTACCAGCAGTGTTTCCAGATCCACGTTGGTGACATGAAGTTGAACTTGCACCTGTCAAATGTCCTCAAAGAGGAAAACAAAAATTACACTCCTAGAAGAAGACACAGCCAATCCTGTTTTTGTTTGTGATAGAATGTGTCCTTCCTCCTCATTTCTTCCTGATATGCTTTGTGTTTTAATTTAACTAAGTATATATTTTTTGAAGCAACATTCTTTGACGCTATTCATATTACCTGGCAGGGGCGGGGCTCTGGCAGCAGTGGGGCAGGACAGGTCTGACAGGTTTTTAAGAGACTGGAAGAGGCTCAGAAAAAAGGCTTAGTGCCATCAGTGAAACTCATATAAGTCCACCGTACCAGAGACTAGCCTGCAGTAGATGGGATCATGTCAAGTATGAGGAAAAGAGAGAGAATTTCCTGCTGATCTGGATTCCTATGGCTCAATTAGTGTAGCTTGCTAGCTAGAAATATTCAGTTCCCTGAGAGCATTTGCAGATTACAAAAAACTATTATGAAAACTAAAAAAACTATTGTGTTTTTAAAGGTTAGTTTAAATTTTTGTATTTTACCTTACGATTCCTTAGAAGTCTAGACCAATTACTGCACTTTTGCTATATTATTTAAATGTAACTACATACGTATTACATTATTCATTACTAAACTAATTATTATTTAATAAAGTACATAAATACTAAATTTGGTAACACTTTATTTGGAGCGTCCACTTTAGATGCTTTGTAGTTAATTAATTTACTTTCAAGTTGCATTCAAATAAAAAGCAACTAACTTGACCATAATTGTCTTTAACCCTAAACCTGCTCTAATCCTAACCCTAACCTTAATCTCAACCCAAAACCTAAACCCAACTCTCACTCTGGTTCTTGCCCTAAACTTGGTCCAAATCTTAACCCAATACCCCACCACTGTTTAGAATCAACTGAGTTTCAACAGATAGTTTGTTAACAATTTGATCTTCTGTAGATAATCTATAGGGGACTATAGTGGGCTGTCCAAATAAAGCGAGACCCTAAATGGTAACACTTTATTTAGACAGTCCATTTAGATGCTTTGTATTACATTCAGTATACATTCTGTATTAAAAGGTTTGAGTCAGCGATATCAAAAACGACTAAACCGTGTCAAAAATGGATATTTGTCTTTCCACAGCACAAGACTGTAACCTTTTAAGTTATTGTTTAAAATGAAATCATAATATCTGCTTTTCTACTTACAAACACAAATAAAAGTTTAGAATCTGCACTTTCCACTAACTTCTCCCCTTGTTTCAGTGAACTGCAAGTCAGATTCATATCAGTTCACAGAAAATCCTGCTTTTTTCCCCAGATTTAAAACTCTTATGGCTAAAATACATGCAGATTAGACATTTAAATAAAAATTCTTCTATCTGCAAGTATTCTGTCATCACCAAAATCTTTAGAGAACAAAGCAATTTTTTCAAACAATGGTTTCTGTGGCTACCATGGAAACATAAATCAGCAGGGGTATGTAAATGTGATTGCCATGACAGAAGAGTTACATTTTGAGGACAAGAATGTTTTTCCTTACTTAGATATATATATCATTATTCAGAAGTATTTTTATCAAATATTACTAAGAAATTAATAAATATTATAAGCAAAAACAAGACAACAAAAAGGATTAGAAATATTCAAGTTTAAAAAGTCAGAATTATCTTTACTATCACAAAATTGGATTTGATGGTGAAGATACACAGTGTAGCACATAGTAAATAAGTACAAGACAATACCAACCTCTTACTGGCTCATTATTGTGACCAGATCGCATACACACACACACATATATATATATATATATACATATATATATACATATATATATATATATATATATATATATATATTTTTTTTTTTAATAATCTGTATTTCTTTATCTTGAGTGTTAAGCAAGTGCTTTGATGTCAAAATCAAAACTGTATTCATTATTTTTTTCTCAATATTTCAACCTATATTTAATTGTAAAGCCAAGGAACATATTCATGTGTCAGAGAAAACATGGCATTAAAATGTACTGTAACATCCCACTACTGGTTTGCTGTGCCATGGGGGATGCGGGAGGCGTGGCCAACTAGAGTGGCTGAGTGGGAGACTCTTGGGAAGTACTGCATTCATAGTAGGAAAGACATTGTTTGGGCTATTCTGTTTTGGACTGTAGGCCAGTTAGTGCAGTGTTAATGGCTACTATCAGGTGAAAGTGTATGGCTAGAAGTGAACTGCCTGCCATCTTGACCGTTTCAGCAGTGTTAAACCGCGGTTCCCCTTTGCTGCCTGTTCAATGAAACAGCATTTGCCTTTAGAGTGAAATATTTCCTACATCTTTTTCCTCGCTGAGCCACAATATTTTAATAGAGCTGTGAACCAATTAAAATTCTGTTTAATCTATTTACTTTGCATACTTCTTCTTGATTAATCTCATTTGTCTTATTTGCTCTAATTTGACCTTAAAGAAAGATTTTATTTTAAAAGCAGCACATTTTGTTATAGCTAAGCTATGTAAGCTCCATTAGCTTCATCAGACTGTATTAATTACTTTTAATAACTTGATCCTAAGAATAAAATTGTGTAGATGCAGGGTGACCATGAAAATAAGGTGAATGCAGTTTTCATTGTTGATGTCTAGTGAGCAAAAGTGGCTGCAAGTTCTAACCAATGAGTGTATATATCAAATTTATCAAATATACAGTCAAGTATATCATATATATTGTCACATATGCAGTTCAACTCCTCTGTGATTGTTGCCTCTCACTTTTGCTCTCGTTCATAAAGTTTGTAAATTCTTTTTATTGCAGCATCAGTCCCTGATCAATAAATGAACTAATCCCTGATCAAGTCTCCATTCATTAACATAGAAAAGAAGATCTAACACTGATAAATCAGGGTTTTAAAAACCTTAACCTTATCAAAACCAATCAGTAACCCAGTGATCCATATTTAGTTTCAGAAAGGATTCAGATTTCAGCGAATGGAGACTGCAGGAGGATGAGGGTGTGAATGTCTTAGTTAGTCTGACACTCTGGAGAACCAACAGTTGACCGACTTGTCCAACAGGATCAGATGTGTGTAATTAACTGCTTTAGGCATCACACACAAATATTGGTTAGGGCTTTTAATGACTTCTGTAACACTATCTACACATAAACCTAACCTTAATCTCCATAATTTACAACTAAACCTAAACCTAACCTTAATTTACAACTAAACCTAACCCTTAATCTAATCTCAGTAACCTACACCTAGACCTAATCCCAACTGTAACCTCAGTAACCTACACTTAAACCTAACAGCAACCTTATTGTCAGTAACCTACACCTAAACCAAACCCCAACCTTAAACTCACTAACCTACACCTAAACCTAACAGTAACCTTAACCTCAGTAACCTACATCTAAACCTTAACCTTACCTTAACTCCAGAAACCTACACCCAAACCTAAACCCTACCTGACCCTCAGTAACTACACCTAACCCTAACAGTAACCTTAACCTCTATAACCTACACCTAAACCAAACCTCAAACGTAATCTCAGGAACCTACATCTAAACTTAAACCTTACCTTAACCTCAGTAACCTACACCTAAACCAAACCTAAACCTTAACCTCAGTAACCTACACCTAAACCTTAACCTCAGTAACCTACACCTAAACCAAGTAGTAACCTTAACCTCACTAACCTACACCTAACCCTAACCTCCATAACCTACACCTAAACCAAACCCAAAACTTAATCTCAGGAAACCTACACCTAAACCAATCTCCAAACTTAATCTCACTAACCTACACCTAAACCTTACCTTAACCTCAGTAACCTACATCTAAACCTAACAGTAACCTACACCTAAACCAAACCCCAACCTTAACCTCAATAACCTACACCTAAAACAAGTAGTAACCTTAACCTCACTAACTACACCTAACCCTTACATCCATAACCTACACCTAAACCAAACCCCAAACTTAATCTCAGGAACCTACACCTAAACCAAACCCCAACCTTAATCTCAGTAACCTACACCTAACCCTAATAGTTACCTTAACCTCAATGACCTTCACCTAAACTAAGTAGTAACCTTAACCTCACTAACCTACACCTAACCTTAACCTTCATAACCTACACCTAAACCAAACTCCAAACTTAATCTCAGGAACTAACACCTAAAACTAAACCTAACGCCAACCTCAGTAACCTACATCTAAACTAAACCCCAACCTCAACCTCAAACATGCAGTTTTATCAGGGGCCTTCTTACTTTTGCTTATGACCGTATTCTCTAAAGCTTTTACTCACCTGGTTTAGCTGTAAATGCTCAAAAAAGAAGAAAAAGAGCAGCACATAAGACTGGGCTAAATGCTCTAATATATATCAGTAAAACTTTATTATAATAGTCACTAATAAACAGCAACTTATTCATTATCTACATTTGCCCAGATTGTTAATACAATCATTTACATGTATTAACTCTCAATAACCAAAAGGCAGTCTGCAATAAAGTGTCAAAATCCAAGACTTTAATGATGATGAAGATGGGAAATGGTGATTAAAAACACTATTTGTTTCTTCGCTTTCCTGCGCCCACCAGCGCAGACGCATTTTTAACAGATAAAATATCAAATCATTGTAACTATTCCATGGTTTCATAAAGGAACAAGAGACAAGTGATTTATGATCTCTGTTCATGCTATAGATTAAGATACTCAATATAGATTAAGAACTTTTCCTGCTACAGATTTGATACCACTTCAAAACACAACGTCCTGTTTGTTATGCAGAATACAGCTAAGTGACAGAAGCAGATGGAAAAAATGGAATTCATTGCCTTGGATGACCAGTTGTTCTACATTGTTGAAAGACACTGAATTTTGTAACACATACTGTAGCCTATTTACTGTAATCATTTTAGTTTGTCTATTTCAGTTTTTCTTTTCAGTTTTAAACCGAGTGTGTCCTGAATTGTGGTTTTGGTTTCAAAATATTCATTTCGGTGAATCACTAGTATCTGCTATTTCAGTTTTTCCAAGAAAAGCTGTGTTTGTGGTGAAACCAGCATGTTTTCTTGTGAGGACCAGCAAAATGTCCTCACTTGTGTAAAATCATGTTGTCTTATGAGGACATAAGAAAGTTTAGTGTGATCACGTAACTCACACAGTGTATAAATGCATGATATAATTTATACACCCTGACTCTGGGGTTTTCACACTGAGTATGTGTGTGTATGTGTGTGTGTTGCAGGACCAGCATGATGTGATTGAGAAACACACCCAGTCAGGGCTGGAGCTGGCGGATCGCTATGTGAAGTTTGTCAAAGAGAGAACAGAGATCGAACAGAACTATGCCAAACAGCTCAGGCAAGAGTGTGTGTGTGTAAAGGTGTATATATAAATGTGTCAGTGTGTGTGTGTGTGTGTCAGTGTGTATGTATGTGTGTTTGTAAATGTGTGTATGTAGATGTGTGTGTATATGTGTGTGTGTTTGTAAATGTGTTAGTAAATATGTGTGTATGTGTGTGTGAATGTGTATATAAATGTGTGTGTGTGTGTTTGTAAATGTGTGTATGAATGTGTATATAAATGTGTGTCAGTGTGTATGTGTATGTTTGTAAATGTGTGTATTTAAATATTTGTGAGAATGTGTATATAAATGTGTGTGTCAGTGTATGTGTGTGTTTGTAAATGTGTGTATGTAAATTTGTGTGTATGTGTGTGAATGTGTATATAAATGTGTGTGTGTCAGTGTGTATGTGTGTGTGTTTGTAAATGTGTGTATGTGTGTGTGAATGTGTATATAAATGTGTGTCAGCATGTATGTGTGTGTGTGTTGGAAATGTGTGTATGTAAATATGTGTGTATGTGTGTGAATGTGTATATAAATGTGTGTCAGTGTGTATGTGTGTTTGTAAATGTGTGTATGTAAATATGTGTGTGTGAATGTGTATATAAATGTATGTGTGTGTGTCAGTGTGTATGTGTGTGTGAATGTGTATATAAATGTATGTGTGTGTTTGTCAGTGTGTATGTGTGTGTGAATGTGTATATAAATGTGTGTGTGTGTGTCAGTGTGTATGTGTGTGTGAATGTGTATATAAATGTGTGTGTGTGTCGGTGTGTGTATGTGTGTTTGTAAATGTGTGTATGTAAATATGTGTGTGTGAATGTGTATATAAATGTGTGTGTGTGTGTCAGTGTGTATGTGTGTGAATGTGTATATAAATGTGTGTGTGTGTCAGTGTGTATGTGTGTGTTTGTAAATGTGTGTATGTAAATATGTGTCAGTATATATGTGGGTGTGTTTTTAAAGATGTGTATAAAATGGGTCAGTGTGTATGTGTCTGTGTAAAAGTGTGCATGCACACGTGTGTCAGTGTGTGTGTCAGTGTGTGTGTGTGTGTGTTTGTAAATGTGCGTGTATGTGAGTGTGTGTGTCAGTTTGTATCTGTATATGTGTGTGTAAACATGATCCGTGTATGTATTTCTCTTTTTTCTTCATATGCAGGGCTCTTTGTAAAAAATATTCAAGGAGAGGCAGCAGAGAGGACCAAGACACAAGGTGAGTGTGAATGTGTGTACAGCTTTGTGTGCAGGTTGATATGTTTCATGTTGGACCCCTTTAACCCTCGGCTTAGAGTTATTATAATTTATTATTCAATATCCTATGAATTGTGAATTATTCAGTATCTACTATGAATTATTCAGTAACTACTATAAATTATTCAGTATCCACTATAAATTATTCAGTATCTGCTATGAATTATTCAGTAACTACTATAAATTATTCACTATCTACTATAAATTATTCAGTATCTGCTATAAATTATTCAGTAACTACTATAAATTATTCAGTAACTACTATAAATTATTCAGTATCTGCTATGAATTATTCAGTAACTAATATAAATTATTCAGTATCTACTATAAATTATTCAGTATCTACTATGAATTATTCAGTATCTACTGTAAATTATTCAGTATCTATTATAAAACTACTGTGTAAGTTCTGTACTTAAAAGAGTGAAGAACTGAAGTGTGGACCCTCATACAGACCTTCAGAGATCAAGGGATTAACTGCCTTTACACCTTTTATATAGAGATGTAATAGGCTCTGATCTTTGCTCCGGTCAACTAATCACATGCTGTATGCTTTCAGGTTCACCAATCAGCAGGCGTTTCAGGAGGTGCTGAATGAGCTGAATGACTACGCGACTCACAGAGAACAGCTGGCTGATAACATGAGCGTCAGCATCTGTGTGGAGCTCACCAAGCACCTCTACGACCTGAGACTGGAGCGCAAGACTGTAAGAAAACAGAAGAGTGTGGAGTGAGAGAGAATCCAGCCAGAGTCCTGTTTGAAGACAACTAGCTTTAAAAATGTTTCTAATAAATCATTATATTTCATGACATGATTTATAAGAACAGACCCCAATAATCACCATCTTAATCATGATCTAATAGTTTGTAAATTACTGTGAATAATAATATCGTAGCTACAGATGCATTAATAAATGCCAGGTGAATAAATAACCATTTAATTAGTGATGTGGATAGTAATTGTTTTGAATTCTAAAAACTAATTATTAATTATAATTTGTTAATACTAATTTAGTCATTTGATATCCCAAAATTCAAAAATTATATAATTTGAAAGATTAAGAATTTACATGTATAAAAATAATGAATAAAAATAATTAATCGATATCATAAATTGTTTAAAGTAATTTATATTTTATATTTTTATTTAAATTGTAATTTAGTTAGTAATATTTATTATTTTTTCCCTGAGTTATGTATTGTCTTGCCTCTGTATGATGCAAAAGCTGTTCCATAAAGCTTAGTTAATTATTTGTAAGTAACATACAGTCATATTGCTAAAGTTTGGGCACCCCTGGTCAAATTCCATATCGTTGTTTATCTTCTAAGTATTAATAAGTGAACACATCCTCTACAGAGACACACTTCAGCACATTTTAATAAACAATTACTGTCCATTTACTGAGTTTAACATAATGGGATGAAAAAATTAAACCTACAAATTTGCAGAAAATTGCTATATTTAAGGTCAGCTAAGTTGATCAGGGCTGTTCAGACTTTTGTGTATGAATGTATTAAATGGAACGCAGTTCAGATCTTCCCATTTTTCTTTGCATAAAACTGCAGAATGAATGGCTGCTAAAAGCCCTACTTTGGGAATAAAGGAAGGCCACACATTTTACTACCGTATTATAATGTCAGCACTCAAACCTTTCAGGTGCTTAAACCACCTTAAATGTTAGTAGAAACTTTTAATGGCCACATTTACATGTAGCCCAAAATTCCATTAATAATCCGACTATTAGCACAGGATTACACACCTCGTTCGCCAGAAACTGTATTCCGATTGAGGTTATTCGGAATACAGTTTCTCTCCGATTGATCGAGGTGGGTAATCCTGTAAATAATCCGTTAAATAGAAGAATAATATCCGTGTAAACGCCTGTATCTGATTACATTCCCTATCGGAAAGTTTAAGTCCGTTCTGATCTTGTTCGTCACGTCATAGTGAAAGTTTGTAACGTTCAACATGGCGGAGCAGAAACTGGTCTGCAGAGGAGACGAAGTTTATGCTCTGATCTTTAAAAGACGGCGGTGGGACGGACGTCCAGCTTATGTGTCTCAGAACACGACGTCTTCCTCTCGGCCTTCTTTAATAAGGACATGTGAAGGACGTTTTCCTGAGTCTGACATCATTTTAAAGCAATTAAAAACACAAGCGCTGCTCACTGCTGCTCGTCTCACTGGACTCACGTGATGCTGGTTGTCATGGTAACATTTACTCTAAGCGATTCTCTACACACTTGTGTAATTTTGGATCGGATTACTTGTATTGAGCATGTAAACAGAGATTTTCATCAGATTGTTGAATGGAGTGAGAATAAACACCTCAGTCTAATCTATAATCGGAATGTATTGAATTGGATTGGCAAAAACCTTTGCATGTAAACACAGACAGTGATAGATTCAGACCTAGGAAGACACTTTGATGAACATGAAGCTGAGTGTTGCAGATACATATCTGATGTACGACAAACTAAACCTGCACAGTGAGTTTTTTTATCTGTTAACTGAATCGTAACAGCTTTTGAAACATTTGACAGGCAGTATCTGTGCATAATATTTCCTTTTTTTCCTCCTTCAGCTTCTGACTGAGGTTAAAAAAGCCCAGCAAAATCTTGAGAACAGCTTCAAACAGCTTGAGTTGGTACGTCTCATATGTGCATATTGTCATGTGCACTTATATATTGACAATATATGTTGATTACGTTTGTTTTTAAAGGATATTGTTTTGGTTTCCCCACAGGTGACTTCTAATACACTTTTACAGTGGAATGTGCTGTTTTAAGGTATAATGTGTGTGTTTTTAGGCTAAGAAGCGTTTTGAGAAGGAGTGGAAAGACGCAGAGAAAGCCAATCTGCAAGCAGAGAGAGCTGAACAGGACACTAACTCGACCAAAGTGGATGTAGACAAGGTACATATGCACATTTTTTTCAGTTTAAAGACTAGAAAACGGCCCTTTTGATGATGTATCTTGAAGGTTGGAGGTGGATTTTGGGGGCTGCTTTATTTTTTCCATTTACTGGTTACTGCAGAAGAAAAGCAGCTAGCAAATGTTACTTCTAGAAAGCCAAATATCTTACAGCATCTGTTTAACTGTCTTCAAACCATCATTATATTGGAGAGAATAAATTGTTAAAATGGCAGAAATGACTCACCCAGTGAGGAGAACAAGCTAACAGCCACTTAAGCATGATCTACGCCTTTGGCTTGTGCCTGCGACCAAATCACAGCCGTGATGTTATTCGCGATAACGCACTCCTCGAGTGTTCTATTGCTTTTATACAACAGTTAAATACAGTAATAAATGAATAAACTGGGCCGTGAACGCAGCGTTTAATATGTTTTAATGTTTGCAGTTCCTTCACCAAATTATAGTTCCTTAACAAGCAGCTTGTTGCTACGTCAGAGTAATGAACTCCGCTCACTCGCTGCACAGCCTGCTGTAAGCCTCGCCTTTGAAGTACGGACTGAGTCATAAAACTGCCGCAATATCAAGTTCAGCTCAGTTTTGTCATTTTTTGCCAGATCAGTATTAATGTTGTTTTGTTCCAGCCAGTCTGTAAAGCATCTTACAGCCCATTTAGTTTGGCGAATGGTGTTGGGTTCATTTCTGGCTGATTCCAGGTTGTTTCAGCTGTTCTTCTGTCACAGCTGCCGACTGAAAAGCTGCTCAGTGGTGATGACAGTTTGGGAATTTAGTGTCGTCTCATCTTCAGAGACTGACCAAATCGGCTGTCGGTCAAATGTGATCTTAAAAGTGTCCATTTTCTGTTCTTTGTGCAAAGTAAGAAGTAAAAATGTTCGAATGACTTGAGCGTCTCCTACAGCTGTCAAAGTAGTTGCTTAGCAACGGCGTCTCAGCAGAGTGATACGGTGTTTGTGATGTTATGGCGAAATAACAGCACAGTTAGAACGCTTCTCAACCAATCAGCTTGCCTGGCCAGAACTAACTGTTGTATAAAGTTAGGTAGCTACCCAGATATCGGGATATCTTACCTTAGTTTGTGCTGACTGATGTAAGAGTTAAGTCAATGCTGGCTTGGTTGTATTTGTTAGCCTATAGATCAGTGGCTCTGCTGGCAGTCAGGATTGGGTGACACAACTGGTATTTCCAATGTTTGTATCTTTGTTATGCGAATGAGTATTGAAGTGAGAAAATATTGATGAAAGAAAACATGAAGACTGTTTGAATTTTACCAAACAGAGATATAATTCTGCACTACAGAACTACATAATATTGCATAACATGACAAGTGATATATTAATGTCTAGTTTAAGGCCAAAAAAGTTTTAAATTCCCACCTTTTTTGGTTTCAGTTTCCATTTTAAAACAGTAGCATGATGTCATTTGCATGATAAATGGACCAATGGAAAAAATGTTTTTTAGGTTGCATCAACAGATTCAAGTTCACTCTTTTCATAGTCACTGTCATATCAAAATTGTCAAAGTTACGTTAACAGAACATTACTTTAAGAACTTTTTATGATCTTATGTCAGTTGATTAAGTGCTTGGACCCCTAAACTTTACAAAACCATCTTTTAAATATCAGCTGAGGAATTTTCTCTTAAATAATATTCTGCACCCTCTACAGTTTTTGTATATATATATTGTATATATATTGCATTTTGGGACTGTCATGTCAACATGATGAATATTGCTGAAAAAAACTTATAAAACACCAGCTGCAACAGCACCGGTAACGTTATTAAAGCGTAGCCTTAATTTCCAGCATATGGAATATATATCGATGCTGTCAGAACAAAACCTTGTATTTCCAAAATGGTAACTTTACAGAAGAAGGAAAAACACTTTTAACTTTACTTTTAATGTAAGTCAATGGAACCAGAGTTTTTTCCAAGTAATTCTGGTCCGTTTCTTTTGGTCCATTCTTCATGAAATTTACACACAATAGGCATTTTCAAATTTTGTCACTGAAAAACGACAAGGTTTTGTCTGACAGCAGCGATATATATACATATATATTCTATATGTACTTTTTTTCCTACTTTGTAAAGCATTTTGGGAAAAAAAGAAAAAACTCTACATAAATAAACAAAATGGATAAATAATAAATTATGTGTGTGTGTGTAATCCAGGCCAGGCAGAATGCTCATCAACGTACACACCTAGCAGACGAGTGTAAGAACGAATACGCTGCTCAGCTCCAGAAATACAACAGAGAGCAAAACCATTTCTACCACAGCGAAATGCCGTCTATATTTAACGTAAGTACTTCACCTCCAATTAAAATCTTTACTGTGCCGTCCTGCCCCAGCATTCACAACATTCCTCAAAGTCTATATCCTGAGCATCCTGTCTGACTCACCTGTACCTGTCTATACTTTAACTTTACACACCGGCGCATTCTTTCCTTCAGTTCTTTCACCTTTACATCAATAACTTGGCACTTCCTGCTTCTCTTCCTCCATCTTCTACTTCTGAAATGATCCTCAGGTTACCGGAAACGACAGACGCCTTTCTTAAAGGAATCATATTGATCGTGTCCTCATCGCCAGCAAATCTGGTATCTGAAGTTTGGTTCTTCAGTTGTAACAATAGAGCTGTGAGGCGAATGTAGCTAACAAATATAGGAAGTTAATACAATTAGCGTGGTGCATGTCTGAATCATCACATGCTCACCCCAGACTGTGTGGAGGTGTTCAGTGTCTCTAATAGACTTGATTATGTGGTTTCTGTCACTGTATGACTCACTGTTATCTATAAACATGGACTGAAGTACAGACGAAATTCAGGCTTCTTGAAGGCTGCTGCTGTGTTTAGCTATGCTAATGCACTTCAGTCCATGTTTATAGGTAACAGTGAGTCATACAGTGTCAGAAACCACAGAATCAAGTCTAGCAGAGATACTGAACACATCCACATGGTGTGTGATGATTTAGGCCTGCTGTTAGCACCATGCTAAATGGTGGGAAGCACACAGGACTTGTTAGCTATATTATCCTTGTAGCTGCAGTGTAGGACTAAAGAAGCCAACTTTAGACCTTGAGTAGATTTAGTGATTCTGGGGTTTGGGTTAAAAAACAGGAATGGTTCCCCCTGGATGCACATTTTTAAAATAGTTGAGGCTCCAGAGTGGTGCAACTCTCTATCCTGCAAAAATGATATTTTGGAAGGTGACATCATCTTGAATTTGTTCAATATGTCTAATCATTTTCATTCTGAGATTGTTGTAAGAACATTATGGAGTTAAATAACTATTTCTAGATGTCTTTTACTTGAGTAATTTTATTACGTGAATTTTTTCACTATACTGGCAGATAAATTTACTTGTTTTAGAAAATATTACTTGAAACATGCAAAACAATCTGCCAATATCATGAGATACTTTGGTACAGAGTAACAATGAAGTAACGAGGATGAGGAATGAGATTACTTGCTTCAGGAAGTAATTAGTAGCTGGTAAAATCTTAGTTGGACCACTTATGTACGTAATTCTTGAACTGTAACTTTTCTAAAGCTAGAATGAGATTTCTATAATCGTAACTAGACTTCGACAACTAGAAATGGACTTCTAAAATTGTTGTTAGCCATAGCTTTCGGGAAGTAGAACTAGGATTCCAAAATTATATCTATTCATCTAGAACTATATTTCTTGAATAATAGTGAAAATCCATGAATGAAAGTAGATCTGTAGAATTAACACCAGACTTCTAGAACTATTAACAGATCTCTAGAATTATATAGATACTTCTAAAACTAGAAGTAGATCTATACTCGATTTCTAGAATAGTAGACTAATAGATCTCTACTAGTTATCTAGAACTATAAATAGATCTCTAGAATTACATTGATGCTTCTAGAACTAGAGGTAGATTTCTAGAATTATAGCTAGTCTTCTAAAACTATAAATATATCTCTAGAATTATAAGTAGTCTTATAGAATCATAACTAGATCTCTGGAATTATAGCTAGTCATCTAGAACTAAAAATGGGTCTCTAGAATTATATTGACACTTCTAGAACTATGATGAGTAATGAGATTACTTGTTTCAGGAAGTAATTAGTAGCTGGTAATGGATTACTTTTGGAGTAACTACTGCAACACCAGAGCTATCTATATTAGCATTAATGCTACAGTTACGTAAAATCAGCTAAGCCTGTGCAGTGCTCTGTTCTGACTGAACGAACAAAGTTCGCTTTGGGAGTGTAGTGACAAACTTTTGATTGCTTCAAGGCTGCATGATATAAATGTAACTCTGCCCCCTGCTGGTCACTGACAGAAACTGCAGGAGGTGGATGAGAAGCGAATCAGGAAGTTGGCTGAAGGTTACAGGCTGTTTGCTGATATAGAGAGGAAGATCCTCCCGTTCATCAGCGTCTGCCTGGACAAAATCACCATAGCCAGCAATAACACCAAGGAAAAACAGGTGCACACACACACACTCACACGCACACACACAGTAAAGCTGCATTGTGGGCCGTAACTTTGAGTTTGAGTTTCTCCTGAGAACCTCAAATGTTACAGTATTTTGCAGTTTGTCTTTACATTCGGCAAGAATATCTAAATCCCAGAATTAAAACCTGAATACCTACCCAACAAACAAATATCTCCTTAGTCGAATATTTAGGTCCAGCCCTATAATATATACATACATAGTATTTACAGTGAACAAAATAAACATGTTTTTGGCTGATCAGAGTCCAGAGACCCTATAGAGAATATCTGGTCTCACATTAAACAGAAACTAGCTTTTCAGTGTTTTTCAGGTGTGTGAAGCCGTCAGTGCTGAGTGGAACAATATTGACTCTCCTTACTGTAAAAGATGGTCTGCAAAACTTCAACATTTAGAGAAATCAAAGGCAAATCTCTCCCACACTAACCAAATGCAGCTGTTTGTTTAATTCTTGCTAATTTACTGAGTTGTGATAAGAGTTTTTGTTGTATTTCGTTTTCAGTCTCAAAGTGAAGTACACTGACTGTCTGATGTAAACTGTACGCTAAAATCACCACAGCTCTCACAGTCTCTCCTCTCACTGAGAATTAAACTGACTCTGGCTATCCACGCTTCTGTGCCCTGGTTTTATCCGTGTGATGGGAAACAACTGATTGTTTATCAAGCTAAATGCTAGCAGCAGTCAGTTGCTTCTCTATAGACAAGATTTTCAGAACGAGACACAGTTGCTGAAGCAGGAAACATTCATGCTGTGAATGCATTATGTAGTTATTTCTGAATTTAGTTTGAAACAGCAAGTAGAAAGTAAACTGACCACTACTCTACTTTATTTGATAGGTGTTTGTTCTGTGATTGGCTGTTGTGTGTGTCAGTCAAATGATACTGTGTCTTACTCAGCTTGCAGTTGAACTGGTTTCATTTCGTGTAGGATTTCCACAATAACAAAAACCGGTGTTCAGCAGAAAAACTCATTTCTTTCTCCCAGCTGTTCACTGCAGTTTGCACCAACCCTGTACTTTCCATCTTGTATGTGTTTCAGGACTCTTTGACCCTCATTGAGCAGCATAAGTCTGGTCTAGCGCCCCCTGTTGATGTGGAGTTTGAGGATTACAGTCAAGGCATCAGATCTGCATCTCTGGAAGCCCCACAGAACAACTCAAGGGGCCGCATTAAACATTTATTCAAGAAGAACAAGGTCAATCAACTTTACACGTTTAATGTTGTACTTAACCACTTGCAAAAATTTCAAATCTTAGTTGGACCACTTATGTACGTTGAATGAAATAGGCAAGGCAAGGCGATTTGTACGGCACCTTTCATACACAGTGGCAATTCAAAGTGTTTTACACAAACAGAAAAATTAAAGCATTAGAATAGAATCAAATTTACAGAATTATAAATAGCCTGAATTTCTAGAATTTTAGCTAGACTAGACTAGAACTGGATTTCTTGAATTGTAACTTTTCTAAAGCTAGAATGAGATTTCTATAATCATAACTAGACTTCAGTAACTAGATCATTCTGGATTTTTAAAATTGTTTTTAGCCATCTAAAAGTAAGACTGATTTCTAAAATTATAACTACAATAATATTTATGCAGCTTGAAGTTGTTATATCAGGATAGCTTTCTGGACGTAGTACTAGGTTTCCAAAATTATATCTATATATCTACAGCTAGATCTCTTGAATAATAGTTTAAAAATGTATAAATAGAAGTAGATCTTTAGAACTAAAACAAGACTTCTAGAATTATATTGACACTTCTGGAACTAGAGATAGATTTCTAGAATTATAACTAGTCTTATAGGACCAGAACAAGATCTCTAGAATTGTAGCATTGTAACTAGTCTTCTAGAACTATATATATATATATATATATATATATATATATGTGTGTGTGTGTGTGTGTGTGTGTCTAGTATTATAACAAGTCTTATAAAACCTAGTCATCTAGAACTAAAAATAAGTCTCTAGAATTATATTGACACTTCTAGAACTAGATCTCTAGAATTATAGCTAGTCTTCAAGAGCTAGAAATAGATCTCTACAATTACACTGACAGTCCTACAACTATAAGTAGGTCTCTAGAATTATGACTAGTCTTCTAGAACTAGAGCTAGATTCCTGGAATTGTAACTATTCTTCTAGAGCTGGAACTTGAATTCAGTTTGCTCTGTGACATTACAGTGTCTGAGTGAATTTATAATGTATGTTAATATGATGTGTTATTTTATCTCCTCTATCTTTCCCAACAGACTGGAACATCAGATAAAAACATGGTACAGTGAGCTTCTGTCCTTTTTACAATTATACAAAGTTAGTAATTATTATATATTGTTATCAGTGGGGTGTGTATGAACATTTGATTTGTGAGAACATTTGCACAATAATAATAATAATAATAATAATAATAATAATAATAATAAAAATAACTCTTTAAGTATTATGTGGGTGTCCACAGCCCCCTCCAGTGGAGGATTTCTCCCACCTGCCTCCAGACAAGAGGAAGAAGCGTCTGCAGGAGAGAATTGATGAGATCAAAAAAGAGCTTCAGAAAGAGGTGGACAAGAGGTAACATCACCGTAACGCTCTTCTTTAACAAAACAGATTCATTCAACTCACCTGATTCATTAACTCACCTGATTCATTAAACTCACCTGCTTCATTAACTCACCTGATTCATTAAACTCACCTAATTCGTTAACTCACCTGATTCATTAAGTCATCTGATTCATTAATCTCACCTGATTCATTAACTCACCTGATTCATTAATTCACCTAATTAATTAACATACCAGAGTCACTAACTCACCTGATTCATTAAACTCACTTGCTTCATTAGCTTACCTGATTCATTTAATTCACCTGCTTCATTAACTTACCTGATTCATTAGACTCACCTGCTTCATTAACTCGCGTGACTCATTAAACTCACCTGCTTCATTAAACTCACCTGCTTCATTAGGCTCACCTGCTTCATTAACTCAACTGATTTGTTAAACTCACCTGATTCATTAACTCACTTGATTCATTAATCTCACCTGCTTTATTAACTCACCTGCTTCATTAATCTCACCTGATTCATTAACTCATCTGATTCATTAACTCAGCCTGATTCACTAACTTACCTGATTCATTAAAGTACCCAACTCATTAAACACACCTAATTCATTCACACACCTTATTCATTAACACCTGATTCAGTAACCCACCTGATTCATTAATTAGTAACCCACCTGATTCATTAACCCAATTCATTAACATACGTGATTCAATAACCTACTTGATTCATCAACAGATCTGATTTAGTAAGCCACCTGAATCATTAAACTACCTGATTCAGTAAATGTGTCGGGTTCACTTAACATCTGATTCATTAACACAGCTAATGAATTCATTGACGCACCTGATTAATTAAATACCTGATTAATTAACAGACTTGATACATTGCATCACTGTATCAGAACCTGGTCAGTATCCTGTACAGCCGTATTGATCATAATGGTGTCCAGTTCAGCAATATTAATCATAAGAGTGCCCAGTACATAAGTATTGATCTTAACATTGACCAGTATTGGTCACAGCAGCGTCCAGTACAACAGTATTGATCTGTCTTTCTCTCTCTCTCTCTCTCTCTCTCTCTCTGTGCAGTAATGGTCTTGGTAAGATGAAGGGGGTTTATGAGAAGAACTCTCAGCTCGGAGACCCCGCTAGTCTGGACCCCCAGATCAACCAGATCGCTCACAACATCAGCAAACTGAAGGGGGAGCTGCAAAGATACGAGGTACAAACGTAAACCTGCATTTACTGTTAATGTTGATGTCCAGATCACTGAACCAGCAGACGTTTTGGTCCCTCCTCATATCGGGATATATGGGGTAAAACAGCCGCTCATGTATTTGTAACATAACATCTCCAACCTGGTAACTCCTAAGGAGAAGCACAAAAATGCGCTTGTCTTCAAAGTTCATCTGGTGTTTGGGAATTATGCCAAAAAAAGGTGCATTCTGGGAGACACCGTTGAAGCTAAAATTACAGTAATTATCTGTTATTTGCAGAGCATATTGGGAAAATGAGCGGTATTTTGTGCAGTCTTAAACAGTCTCTTTTTTGTTGTATCATGTTCTTCGAACCCCCATGATATGTTGACATCATACTAAATATTCGGATTGTGCTGTGATTGTGGGTCGCAGTATCAGTGCTGTAAATAAACAGCACTATAATAGAAAAATTGCTGTCACTTAACTACTGTATTCATCAATTATTCATACAGTAATTGTAACTCAGACCTCCACCAGCAGGGGGCAGCAGTTCCTTGTTTTCAACTTAGTGTGTGTGTATGTGTGTTTCGTGCAGGCGTGGCTGAGTGAGGTTGGAGGAGTCAGTTCAAACAGCAACAACCACACCAGGTGAGTGTGTGTGTTTGTGTGTAAGTATACACACCCGTCAATACTAGCTTTAATGCGTCTTCATATCCGGTGCAGTAAGTACTGGTTTTGTTGTTGTGGCTATGATAACTACAGTCATATGCAAAAGTCAACACACTTAAACTCCACATTGTTGTTGTTTTTCTGAGTGTAATGAAGTTTCACATCCTCTACAGAGACACACATTTGCACATTTTCATTAATAGACAATTACTGTTTATTTGCTCTTTTTAACATATTTTGGAAGGAAAAGCATAAAATTTGGCCTGTGCCATAACTTCTGCATGTTTTACATTTTGTTTTTTTTCCAAACATTTTAAACTGAGCAAATAAATAGACTAATAAATTGACTGTAGAGGACGTGTTCACTTATTTTAACTTCAAAAGAAAAATCAACAACAACATGGAATTTGAATTTGAGGGTGTTGGTATATATATATATATATATATGGGTGTTAAATTTATTAGAACTTCATTCTGAATATTAATTTATTAGAACTTCATTCTGGATGTTAATTTTATTAGAACTTCATTCTGAATATTAATTTATTAGAACTTCATTCTGGATGTTAATTTTATTAGAACTTCATTCTGAATATTAATTTATTAGAACTTCATTCTGAACATTAATTTTATTAGAACTTCATTCTGGACGTTCATTCTATTAGAACTTCATTCTGAATATTAATTTATTAGAACTTCATTCTGAATATTAATTTATTAGAACTTCATTCTGGATGTTAATTTTATTAGAACTTCATTCTGAATATTAATTTATTAGAACTTCATTCTGAACATTAATTTTATTAGAACTTCATTCTGGACGTTCATTCTATTAGAACTTCATTCTGAATATTAATTTATTAGAAATTTATTCTGAATATTAATTTATTAGAATTTCATTCTGGACGTTCATTTTATTAGAACTTCATTCTGAATATTAATTTATTAGAACTTTATTTTGGGCATTAATTAATATTTTATTTTATTAATCTGGGCGTTAATGCTATTTATTTATTAGAACTTCATTCTGGATGTTAATTTATTAGAACTTCATTCTGAATATTAATTTTTAATGAGACATGTTTTTATGTGTGTTTACTCTGTGTGTGCAGTGCGTACGTCACTGTACTTGAGTCCAGGCCGAGTCTCCCTCAGCTCAGTGATGATGTCTATGAGTTTGATGAAGACTTCGATGATGATGATGATGTGCCTATTGCTCAGTGCCTGGCACTCTATGACTTTGACGGTAAGATTAACAACATCACAGCTTTGCAATATACAAACAAATATTTCACTCTAAAGAATGACCGAAACGTTAAATTTAGCTAGGGCTGTTCAAACTTTTGCTTAACATTACGAAATAAGTTAAGTGACATTCTGTAAATGATTTTTCAGTGAATTTATCCACTTGCTTCAGTGCGCAAGTAATTAAAACAGCACTATCCCTCTTCCTCAGGTGCCAGCGAGGGAGCGGTCAGCATGGAGGCTGGAGAGAAACTGAGCATGATAAACAAGGATCAGGGTGATGGCTGGGTGCACGTGAGGAGAATCAATGGAGATGAAGGATATGTACCTGCATCGTACATCAAAATCATCTGAAAATATTCCGAATCATCTGATACATCTCCAAAAGAATCATCTGAGAGAGCTCCATCTGAGTCCACCTGATAAGGGCCCTTATTCGTGCAGTGTAGTGTTCCTTACTGGGCAGAAATTGAAGTCCAGTCTTCTGAGAGGGCCGTAGTGTTGGCCACTGCACTACATCAACAGATCCACTATTCAGCAGAGGCGAAGCACAGAACTATAGAAACCAAAACTATGAAAACATTACAATAGAAACCAGTCCAAATTTCTTATTATTTAAATTATTTCACTCTTTATGGAAAATGTTTATATATGCGAGGTTGAAATGTTCAGGTATGCATGAGAAGTGTGCTTAACTCCCATAGAGCCTCTTTATGTTATTATACAGCGTCTTCATATCTAAGCTGGTTTCGTTTTCTTGTTACTTTCTCTTTTTTCCTCCAAGTGGTGCCGTGTTTTTGATGTTGGACAGTTTTTCTGTTTGGTTCCTTGATCGTACTTGTCTTGATACGTTTGTTACCAATATCACCAATATTAATTTTGACATGTGAGATATTTCCTGTATGTTTTTTATGTCTCTCATCATATCTCTCTGTTGAAGGTCTGAAAATATATATAGCATAGTTGTATGTCTATGATAAGACATTATGCCTGTTTACAGTAGTTAAACATTTTTTTATTGTTTAAAGACTTGAAAATCATTTTTCCAGTGATTGTCAGCTCAAAAAAAAAACATTCACATAAACAGGGAAGGCACAAGGCTGAGATTTTTAAATTTAAAATAAAACACGCATTCACACACATATAAACTCGGCCACAAGCACACAGTAAAAAATAAAAAGGTATACAGTTCTAGAGTTAACTCAGCTTAAGAACACTAGAATTCGCCATATCATATGTTTTTAGTTCTTTATCTCAGTTAGATAAGCCATATATAATCAGTTTTAATTGTGTTCCAACATACTTACGGATGGCTGTGGCATCGCTGGGGTTCAAACTCACAACCTCCTCATGTTGGTGTGAATGCCCAGACTCTGGAGTCATTGTGGTTGCTCGGATTTCCGTGTCCATAAATTCTTAATACACTGTGGAAAATATTTGTCATTTGGACTTGAAGAAGTAATATGTGATAAGCATTCACCCCAACATCAAGAGGCTGTGAGTTCAAACCCCAGCGATGCCACAGCCATCCGTAAGTGGGATGCCCATAAGGAGAAAATGCTCGGAAGGACGGTGTGATGGAAAGAGTCCCAGCCAGTGAAAAAACTGTGGGAAGTGAAATTGAAATTGCTCTAGTGTCCTTAAGTTGGGTGAACTAAACAAAATGTGTTATTTCAAGTTGATCCGACTTCTGATTTTGTACAGTATACACACAGACAGACAGTGGAATGTGTAAACATGTCTGAACACAAAAAACACACACATCTGAGAAAGTGAGCTTCTTTGGCGGCTCTGAAATGTTTAAAAAAGTCTCTTAAGACTCAGAATGTGCTTAAAATAATGGTCACAATTCTGTGCACGTCTGAAGTTCGTTATTCTGTTTTTCCCTTTTTTTATTTTGAGGTGACTGATCTCCAAAGGCCTCAGTCAGCTGACACACCCATACCCACTCTATTAAAATATATATTACATTATATTCTATTTACTTTATTTAGATTTTGGAATATACTGACAATATATAACACTATTTTTTTTTCCATTGGGGCATCCAAGCTCCGCCTACAAATGTGTTCTTTCATAGCTACTGTTGTGAGGTTAGATGAGCTTTACAGAACGCCAGTAAAAACAACATTTAACCTAATGAGAAACTGTAGAACAGACTCAGTTTATATCACAATACCTACAGTTAGAGTTTCTCATTAGGCTGAATGAATAACTGACTCTAAATGTAGGTATTGTGATATAAACTGAGTCTGTTCTACAGTTTCTCATTAGGCTGAATGAATAACCGACTCTAAATGTAGGGATTGTGATATAAACTGAGTCTGTTCTACAGTTTCTCATTAGGCTGAATGAATAACCGACTCTAAATGTAGGGATTGTGATATAAACTGAGTCTGTTCTACAGTTTCTCATTAGGCTGAATGAATAACTGACTCTAAATGTAGGTATTGTGATATAAACCGAGTCTGTTCTACAGTTTCTCATTAGGCTGAATGAATAACTGACTCTAAATGTAGGTATTGTGATATAAACTGAGTCTGTTCTACAGTTTCTCATTAGGTATAAGGGTTTTTTTTTACCAGTATTCTGAGAAGCTTATTCAGTCTCACAGCAGTAGCTATGAAGAACCACATTTACAGGTGGAGCCTGGACAGGGGAACTTTGGTCATTTCCGCTTAAACAGATCAGGCTTCAGTCAATTCCATAAATTTTGTCCAGTCAACACAGGTTAAGGTGTTTCTGCTGATAGGGAGGGACGTTCTGAATGAGTGGACAAGCAGAGGGAACTGGTGGTGTTAATGTCAGAGCTGAGGTCAGAAGGTCACAGTTCAGAGACCTGGTTGGGTTCCAGTTTGTTCGAGAGGATGGTGAGGACCTTTTCAAATTTCTCGTAGCGCTCCTTTTTTGCTACCTCTGCTCCTGTGTGGCCCCAGAACAAACGCAGAGCGAACTCCGTCCGGAAGGCCTCCAACAGCTCCGGGATCGGCTCCCACCCTGCTGCAGGTGGACATACGCAAATAACATCCTTATACTTAAAACCAGTACAATAGTACAACCAATGAACTATTTCTACCTACAACCAGTAACAACCAATAACGACCAATAACACACTACTACTTACAACCAATAACAGCCAATAGCACACTTCTACTCATGACCAATAACAATCAATAACACACATACAACCAATGATAGCCAATACCATACTTACAACCAGTAACAACCAATAGCACACTTCTACTCATGACCAACAACAGCCAATAACATATTTACAACCAAAAACAACCAATAACACACTACAACCAATAACAGCCAATAAAAATCAATAACATACATCTACTTACAACCTGTAATAAACTTCTATTTACAACCAGTAACACATTAATAAACAGATCAGTGTGTACTGCAGTGTTGCGTGTGGACTGTAGGTTGTGTGGGTCTGAGTGTGTTTAAGTATGTACACCTCAGAGCAGTGTGTGTGTGTGTGTGTGTGTGTGTGTGTGTGTGTGTGTGTGTGTGTGTACCTCAGAGCAGTGTGTGTGTTCTGCTAGCACTGGTCAGTGTGTATTGTGGTGTTGCGTGCAGACTGCAGGATGTGTGTGTGTGTGTGTATTTGTGTGTGTGTGTGTAAGCAGTGTGTGTGCGTGCTGCTGCTACTGGTCAGCGTTTATGTCAGCGTTACGTGCGGACTGCAGGATATGTGTGTGTGTGTACCTGAGAGCAGTGTGTGTGTTCTGCTGGCACTGGTCAGTGTGTATTGTGGTGTTGCATGCAGACTGCAGGATGTGTATGTGTGTGTGTATTTGTGTGTGTAAGCAGTGTGTGTGCGTGCTGCTGGTACTGGTCAGCGTTTATGGTGGCGTTGCGAGCGGACTGCAGGATGTGTGTATGTGTGTGTGCCTGAGAGGAGTGTGGGTGTGTGTGTGTGTGTGTGTGTGTGTGTGTGGGTGGGTGTGTATGTGTGTGTACCTGAGAGGAGTGTGTGTGCGTGTGTGTGGGTGTGTGTATGTGTGTGTGTGTGTGTGTGTACCTGAGAGGAGTGTGTGCGTGTGTGTGTGTGGGGGTGTGTGTGTGTGTGTGTGTGTGTACCTGAGAGCAGTGTGTGTGCGTGTGTGTGGGTGTGTGTGTGTGTGTGTGTGTACCTGAGAGGAGTGTGTGTGTGTGTGTGTGTGTGTGTGTGTGTGGGTGGGTGTGTGTGTGTGTGTACCTGAGAGCAGTGTGTGTGCGTGCTGCTGGTACTGGTCAGCGTTCATGGCGGCGCTGCGTGCGGACTGCAGGATGCTGTAGAGAAGCTGGCAGCCTCTCTCTGAGTTCTCCACTCCATCCTCACCCTCCATCAGCCTCAACATAGGGACCATGTGGGGCAGAGCCAGGGGTCCGGTCACCACCGATTCTACAGCACACAATCACACACACACACACACACACAAACAAACACACACACACACAAACAAACACACACACACACACACACCCAAACACACACACACACATTATAATCATCTTAATACATACTATTGTGTAAAACATACTACCGCTAATGCTAACATACTAGTGCTTTGTTGTGTAATAACAATAAAATCCCAGCATGCTGTAGGGCTAGCATGTGTCTTATTTTGGATATTTTGGATAATAAAAGATATTGCTAATGTACTATCAAATACTGTATTATCACTTATTGTACTATTACATACCATACAATCACATACTGTACTATCATGTACAGTACTATGGTGTACAGCACTATTACATACTGCACTATCACTTACAGTACTATCACATATTGTACTATCACTTACATTACTATCACATACTATACTATCACATACTGTACTATCATGTACAGTACTATTAAGTACTACACTATCATACACAGTACTATCACACCCTATACTACCATGTGAAGTACCATCACATAATGTGCTTTCACTTACAGTATTATCATATATAGTACAATGATGTACAGTACTATCACACACTGTACTATCACTTACAGTACTATCACATATCATACTATCACATACTGTACTAACATGTAAGTACTATTATGTACTGTACTATCATACACAGTACTATCACACCCTGTACTACCATGTGAAGTACTATCACATACAGTACTTTCACATACACTATTATCACATACAGTACTTTCATGCATAGTACTATTACATACTGTACTACAATTTACAGTACTAACACAGTACTATCACAGACTGTACTATCATGGACAGTACTAACACAGTACTATCCCAGACTGTACTATCATGGACAGTACTAACACACAGTACTATCTCAGACTGTACTATCATGTACAGTACTAACACACAGTACTATCACAGACTGTACTATCATGGACAGTACTAACACACAGTACTATCTCAGACTGTACTATCATGGACAGTACTAACACAGTACTATCCCAGACTGTACTATCATGGACAGTACTAACACAGTACTATCCCAGACTGTACTATCATGTACAGTACTAACACAGTACTATCCCAGACTGTACTATCATGGACAGTACTAACACAGTACTATCACAGACAGTACTATCA